CTGAGAAGCTACTCTGAGGCCAGGGAGGGGATGTCAAGAAGATGCTTGGTCAAGACCCTTCCCTGCTCAGAGACCTCCTTCCAAAGAACAGGAATGTAGGGACCTATCAACCAGGACTGTTCATCAATCTAAACCCAGAACTGCCCAGGGCCTAGCACTTGGGAGGTGCTCAGTGGATACTGGCTAAATCAATAATCGAATGGTGGGCAGGCAGGCAGATAGGAAAATGCACCTGGCAGCACGGCCCCACCCCTAGTATAGCCCAGAACAACCAAAGTTCTCTGGCATCCAGCCCCGAGGTCCTCTGCAGGACCAGGTTCTCATGTCCCTGCCCAAGAAAGCAGTAACAGCAGGCCCTTTTTGAGCAAACTAGGGCTCAGTGAGGGGTCCCCAGCCTCACCCACCACATAAACATCCTACCTGTGAAACAGGTAACATCAGCTGCAGGTATTTAGGGGTTGTTTACCCTGTGGTAGGCACTGTGCCCTGCACTACTCATGCCTGCCTTCGTTTGATTCACACATCATTACAGAAGAGAGGCACTGAGCTTAGTGCCACTTCAGGGATGAAGTGGCAGGGTCGGGTTAGGGTGGGGATAGGTACTTGCTCAAGGCCTCAGCCTGAATTGGAGCCCGGATACGTCTGACCCCAAGACCCAAGCTCTGCAGTGTATCTACTAGACTGCCTACGGAACGGTCGCTAATGGACCTCTCAACTGGAAAGCCCTGCCCTCCTAGAAGTGTGTGGACTGCGAAGCTGCATAAAAGTCAGGATCCCAGGGGCTGGCTGACTGCCTCCTCGCCCGGTGCCCCCAGTGAGCGCTGCTCAGGGCGTGACTCCACAAGAACTCACAAACCTGGCCTCGGCTTGCACACTCCCTGCAACAGGGAGCTCTTTCTCTTACAGCCAGTCCAAAGCGCTATCCCAAAGAAACAGGCACTCCCCGCACTCCGAGGAGGGAGTGCGGCCTCTCTGGCTTCGGGGAAGGCGGGGAACAAAGGCCAGTGATCCTTCTCCGCCTCACATAGACCCCAGTCCCATTTCAGCCCACCGGAGCCGCGGGACCCTGGGGGATCGCCCCAGGCGCGCAGCCGCAGAGTGCGCGATCAAGAGGCACACAATTTCGCCCAGCTCATCGCTGCCCCACTGCGCCTGCGCGGCGCGCGCGCCGGCCGAGCCCCTCCAAGGCTCACTATTTGACAGTTCCCACCCCGGTGCCTCCGCGCCCCCTCCGCGGGCCCACGCGGGCCGGAGCGCCCAGGGCCTCGGGGCCGGGCCCGGGAGGGGGGCCTCGGGGCCGCCTTTTACCTGCAGGATATTCGACGTGGGTGAGAGTCACCGGCCGCCATGAAGCGGGGAGCGAGCACTGTCCGTCCGCTGCCATCTTACCCGGAGACCGGGCTTCGCCAAGCAGCCAATGGGGAGCCAGGGGGGCGGTGGTCCTGACCTATCACGCCGGGAAGGCGCCACGCACCCAATCGGAGACCGATACAGGTATTGGCGCAGCCATTCAGCGTACAGGCCGTGAGGCTGACCCGAGCGGCGAATCAGAGAGCTGGCCCCTAGGAGCCTGCGAGCCGTCCCAGCCGGCACCCAATCCAGGATCAGCGCAAGTAGTTGCCTGACCAATTAGGAAGAAGGAGAGTTCCAACCCAGAGCAGGGAGCAGGCCAGCCAATCAGAAGGTAAGCATGGCTCACAATGTGGGTAGGATGGGCCAATCAGGCGCTAGCTTGGGGGGCGTGTTGAGCTTTGGTGGGAGCTTTGGTTCGGCTGGGATTTGCTCTGGAGGAAAGTTTCCCGGTACCGAAGTACCTCTGCGGTCGGCGGGACCTGCGCGCCGGTAAGAGCGCGTGCTCGAAGCAAAGAGGAAACCTCAGCACCACTGGGTCCTATCCGCTTTTAATTATAAGTAAACTGAGACCAAAGACTCTGGCATTTATTTTTCTTTGTCCTTTACTGATCAACGGAAGGACGAGTCCAACGAAGCAGAGGGCTTTTTTGTTAAAGAGCTCGTGGGTTAGAGAGGGAACTCCTGGGGCGGGGGCACACACGTTTAGGTACCCTAAACGCTTTACAGAACGGAAGCCTAATTGAGGTTAAGGACGCCTTCCTTCTTCCACTCATTTAACAAGGATTTATTGGTTCAGCCATATTGATACTACTTAATGAGGCATCTTGGAAGCATGTTTTCCACCTACCCCTCAGTTTTCCCAAAACATTCTTAAGTAAACCTCCATACGTCCCCACCCACCTCACCCTCTGAACCCCTCTCCAGCTAGATGAATTACAGGTCAGGTAAGGTGCTCTTGTCTCCTTACCTTGGCTTATGCAGTGCCTCTGCCTGGAATGCACATCTCTTGCCCTACTTTGCCTGGCCTAGTCTGACTCAAGTGTCTGTTCACACGTAAAGGTTTCTGTGGCCAAGTGAGGGGCCTCCACTGGACTTCTGTGGTTGCATCCCCTTTTCTACCTCAGCCCTCACAACACAGGATTGTTAATTGCTTCCTTTTCTGTCTCTGCAAGTGAGCAGTGGTTCTCTGACAATCTGGGCCAAACTCAGCTTGTAGAAAACATGGATTCTTGGGTCTCACTAAGACCTCCTGGGTTGACCCAGAAGGTCCAGGTTGGAGTCTTAGCCTCTGCACTTTTTTTGTTTGTGTGTGTGTGTGTGTGTGTGTTTAGGGGAGTACTGGGGATTAACTCAGGAACATTCTACCATTGAGCTACATTCTCAGCCCTTTTTATTTTGAGACAGGGTCTCAATAAATTGCCCGGGCTGGTCTTCAACTTGCAATCCTCCTGCCTCAGCCTCCTGAGTAACTGGGATGACAGGTGGCGGCAAACATCAGAGAAGCCCTGGGCAACATGTGGACAGAGTCCGGTACATCCCTGAACCTGTCTCAGGCCAGACCCAGAACAAGTGCCTGATAAATGACATCAGTGCCTGTGAGGTGGAGAGAGACTCAACAGGAATCACACTGATCAGAATGGCTGACTCTGCCAGCCTGCCTGCCTGCCAGCCAAAACCAGGACCTCCCAAGTGGACAATAAGAAGACAAAAACCAAGGGCCCAGGAAGCCCCTGTCCCAGCTCAGTTGTGCTCAGCTTCCCTACCTCCCCAGCCCAGTGGGCCTTTCTGGGTCGGCTGCTCTTGCAGTCATCTGGTCACCTGCCCCCAGCTGCCTCAGACACTGCCATTATTAGTCTCTGAGAAGCAGGAGGTGTGAGGAGTGGGTCCTGAGCTTCCCAGAATAGTTCCCTGGGACATGGCAGCTATCATGGGTCTGGGCTGCAGTGCCTTTCCCAAACAGGCCTAGAGAAGCAGGATTCTCAGACCCCAGATTCTCTCCCACCAGGGAGTGTTCCTGAGGAGGTGATAAGGATGGGGGACTACAAAAGGAGTGGGAGTTTTGCAAGGTGGGTTTCCTGGCAGAGGAAACAACACGGCAGGTGTCCTGAGGCTGCAGTGGTGGGTGACAGAGACAAGAGGGACAGGGAAGCTCTGCAGGGAAGAGGTCAGCAGGGGTCTGGCCATCCATGGCACTGAGGGCATTGTTGGTGCTGAGGACAAAGGGGACTTCTAACGCCATATACCATACACGGTATGTCTAGGTTTTGCACTCACCCCCTGGATTGAACCCAGGGGCACTTAACCACTGAGCCACATCCCCAGCCCTTTTTATTTTGAGACAGGGTCTCAGTAAGTTGCCAAGGCTGGCCTGGAACTTTTGTTCCTCCAGACTCAGCTTTTGGAGTCATTGGTCTTAGAGGCATGCACCACCCAGCATTGTTTCAGGAATATTTGAGCTCCTCGTCAGTGCCATCATGAGTGTCAAGGACATCTGCCCTCATGAAACTTCCATTCTGAGGAGGTTGCAGAACTTCTGGGTCCTGAAGACGCAGTTAGAGAGACTAGGAGTCTCAAATAGGAGCAACCATGTCAACTGTCAAGACACTCCCTAGGGCTGGGGATGTGGCTCAAGCAGTAGCGCGCTCGCCTGGCATGCATGTGGCCCGGGTTCGATCCTCAGCACCACATACAAACAAAGATGTTGTGTCCGCCAAAAACTAAAAAGATAAATATTAAAATTCTCTCTTAAAAAAAAAAAAGACACTCCCAGAGGAGCCATCTATGGCCTGTCTCTTAGAATAGCTTCTGGGAAGCTGGGCACAATGGCGCTCACCCATCATCCCAGCTACTCAGGAGGTTGAGGCAGGAGGATCACAAGGCTGAAGTCAGCCTGGAAAACACAGCAAGACCTTGTCTCAAAAAATAAAAAGGGCTGGGGGTGTGGCTCAGTGGTAGAGCACCCCTGGGTTCAATCCCCAATACCCCCCAACACACAAACACACATACAAAAAGCTTCTGGAAGGCAAGGCTTGGGCTTCCACACACTGCAGGGCCTAGTCTCGAGACAGAAATGGTCAGGCTTATCCCCAGGCTGCAAGCTCCCTGGGTTTGGGACATTTACTGACTTAAGTACTTTAAGTTGTCTCAAAAACCAGAACAGAGAGCCCACCCCAGCAGCAAACACCCATGGTCCCAGCACCAGAGGCTAAGGCAGGAGGGTCACTCAGCTCAGAAGTTCAGGGCCAGCCTAGCAACGTGAGGAGACCCTGTCTCAGGAAAAAAGCCAAGGTGAGCAGGTGGCTGCTGCACATACCACACCTGAGCAGTGCCTAGAGCAGCACCTAGCACACAGGAGGCCCATAAACACATGGTGGGAGTCCTCAGCTGTCCTGTCCCCCTGTGTCCAACCTGGAAGTCCCTTATGTTGTAATTCCTGCCACTGTTTGCTGGGCCAAAGACTTAGTGCTGTGTCCTGCAGGATCTTTTTTTTTTTTAATTTTTTAATATTTATTTTTTAGTTTTCGGCGGACACAACATCTTTGTTGGTATGTGGTGCTGAGGATCGAACCCAGGCCACATGCATGCCAGGCCAGCACGCTACCGCTTGAGCCACATCCCCAGCCCCTGTCCTGCAGGATCTTATGACCATTGTCCTCTATGACCACCTGAGCAAAGGCTGGGAAGGGGTGGGATTAGATGGCTCATTGCTAGCTGCTTATGGCCATGGGAGTGCCATGCCAAGGTAAGGGGCCTGGAGTTCTAGGTTGGGCTCAGGAGACCTAGATGTCCATCCCACAGCTGCCATGGCTGGCCAGCACCACTTCCCTCCAGATCTCCCTACCATTAGTGAGGGGACTGGGCACAGTTACCTACTGTCCACAGCACCCTTCCCCAAACCTGTGCTGAAAACCACTGCTCTGCACTGTGGGTCTGAGTTCTTGCCTGGGCTCCACTGGGCAGTTCTGGTGGGTCACTCATGCAGCTGGTGACTCAGCTGGGCCCAGGTGGTACCAGACAGCCGCCTTTGAGTCTAGAGGTGAGCTGCTGAGCTTCCTGCAGCACCATGCTGTGTTCTGTGGAAGGACTCAAAGACTGATGGGAGGGTGTCCAAATGACCTGGCAGCTATTCCAAGAAGCTCCCAGTGGCTAAGCGTGTGACTGTTTTAAGTATTAGAGGAATGATTGTGACTGCATCATATCAAATAATTAAAAACCCATGAGTTCATAGAGGTATTGAACAAGCAGGGAGAAAATCAATTCCAGAATGGTCTGCAGCAACAAAGAAAATACTGGCCAGGTGTGGTGATCATCCCAGAGGCTCAGGAGGCTGAGGCAGGAGGATTGTGAGGTCAAGGTCAGCCTCAACAACTTAGTGAGGCCCCATAAGCAATTCAGCAAGATCCTGTCTCATAATAAAATGTAAACATCCCTGGGCTCAATCCCTGGTACCAAAAATTAAAATACTGATCCATGCTATAGAGCAAGTAAAGCTCAAAGTATTCTAGCCAAAAAAGGTAGAAACCAAAGATCACATAATGTGTGATTCCATTTATAGAAAAGGCAAGTATAGAATAGAGGTTGGTGGTGGCCTGGGGGACATTCTGCAAACAAGCACAAGGGGTCTTTTCAACGTGATGGCAATGTGCTGACGTTGTGTGTGGTAGTGGATACACACCTATTTTTAGTAAAGTACCAACAATCATTACAGCAAGTACATTTTATCGTTTGCAAATTACACCTTTACAAAATTGTTTAAAACAAACCAAGAAACACACTAGAGAATCACTAATAGTTTAGGTGTGACTTTGGTGTGCGGGTCTTGCTGGAGAAGAATTACCTTATGAACTACCTGCTTCAAGTATTCATGGGTGAAGTTCACATCTGAAAACTAAAAATATTTTGGAAAAGAAGCTAGCTGTGGTGGTGCACACCTGGAATCCCTCTTACTCAGGAGGCTGAGGCAGGAGGACCTCAAGTTGAAGGCCAACCTGGGCAAGTGAGCGAGATCCTATCTGAAAATAAAATAGGAAAGGCTAGGGAGGGAGCTCAGGGATACAGTGCTTGCCTAGCATGTGAGAGATTCTGGGTTCAATCCCAAGGACCACACCCACACAGCAAGGAATTGGAAAATACATACAGGAAATACTATAGCTAAGTACTAAATACTAATATTAGTTTTAGGGGTGTTCTTTATAGGCTTTGTTTTGTTTTGCAGGGTCAGGAATTGAACCCAGGGCTTTGTGCATGCTAAGCAGGTGTTCCACTACTGAGCTACAACCCGACATTGTGTGTGTGTGTGGTTGTAGATGAAAACAGTACCTTTGTTTTATTTATAAGTGGTGCCAAGGATTGAACCCAGTGCCTCACACATGCTAGGCAAGCATTGTACCACTGAGCCACAATAGCAGCTTTAACCCCAGACTTCAAAGGTTCCCCCCAAAACTTTTCTGTAACATTTGAATTCTTGTTTTTTTAAAAACTGGAGATCAAATCCAGGGCTTCTTGCATGCTAGGCAAGCACTCTATCACAGAGCTATGTTCCCAGCACCACCACACCCTGCCACTTTTTAATTTTGGTAGTTGCTTAGGTCTTGCTCAATTGCTGAGCCTACTTGCCATCCCCCTGCCTCAGCCTCCTGAGTGCTGGGATTATAGGCATGTGCTATGCTACCACTGCTGGCACCCAGCCCACTTTTTAATTTCAAGGCAAGACCTTGTTAAGTTGCCCAAGTTGGCCTTGAATTTTGTTCCTCCTACCTCAGCCTCCCACGTTGCTGAGACTTAACAGCTTGTGATTTTCAGATGTCCATGAAGTAGCTGAAGACATGGCAGGCTGGATCTGCACCGCCCCCCCCTGCCCCCGCGAGTCTCCCTGCCCCTGCCGGGCTCTCCTAGTGCAGTCAGAGAAACTGAGCCTGGAAGCCTGTGGGCCCCCTGCCCAGTGCCTACAGCTTGCAGACCTGGAAACTAAGGCCCGGAAGTGGCCTTCCTGCCATAGCGCTGAGGCGAGTGCACGCCCAAGGCGCCCGCCTCCCGCCTGCCTGTGAGCGCAGCACTGCCCAGGACCAGTAGTCCTGTTCAGCGAGGGGTTTCTCCCGCTCTTTGTCCCCTGCTTTGGCCAAGAAGCAAAGAGCCACCCCATCCCCATGTCAGTGCAGGAGGAGATGGTGTCCGTCATTTATTGGACTCGCGGTCAACGCACAGGCTCCACCACACGCTGCACCATACAGAAGCTGGAAGCAGGCCAAGTGCACGGCGTGTAAACAAAGATCAGGTGAGAACGCCACTTCCAGTGACCGGGGCAGCGAGCGCCCAGGCGTACATTCACAGCGCAGGGTAAGTGCAAAAGAGGGAATGTGAGGATGGAGGGCCAGGAGGGGGTCAGGCCAGAGCCACACTAGTGCCCATGGGTCCTCCAGTCTGGGGACCAGGTTCAGAGAGGACAGGCATGCCCAGCATCACCCTTCACCCGTCCCCCCTTCTGGGTGTGCCCTCCCCACCCAGCAGCTCTTCCCATTCCAGGGATAGGGACCTGGTCCCAGGGCCAGTGCTCTGGCTCCAGCCTGGGAAGCCAGGAGTCTGTTTCTCTAAAGGTCTCAGAACCTGGAAGGGGCAGAAACTCCAAATAAACTGTTAAGGCAATAAATAAAATTTTCCAGCTCAGGCAAAACACTGGCAGAGCCGCAAGTCTGAAGGGCTGGCAGAGCCCTGGCAGCTGCTGGGACAGATGCTAGCAGGATCCCCACAGGAGCAGCGGGTGGTGCCTGCCCTGAGGCGGGCTCCACTTCCTTAGTCAGCTCCTGGAGCGTCTGTGCGTCGTGTTGAAGGTACAATGCCAGGTAGTTTCTTGTCCCCATGAGGGTGGGGGATCTGGTCCAGCCGTGTTCATCTTCTGACATCCCCCACCATGGTCCCCGGCCCCTCACTCCTGGGGCTATTGATGGCAGCACAGGTGATGGTCCCAAGTACCCCTGGTCAGCACCCCCAACTCCAGCCTAGCACCACTCAGGGAATTCCTGGCTTCCCAGGGGAGGTGGGAGGAGCCCGGAGCACCCAGCACCACCTGCTCCATCTTTGGTGGTGGCAGAGGTGGAAGGAGAAATGACAGTCTTTGGCAGGGTAGGGGCACATGGGGGGACAGTATCCTGGGTTGGTGCTCAGGTTTGTCAGGGCCAGTCCCTGCCAGGGGGAGCAGGCCCACCTCTGTCCTGGAAAAAACAATTTTTTTTTTTTTTTTTGGCAGCGCTGGGGATGGAACCCAGGGCCTTGCAAACACCATACCCCTGAGCTGCAGCCCAGCCTTCTGTCAACCTCTGGATGACCCAGACCTTTGCCACTAGGTGCTGTCCCCCACCCCTGTGCACACTTGCAAACTCTTGCAGGAGGCAGGCAGGGTGGGGCCTTCTGGACTGACCAGAGGACACCTGGGTCCTGAGACCGGCCACACAGGTGCAGGGTGCTGTAGCTCAGGACTCCGTGATGCTCACCACGAGGCCGTGCCGCTCCCACCTCTACCTCCCCCCTCAGAGCCCACCTGTGGACAGCCCTAGCGTAGTCAGAGCTTCTGGGGCCCCACACTCATAGGACTTTGGCTTTTCCTGTCCCAGGTCTCCACGATGCCACCCTCTCCCAGGGACCCTTCCTCAGAGACAGCTGAGGGCAGTCAGGTGGGCCTCTCCATGCCTCCAGCCCTGTCCAGGGAAACTTGCTCTCTGAGCTTTGGGGATTCCCAGATGAGGGGGGTGGGGCAAGCTCAGAGGCAACTGCCCTGGCCACCCTGGCCCTTGAGTGCCAACCCAAAAGGAGGGAGGGTCACCTTCTCTCCCATCTGCATGAGCGAGGCCAGCCAGCCACCTCCCCTCCAGCCTATGCCTGCCACTACTGCGGCTCTGCCAGGGGCCGGTTCTCTCGGGGCAGTGCCCCATTCAGGCCAATGCTGCTGGTCATTGGTGTCCCCAGGTATCCCAGAAGGATCTCGCTGCGGCGCCGGGACAGTTGCAGGATGTCATCCGCCAGCGCTGGCACCGATGTGTAGCGCACATTGTCCAGGTCAAACATGTCCCTCAGGTACTGCACAATCTGGTGCTGGGGGCACAGGGCTGGTGTTGGGCCTGGGCCCTTCAACGATGTCCTCGAAACCCATTAGGTCCCCTTCCCGATCACCAGGGCTCCAACCCACCCTCTCCCACCCTTGGGCTACTCTCCTGTTGCTGCCCCTGGCCCTTCCTCTGGGAGCAGGTCCAGGCCCTCTCTGCACTGCTGGCCCCTCCAGGGCTCCTGTGCCAGGGGCATGGAAAGAGGGGTGCTGCTGTGTACCTTGAAGAAAGCACAGACTTCAGCGAGCTGGGGCTTGGGTCCAAGGAAGCCAAAGGCCAGGACGGGACTAACGTGCTCCGATACGGAGTAGAAATGGGAGATGAAGCCATCGGGCACCTGTCAGGGCGACAGTTAAGGAAGCGCACTGTGGTCAGGGAGGGTGAGCGCCCCCAGGTCCTGGGGGGCATCTGAGGGTGGTTACATGGTGGCTAGGTGGCCCTGGGCAAGCAATGGGTACTTCACAGCCATTCCTCACTGGGACAGGAGACTGCTGTGGGAACTGCATGAGGCGGGGCTCCGGAGGCCCCAGCAAGGAAGTGCCCAGAGCACTGGCAGTGGCAGCTGGTACCAGCTGGGCAGCAGAGCCCAGAGGGCAAAGTGAGCATGGACGGCAGCTAAGAGAATGCAGCCGGCTGTCACCAGCGTGCTGCGTGGGAGGAGGGGCTCTGCCTGCTCCCTGGGCATTCTGCCTTGACCCGCCAGCCCACCCTGTGCACAGCCCTCCCAGGATGTCCCTTCCCCTATGGCGAGTCCCTGGACACTTCCTAATGGCTACTCTGTGCTGGGCCCTGGGGGGTGAGACAAAAAGGACCAAAATGACCATGGGGAGCTCCAGGCCAACGGAGGGGTGAGGGCAGGAAAGGTGGCCAGTGCAGGAGATGAGAAAGGCCAAAGGTGCAGCAGAGTCTGGGGACTCGGGAGACCTCCCTGCACCAGTGTTTCCCACCCATCTCGCCTGAGAACCAGGTCTGGTACTAGGCTCCCTGGTGACTGTGTGGCCACTCACCATCAGGAGCCTCCTCTTGGCTTTCAGGACCGACCAGCAAGCAGTGGCCAGGGCCTAGAGCAGAGATGGACCCACCTCGGTGTCAGAATAAGGCCAACCCCAGAGCCCCTACCCACCCTGCCTGGTTTCTAATCCCTTATCCCCAGCTCACCCCACCCCAGGGAGGAAGATGGGGCTCAGTCCTGAGCTCTAGATTCTTTCCCCTAACTCAGGAATTTAGCCTTGACTGCAAGGGGCCCTGAACTAGGTGCTGCTCTCCTTGAGCCTGGGTTTCCTCCCATAGAAAATGGCCAGGATGAAGCCCCCATCCCATCTGGTGGTTGGGGGAATCACAGTGACTGCTGAAGAGTCCCTGTGGTCCAGCAGACTCTCTCCTACTCTGTGCCTCATTTCTTCTTGTTTTGGTTGTTTCCTCCTATTTTCACTTAATAGGATGTATCACTATTGGGTGGAAGTAATGCCAGCACCGAGTGAGCAGAGCTGGGGATCCACGCTGCAGAAAGGCCGGGCTCGCTCCTGGTGCTGGACCCAGTGAAAGGCAGTTCTAGGGTGCCCAGGAAGAAACCGCAGGCCCAGAAACTGATGGGCAGGTGCCCAGCCCTGGTGCCCGAAGCAGTGATGGCATGAGAAGGGGTCAGGTGAGTTCCAGGATCTTGTGATGTGAGGTTTGGGGTGGGACAGTGGCCCACCGTCTCCTTGAAGCTGTCTGACAGCCAACGGTTTCGCAAGACAGCAAGCACTGAGGATGGGGGATTCTCCAGATCCTCGAAGGCATCCATGAGGATGAAGTCAAGCACGATGTCGAAGAAGCTCATGCAAACCACCTGCGGGGAGTTCAGGGCTGGACTCAGAGCCACTGTGCACACAGCAAGGCTGAAGCCAGAAGGAGCCTGGATGTGACATGTGGAGGGTGTATATATCTTTCCCTTGCCCTGCAACAGAGGCCACCTCCCTCATGCCTGTGCCTGGGGCAGGGCAGGAACCAGGGCTCTGAGCAGTAATGGTGTCATCTCAGCTGCTTGGAAGAGAGGCAGAAGTTGGCATACCCTTCCCCCACCCCCAAGGATCTCAGGTACAGAGGAGCCCAGGAAGTTGAGCACAGACCAACTCACCCCACGGCCCTCCAGCTCCAGCCGAGTGGTGGCCCAGGTCTCAGGCCGCAGAGCATAGCTCAGCATCTCCTCATAGCTCTCCAGGAAGCCTTTGGGGCTCTGTAGGGAGAAGCACAGCCTGTTTTGGTTGTGGGAGAGGCCCCAAGCCCCAGCTGGATGAGATCCACAGGGACAGGCTGGCCTGTGGATGGGGACATGCCAAGGCAGGGATGGGGCCTTGACCTAGGGAAGACCAGGTGAGGAAGCATCTACTGCCTGCTGCAGTGGGCCTCTCCAGAGAACCAGGGAGCACCTGCTGCCTTCCAGATGTGCACAGGCACAGCACAACCTGACTCAAGGGAGGCACGAGAACCTGAGCTTTAGTCAGGTGGTGTATGATCCAAATTTTGACCTTGGGCCTCAGAGGTGAGACGAGAAGCTACAGCCCACATTCATAAGGCTGTTCTGGGGGAACTGGTGAACTCCTGCCTCTAAGACAATCAATCCAGTGCCTGACACCTAAGTGTTCAATACAGAGTCTAAGACTAATGCAGGGCTGGGGCATGACTCAGTGGCAGAGTGCTTGCCTAGTGTGTGCATGGCCCTGGATTCCATCCCCAGCACAGCAAAATCAATCAATCAATCAAAAAGACTGCTAATGTTGGGGCTGAGATTGTGGCTCAGGGGCAGAGCGCTCGCCTAACATGTGTGAGGCGCTGGGTTCAATCCTCAGCACCATATAAGATAAATAAATAAAATAAAAGTATTGTGTCCAACTACAACTGAAAAAATATTAAAAAAAAAAAAAAAAAAAAGACTGCTAACGCTACTAAGAACGAAGACCCTCAGCTCTACCGTGCACCTTCACTCTGAGACCCTGTGGTTCAGTCAGCCTCTCGATGCAGTTTGCTGACGTGGGTCTGCGCAGAGACAGGAAGTACCAGGGTCTGCTCTAAGCATGGCTGACTCCCCATCAGGAGTTATGCCCACTTTAGGTGATGCTCTAAAGAGCCAGGCAGGATAACAGGTTGATGACATTTATAAAGACCATGGGCAAAAGGGGACAACAGGTGGATATTCATCAAACTGTGAACAGGGTAGAATCAGAGACAGTTTTTACTTTGTTCTTTTTGGTTTCTTTTGTGCCCCCCCCCCCATTGAACCCAGGAGCACTTTACCACTGAGCCACGCCCCCAGATCCCCAGCCCATTTTTAAGTTTTGAGATAGGGAATTGCTTAGGGCCTTACTAAGTTGCTGAAGCTGGCTTTGAACTTGCAATCTTTCTGTCTCAGCCTCCTAGGCCACTGGGATTACAGGCATGCGCCATGGCACCTGGCTTTTTTTTTTTTTTTTTCCCCTTAGTTTTTCCTACAAAGAGCATCCACCCATCAACTTTTTAACCATTTATTTATTTATTGGTACTGAGGACTGAACCCAGGAGTGCTCAACCACTGAGCTACATCACCAGCCCTTTTTTATATTTTATTTAGAGGCGGATCTTAGAGACAGGGCTGAGTTGCTTAGGGCCTCACTAAGTTGCTGAGGTTGGCTTTGAACTCATGATCCTCCTGCCTCAGGCTCCTGAGTTGCTGGGATTACAGGTGTGCACCACTGTGCCTGGCTATCATCACTTTTAATTTTTTTTATCCTTAATTAACTTTATATATACACACACACACACATACATATACACGATATTATATAGATAGATACATATATATATGTGTGTGTGTATATATATGTTAATTATATATTAAGCAAGTCACATGCTCAGTAAGTGCTCTACCACTGAGCTACATCCCCAGCCCTACAATTTACAATTTTATTTCTTTATTTACTTACTTATTATCATTTTACTTATTATTATTATCACTGTGGCCTAGGCTGGTCTCGAGCACCTGGGCTCATCAGGCATGCACCATACCACCCCACTGTTTTTATTAAGTTTGAAAGAGAATTTTAGAGATGGCCCTGGGCTGTCCGGGCACCCCCAGAGCCTTATGTCCTTACCTACAAATGACCAATGACCCTCAATATCAATGTCAAGGAGGAAGGTAACTGACCCTTGACACTTCTAAGCCAGCTGAGCAGGTCTGACATGGGGCATGCCCGCTCACACACAGGGACCCACTCACATACAATGACCCGGAGGTTTCTGGGACTGGCCCATTGACACACGGTGAGGAAGAAGCCTGATGCTGTAACTCCAGGGCCTGGCCACGCCCCATAGGGCCAGTATCTTCTCAGATGGCCTGGCCCTGGCCACCTGTCTGGGGGCCCTGATGGGGCCACGTTGGCTCCTGCTGTAGTCACACAGCTCAGCACAGGCTGTGGCGCTCGGGAGCTGCCAGACAGCCTCTTGCACTTCTTAATGACAACAAAGCCCAAGTCCTGCCCGGGGCAGAGGCTGGACGGAGGCATGCCCCAGAGGGGCTGGTCTGCCCCGCTCCTGGCACCTGCTCAGCCTTTGTTCACTCATTCACTTGTCCTCCTGGGGATGCCACAAAGAGCAGGCCACAGGCACAGGATAGACCAGGCCCACCTGGGTGCAAAGCCCCGCTGCACGCCTAACCTGCTCAGAGTCCAGACCGTCCCCTCTGCCACACAGGAGCTGCAGTAGGCTCCAAGAAGCAATTGCGAGTAAAGAAATGCAAGTAAAGCGCTCACTGCTAGGTAAGTGGTAGGTGCTGGAGGTGGCCACCCAGCCAACATGAATGTTCAAGGAGCACTTGCCCTGAACCTCGTGGGCTTCACTGAGACGGGAGGAGGACAGGGCTTGAGCAGGATGCAGGGCACTGAAGCCACCACAGCCAGAGTGAACCCTCATCTTTTTATTCATTAAGTCCTACACATACTTTTTCACATGCTTCTATGTATATTTCACATAAAATTGCTGAAGTAAAAAAGAATTGGCTGGATAATGTGGTTCTAGCTCCTAGAAATAAACAGATGAAAAATTAACATTCAAATGTAAAGACCCAGCTGTCAATAAAAACAATCTTATGCAGTAGAAAAAAGAAGAAAAAAGAATTAAGGAACAGTGTGCTAGGCACACAGGGACCAGCGCAGGGGAAGGCCCAGATCAGGCAGAGGGCCTGCTGTGCACTGGAAGCCCTGGGACCTTCGCTCTGGCCAGGGTGAGGCCACCACAGAACAGAGCTCAGGCTGCACATGGCAGGCAGCAGGAATGAAGGGTGTTCAGAAATGGAGAATGAGGGCACATATGGACTTCAGAATCGCTTCTCCAGCATGTGGGCAGAGCACTCGGGAAAAGGCCTGTTCCAAAACTTTGCTCCAATTCGTTAAAGAAACAACAAAAAACCCACAAGTGGCCAATAAACACGAGAAATTATGCAACCTCACCCATAACCAAAGAGCCATAAAGCAATGGATAAAATACAAAGAATAGAAAGATTACTAATATCTCATGGGAATATAAGTGTCCAGGCCTTGCCGAGGGCAAACTGGCAAGCTCTGCCGGCCTTCAAAACTTCCTGCCAAGACCATGGACAGAGACTTCATGATACCACAGGGACCTGAGTGAGGAGAACTAAAGTAGCGCTGTCCGTGATGTGGACTGCTGTACAGTCAGTAACTGTCACCCCAGGGCCTGAGGTGCCTCCATGGGTGAGCTAAGCCCTTAGATCACACAGCAAAGCTGCAGGCGGTTGGGAGGGTCCTAAGGCTGGGAAACCAGACAGCAGTGTCCAGGGGTGAACAACCTCCACAGAAGCCGGCAGAAGGGGCACGTTCCCAACCATAGACAGGCTCACATTTCCCTTGGGCAGCAGGGGTCCACTTGGGCAGAGAGGGTGCGGGGAACCTTTTACAGTTTGTGTTTTATAATTGGTAAGTTTTGTAAAACTGTACTATGTTGGAATCTGAAATAAAAAGCAATACAGATTTTTTGTTTTTCAAAATTGGCACAGGGAGTCAAACCTCAGCCCTTCCTCCAATGCCCACAGGATGAAGTCAAAGCTCCTCTGCTTGGTTTTAAATTGTTTTCTGAAAAAAAAAAAACAAACCCCACCCTGGCTACCTTCTCAGCCTTGGTCATCAGGCCTGTCACCATCTGCCGGCCGACCTCTCCGAAGAACAGCTGGTTACTCTGGTCTTCCAGGAGCCCCTACAGGATGAGGAAGGGAGAGCTGCTGGGGCCCCTTTGCCCATGGAGGAGGCAGTACAATGGGCTGGGCAGGAGATCCCATCTGCCCAGGAGGTATCCTGCACAGGGCCGCTCTGGCCAAGATGGAAGCCATGTGCACACCACATGGCCACACTGCCCCTCATCCTTGGCTCCACCCTCCCCAAGAGGCCCTGGACCACACCTACCTCAAAGGCCTGCCGCACACAATGCAGCTTGGCCAGGAAGTCCTGGTCACTGTAGCAGCCCAGCAGCTCCGTCCTGAGGGGAGGACAGATAGTGTCACACTTGCCTGCTCAGCAAAGTCGAGTGGGGGACAGGGCGCACTCGGGTGGGGAGTGGGAAGCGGGAAGCTTTGCCAGCCTCACCTGGCACTGTGACGCCTCCCTGTAGGCCTCAGCCTCCCACAGCCTGAGGCAGAGGTTTGACGGATGGTCTCTGAGGAGAGGCCAGCCTCCTCATCACGGTGGCTGGGCTGACCTTGGCCTCCTTTAGGCCACAACCAGCCCTCAGCCATCACTGGCAAAGGACCAAAATGGTCAAATTGCTCCCAGAGGGCAGCACATCGGGCAGGGGGTTTCCACCTGCTGCAGCTGCCCTTTGTCCAGATCACCACAGATTCAACCAGAACTTTCAACCATTTTTGATCAGTGAACTTTGTGTGTGTGTGTGTGTGTGTGTGTGTGTGTGTGTGTGTGGTGCTAGGGATCAAACCCAGGGCTTTGTGCATGCAAGGCAGGCACTCCACCAACTGAGCTACTCCCCAGCCCAGCCCTGATCAGTGGACTTTTAAATACATGAATTTGCAAGCCTTAGGAAAATTTGAGTTTTATACTATACAGAAAAGCTAACTCTCTGATGGCAAAGAGACCGAAATATAAGCACAAACAAAAGCAGGATGAGAAGGGACAGACCTGCTCAGGCCCAAACACTACAAAGGACAGAACCTGGACAGAAGCCAGGGCTCTGTCCCCAAAGCCTGGGTTCTTAACCTCTACTACCAAGGGTTGTCAGGACATGGTGTAGGACTGTGTCCACTGTGCTGCTGGGATGGACCATTTGAGAACTCAGAACAATGGTTAACTATTAATTACTGTAACTTTTGGTTTTTTAAATTTTTTTACATAATACTTTATTTACTTTTACATGGTGCTGAGGCTCGAAGCCAGGGCCCCTCACATGCGGGGCAAGCACTCTACCTTTGAGCCCGAGCCCCAGCCCTGCAGCTGTCATTTAGCAGACCTGCTGGACTTCGTTCAAGACCAGCCAGGTCTCCCTCAGCAGGGGCAGAAGCCACGAGCAGCTCCTCCACCAGCTCCACGCAGTGGGTTTCGCCCACTGCCTCCTGTGCCCTCCTTGTACCCTCACCTGAGGCTGCGACAGGGCACCTTCCCATCTTTCACCAGTTGCAGGGCCTCCTCGTAGGCAGCAGCAGGCCTGGATAGTGGGATCGGGTAGTCCCCCACCTGCAGGGACTCCAAGAGCTGGGGAAGAGACACAGGAGGGGTTGAGGGAGCCAGCGAGCAACACTCCACGAGGCGAGGGCGCCTGCCTACCCTTCTGCCGGCAGAGGCTCCCGAGGGGTCTGACCACTGCCCCTCTCAGAGCATATCAGAGGGAACACTGGTCCATCAGATGGAGGCTTGGCTTCAAGTCCTCCTGTCCCAGGCAAGGACATGTGTGTGCCCAACACTGGAGGCCACACAGGAGGCTAATGCCAAGCACCAACCCCACGACAGATGAGTAGGGGCCAGAGCCCCGGGTGGGCCTCCTCTCTAGCCATGATGCCTAGCATCTCAGGCCCAGTCCTCAGCAATTCAGAGTCCCCAGGGAGCGACACTCTGCTTCTGCGAAGTTCAGCTCCAGCTGGAGGAAGTGCCTCACATTCCCACAGCCCAGTGCTCCCAGGCTGGCCTCCAGGGAGCTTTGGGCTGCCCAGCCTGCTTGGTTCCCTGCCCCAGTTACCTCAGTGGCTGAGAAGAAGGAGTCCTCCGAAGTCAGGCTCTCCTCGTCGTCAGCCCGCAGACGCAGCGAGCCCTCGGTGAGGGGCAGCATGAGGGTCCTCTCTGAAAGAGCAGTGAGAGGGCTGAACTGAGGCCCCTCTCGGGGCTGAAAGGAATCTGGGCACAGGGATCAGCAACTGAGCCCTCCTGGCCTCCAGTGTCTTCCCTGGGCCTGGTAGGTGTGGACACCAAGCTGCCAAGGGGACTTGCCATGGTCACACCACTGGACTTGAGGTCTGGTGGCCCCTCAGCTCTGCAGGAAAGTACTCAGTTTACTGTGCAGTCCTGGGCAAGATTCTTCCCCTCTGACAGGCTGGAACTCGGCCTGAGGGAGGCAGTGGCCACTCCTGGCATCCCATCTCTGCCTGCTCAAGTGTAGAAGGCTCTGGTCCTTCAAAGGCACTCAGCCACTCAGCCTCCCAAAGGTCTCAGAGCTCAGGAACATGCTGACACAGGCCCCAAGGCCTGCTCCCAAGGGCTGCACAGGTACACTGGCCAGGGGCTCCTGGGGCCTCACTTGCTCTACTGGCCCTGCTGAAAGGGTGCCTCAGCTCCTCATCTACGCAACAAGGACTGGGTGCATGAAGCCAGACCCCCAGTGGGCCCCGGGAGTCAGGAGCTGTCTAAGGCACCGAAGGGGCCCCCTGGTTCTCTGGCTCCTCTATACCTCCATCCCCCACCCTCAGCCCCATAGCTGCTCTATGGCCCCCTCACCAAGGTCCAGCAGCATGCTATCCGAGGGGAAGGTGGAGCCAAACTCCTCCTGCAGGTGGTAGGCCCGGTGCAGCAAGGACTCCAGCTTCTCCGCAAATTCCCTGCGCTGTGACTCTGGCTGTGAGGAAAGCCGTGACCATCAACGCACGCCTGCCACCTCCCCAGTGAAGGGCCTCTTGCCCCATCCAGCCCCTGGAGAAAGGGGAGAAGGCACTGGGGCCTGGCACCAAGAGCACGAGCTCTGGACCTGCTGCCCATGACAGGAGACACCAGGGCCATGGGCACTTGAAATGTGGCCAGTCCCAACAGACATCCCTACGTACACATGCACAATGGATCCCTCACTTAGAGCCAAAAGGAAATGCAAAATATCTCAGCAGTCTTTTAGGTCATCTACAGGCCGAAATGATCAAAATTTGGATACACCAAGTGATATAAAGCATATCATTAAAATTAAACTTAAAATTTGTTTTTGCCTTTGTTTTTTTTGAATATTGGATTGAACCCTGGGGTGCTTTATCACTCCGTTACATCCCCTGGGTCTCAATAAGATGTTGAGGCTGCACTTGAACTTGCAATCCTGCCTCAATGTCCTGAGCTGCTGGGATTACAGGTGAGTGCCACCATGCCTGGCTTTTTTGGCTTTTTAATATGGTCTCTACAAAATTTTAACATGGGGCTTTCTACTGAACAGTGCTGTTCTGCAGCCAAACACACCTGGGTGTGGATCTTGGCACCAGTTCCAAACTGTGTGACCCTTGGCAAATAATTTTCCCATTTTGAGCTTCTCATTATCTGTCAGTGGAAATGAGTGTGCCCATCTCCCAGAGTTTGGGGAAAAACTTCAATGAGAAAAAGTATGCAAAACACTTCACACAAACACTGGCCCATAGTGACAGCCCGTGGCTGCCAGCTCTCATGATAATTACTGTAGTTATTATTTTAACCATGAGAGCAGTTCAGAGCCAGAAGAGATGGGATGAAATTCCCTGTTGCTAGCCACACGCGCCTGGGAAAGCACTGCACTGAGCCTCAGCAGCACTGCCTTGTGAGGACAGAGCCTGACTGCAGGTAACAGCTGCTGTGCTTGGATCTGGCATGACTCCCAAGGTCACGTGTTGAGGGCTCAGCCCCAACACAGCAAGGTTCAGAGGTGGGGCTTCGGGAGGTGCCTGGGTTGCGCGGGCTCTGACCTCATCAGTGGAAGAATCCACTCATGGACTCCATTCAATGGCATTATGGCAGGTGGGGCCCAATTTTTAAAAGTAGGTCACTGGGAGACCATTTTTTGCCTGGCCCCTTTTCTTTCTCTTTGCCTCCCAGCTGCCATGAGCTGAGTACATTTCCTCCCAAGCCCTTCGGCCAAGACGTTCTGCCTCACCTCAGCCCCAAAGCAACAGGGCCCACCGCCCACGGACTGAAACCTCTGGAATTATGGGCTAAAATAAACCTGTCCTCCAACTTGCCTGTGTCAGGTATTTTGGTCACAGCGATAAAATGCTGACTGATGTAGCTGTTACTGTGGTGTTGGGGTGCAGAGTGTAAGAACCCCAGCACCATGCTGTGGGGTTGTAGCCAGCAGATCACAAGGCTGGCCAGCAGAGGGAAGGCTGTGTGGGAGGATGAGGGAGGCAAGGGGATGCTTGCAGAGAGGCCCAGGAGGGTCTTGGCTATGGGGGGTGGGGGGGGTGCAGGTCTGGAGTGAGCAGGCTTCCTGGGACACTGCCTTCTGCTACACAGCACCCTGTGGCCTCCAAGGCCTCCTTGAACCCTGAGCGCTCTGGGCCCAGGGAGAGACACGAGCCAGCCGACTACTGTGTTTCTGCAGGTTACCAGAGCCTGCCCCTGCATGTAACTGGACCCTGGGAGGAGGCTGCTGGGGAGAAAGGGCTGGAAGGGCTGGGAGTCACTGGGCTTGCCCTGGACAGGGACCTCGCTGTTCAGCCTCAAGGTGTCCTGGGAAGGCAGGGATACTGTGATCCAGATTCACAGAGAAAATACAAGGAGGTAGCAGAGCATGGTGACGACTCCAGAAGCCGAGGTGGGAGGATCGCAAGTTCCAGGTCAGCCTAGGAACTTAGCCAGACCCTGTTTCAAAAAATAAAATAAGAACTTTTAAAAAGAGCTGGGGGGGTGGGGGTTGAGGTTGTGGCTCAGTGGTGGAGCGCTTGCCTAGCACGTGTGAGGCACTGGGTTCAAACTTCAGCACCACATAAAAATAAATAAATCAAATAAAGGAACTGTGTCCATTTACAACTAAAAAATACAAATAAAAATATTTTTTTTTTTGAAAAAAAGGGCTGTGGGTACCTGGGGTGGTGGCTCAGCGGTACAGAGCTTGCCTGGCACATGTGAGGCCCTGGGTTTGATCCTCAGCACCACATAAAAATCAATAAAATAAAGGTATTGTGTCCAACTACAACCAAAAAATAAATATTAAAAAAAAAGGGCTACGGGCTAGGCACAGTGGCACATGCCTGTAATCCCAGTGGCTCTGGAGGCTGAGGCAGGAGGATTGTGAGTTCAAAGCCAGCCTCAGCAATGGTGACGCACTTAGTAACTCAGTGAGACTTGTCTCTAAATTAAAAAAAAAAAAAAAAAAATGGGGATGTGGCTCAGTGGTTGATTGCCCCTAAATTCAATCCCCCCACGCCCCCAAAAAAGGCTGCAGTTGTAGCTCAGTGATAGAGCACTTGCCTACATTACACAAGGCCCTGGGTTCCATCCTTAGTATTGAAAAGAAAAGAAAGAAAATAGAAAAATTTTAAAAACTCAAGAAGTGTCCCAGATTATCCAGCTATAGCCTGGCATAGCTAGACCCAGGCTCAGCTTACAGGACCACAGACCCATGGGCCTCTTTGCTGGGTTCTATAGCAGGGCCAGGGCCCGTCTGTGTGGCCAGAAGAGCCTAGCAGCTCTGGCAGCAGCCTGCTCACTACTTTGCTGTAAAATGACCTCAGAGTAGGCAAAAGTTTCTTAGCTATAAAATTAAAAAATAAGTAAACTGAATTTTAGAATTAAAAATTTTGGTTGGGGGTGGTGGTGCATATCTGTAATCCCAGTGGCTCAGAGGCTGAGGCAGGATGATTGCAAGTTCAAAGCCATCCTCAGCAACTCAGTGAAACCCTGTCTCTAAATAAAACAAAAAGGACTAGGGATGTGGCTCAGTGGTAAAGCACCCCTGCGTTCAATCCCCAGTACCAATAATTAAAAAAAAAAAATTTTGTGCTTCAAAGGATACTATCAAGGAAGTGTAAACAGCCAGGCATGGTGGTACATACTTGTAATCCCAGCTACTCAGGAAGCTGAGGCAGGAGGATCTCAAGTTCAAGACCCCGTCTCAAAAAATAAAAGGGCTGGGGATGTGGCTCTGTGGCAGAGCACCCCTGGGTTCAATCCCTAGTACAAAAACAAAACAAAACAAACAAAAAACCAAAAATCAAAAATACCACCCCTACATAAATGCTCATAGAGCGTTCTCACTACAGCCAGAGTGCAAATGACCCAAACATCCATCTACTGATGTATAAAAATCAATCAAGTGGATACATAAAATGGATATCCATATGCTGGAATGTCATTCAGCAGTGAATCTTGGAAGCACAATGCCATATGAAGGAAGCCAACCACAGAAAACCACATATTTCATGATTCCACTTATAAAAATGTCCAGGATAGGGCTGGGGGTATGGCTCAGGGTAGAGCGCTCGCCTCACATGTGCGAGACCCTGGGTTCGGTCCTCAGCACCACATAAAAATAAATGAATAAAATAAAGATTTTTAAAAAATGTCCAGGGGGCTGGGGATGTGGCTCAAGCGGTAGTGTGCTCACCTGGCATGCGCGGGGCGCTGGGTTCGATCCTCAGCACCACATACAAACAAAGATGTGTCCGCCGAAAACTAAAAATAAATATTAAAAATTTCTCTAAAAAAAAAAAAAAAAGTCCAGGATACGCACATCTATATATGGAGAAGGGAGACTCACGGTTGTCCAGGGCTGGGGGATGAGGAAATGTGGGGGTGACTGCTGAAGTGCAAGGGGTTTCATGAAAATGTTCTGGGAGCAATTTCCATGATGGACAGACAACTCCAGGAAGCTACTAAAGCCACTGAATTATAGAAAGTGTATAAATTTGATAGCATGGGAATTCTATTTGATAAAGCTGTTTTAAAAATTATAGTGTAGAAATATGCCTTTGGGGGCCCACAGTGGTTACTCCTGGGAAAGGATGGGGGCTCAATGACAAGCACCCTGTGTGACAGCCCAGCAGCCAGGAGGCTGAGGGCCTTCGCCCCACACCACAACCATGAGCTGCGAGGGCAGGGGCTGGGCTCCTCCGTTTTCCTCTCTGGGATTTCTGTGGTTTTCACTGTTCTCCAAGTGGGGATTCCATTGCTTTCACAGTGAGGAAAACAGTACAAGGTCCAGGATCCTAAGATGCAGCTTCAGCAATGAGTATAATTTGGGAAACAAAGCAGCCTCGCTCACTCCCCCTCCCTGACAGAGCCTGCAGGTGTCCATCATCTACTGCATGGACTGGCATCAAGGGGCTATAGCGTGGGCCCTCTACACCATGCCCCAGGCACTTCCCTGCCCTCGTGTCTGCCCACGGCCCCTGCAGGCATGCCCACATGGCAGGAGGCCTCTGAGCTCATGCCCCAGTCAGGGCAGAGGGCAGGTGCACTCTTAGCCTTTGAGTGGCTGTGCCAGGTGCAATCCAGGTCTGCAAACTGCTTGCCAGCACCCCCACCTGATGGCTCCTGGCCAACGGGAGACGCAGGTGAGACACAGAGGTGCAGGGTGGAAGAGTGGGCATTTTCACCGTGAGTTCCCCTGTGGGTCCAGCTCCCATAGAACAGCCCTGACCTGGGCTCAGGGCCACAACCTCTTCCCACATCCCTCCAGCTCCTCCCTCATCCGGGCAACTGAGTCCCTGGATTAAACTCCCTGTCTGGTTTGGTTTGATTTAGAACTGAAGGTTGGGGCCAGGATGCTGCAGTAGGGAGCCACAGACCAAGTCCTTTTTATTTTTTATTTTGAAACAGGCTCTCACTAAGTTGCTGAGGGTCTTGATAAATTGCCGAGCCTGACCTTGAACTTGCAATCATCTCCCAAGTCTCTGGAAACTCCCTGTTTTTGGCGCCTCAAGTTGTTGCCATTTCCTGGCTGGCTGCAGATACCATCATGCCATTCCTGAAAGAGGGCTCCTGCTTGTCCTCCAGCAGGACAGGGACCCACCAGCCTTTGGTTTTGCTTTTTATCTTTTTCAATACAGAAAGGCATGAGGGGAAAAAAAAAAAACAGCCCAAGATATCACTACGGCACCTTGCCATAAGGGTCTGTTCAACATTATAAGAATCAGAGAGGCTGAGGGTGCGGCTCAGCAACAGAAGCATGGCAAGGCCCTGGGCTCCGTCCCCAGCACCAGCACCAAAACAAACAAAACAAAACCTAAAAATATTCAAAAAGAAAAGAAAAGTACTGCACAGTAAAGTAGAAGTTTTTCCCACCTTCCTCTTCAGAACTCTCCCCTAGTAAATGCATCCAGAGAAAAATGGAAATGTACGAACACACCAGTGCTCTCTACTGCACATACACGTGCGTCTTGTTCAAAGCCATTGCACACAGGGTAGTGCTATGCACACAGTTCTCTGGCTTATTTTTTTCATTCAAATGACACACCCTGGGCCTGTCCGTCCACACAGCTTTCCCCTGCTCCTTACAGTGGCTAGAGGTATTTAGGTAGTTTCCAGGATTTTGTGTTAACTTCAGTGAACATCCATCTTGGGACATGCGTTTGGTGCCCTTTTCACAGAAATGTTTACTGTGAAAAACAGAAGCCTTGGGGCTGCAGATGTGGCTCAGTGGCAGTGTCCTGGCCAGCATGGGTGAAGTCCTGGCTTCAATTGTCAGCCCCACAAAAAAAGCAGCAGCCACCTTTATTTTCTTTCCTAATATTGGAAAATAAAAATTCACTACAGAAAACCACCTAGACAGTATTCCAAAAGAATACACCAAGAAAAGAAAAACAGCCCGCCCGGAGGCACATGTCTGTAATCCCAGCAGCTGGGGAGGCTGAGGCAAGAGGACCACAAGTTCAAAGCCAGCCTCACCTAAAATGAGGTGCCAAGCAACTCAGTGAGACCCTGTCTCTAAAAAGTACACAGAATAGGGCTGGGGATGTGGCTCAGTGGTCGAGTGCCCTTGAGTTCAATCCCGGGTACCAAAAACAAACAAAAAAGGCCCCGTGAGTCAATCCCCTCTGAACGGAGGCCCATTTCCTTCCAGGCTTTCGTCAATGCACATTTTCTCAGAGTTGGGAGGAGGGGTCTGATAATCATTTACTGAGGAACTACCAAGTGCCAGGCACTGTGCCAAGCACCATCGTGGACTGTTTTATAAATCCCAATAATGCCCTCATGGATGGGAAGCTTCAGGCCAAGAAGGAAAGGAGTCACAGACAGCGCGGCTGCCCAGTGTTCCACGTCACCAACCTCAAATGACCCGGGGGCAAGACGTGGAGGAAGACCACCTACCTCTGACAGTGCCTCAGAGGCAGTCTCAGGGCTCCGGAGGCTGTCCCCTGGCGTGGGGGTGCTGCCGTCTTCCCCCCTCTGGCCCACGCTCAGGGCCTGCTCCCACTTCTGCAGTGCCTCCTCGAAGAGCTCCATGCCTGGGCACAGGCAGGAGGACAGTCAGGCCCCGCCTCCTGAGCCTCACTTAAGAAGGGCGCACACGGAGGGAGGCAGGGGGTCACAGGAAAAGGAGAACCTAGCATGCCTGGGGAGCTGGGTCTGACCACTCTTCAGAGTTGGTCAGATTCCAGGCCTTCACTTAGACCAAATTTGTTCCTGGACACTGTCCCCTGTCCAAAAAGGGCTGAAAATCACTGAATGGGGGGCTTGGGGCAGGGTTGGGGCAGCACCTGGAGCAGGGCCCAAGCCCCAGCGGCTCTGGGCAGCCCTCCTCCACCCCGCCCTGGCGGAGTCAGCCTCCTGCTTGCACCTTGTGCGTAGAGACGCTCAGCACTGCCGTCGGTGACGGGCACAGATTCCTCCATTCCTCGGATGTCCCACGGTCCCGAGCACGCAGCAGTGGGACTGGATGAGTTCACCACCACCATCTGGGTGCCAAGCACAAGGTCAAGGAGTGAGGACTCTGCAGACCCTTTCCAGGACCCCTCTGAGCCCACCCCCACAGCCTCCCAAAACCATCCTGCAAGCCTGGCCACTGTTCAACTTTCAGAATGGCCTGAATCCACAGCTCAAGCACCTGACGATGCCAGCCAGAGCCACCAACACAGGAGGAACCAGGCCAAGGCCCGCCTGGCACTCAGTGTCTGCCTGTGAAACATGCTCCCAGTCCTTGCTGTACCAGACAGACTCAGAAGGCAGGAGTGCCCACCACCTGCCAGTCTCTCATCCACAGGACTGGCTGCGCCCTCCTGCCAGAGGCTATGGGCTCCAGAGGACAAGAACCATCCCTTGCTCACCCCTGTGTCCCCAGGGTGGTGCTGGGCTCGAGCTTGCTGAGTGAATTATTAACTAGACGAGTGAAGGAGCCGAAGCACTGCTCCAGGAAAAAACAAGCTTCCCTTTGTCCTATTTATCTCTAGATCCTCAGCACCTAGCAGTGTCCCTGTCACCACGCAGGCGTTTGCTCAGTGTCTGAGAAAAGAATGAAGAAAGGTATTTTCAGAGATAAGTGCCTTCCCCAAGAGGCCGTCAGCCTCTCTCTTCTGCACCTGTCCACCTTTCTCCCATGTGGCTGCAGCCTGCAGCCATCTCTGAAGACCTATATGCATGGATGAACAAAGGCACGAATAAATTGAAACTTCTCCAGTCTTCCTGCTAGTCCAGAAGCTCCCTGAGGGCAGAGTGGGGGCTGTGCTGGGTGCCCTCCCTGGCCATCCCCACCCCAGCTCCTCACCGAGGCCAGGCTGTGGGAGGAGCCTGAGTGTTTGCTGGGCTCAATGGAGGAAATGCCACTGAGAGTGTCATTGCTCTTGCTACTGGGGCTCTGTCCCCTCCGGCTGGAGTAACCTGTGAGGAACAGGAGGCAGGTCATGCAGAAACCCCCCAATTCCCTGGCACTCCTCATCTGGGAGCACGTCCTGACCTTCTGGGTCAGGTAACAGCAGAGCCAAGGAACACGGGGCTCCTGCTGTTCTGCTCAAGCCCTAACCTGTCATCCAGCACAGGACCATGCCCGGAGGAGCATCCCAGGCCTGCTGGGATGAGCTCAGGATGAGGTCCGGCCACTTCCCTGCCTCCGTACTCTGCTTCCCTGTGTTGTTGGTTATGTGAAAGATTTGGAATTTTCCTCCTTCCAAGAGGGAGTCAAGACAAAAACATTTTTAACATATAGAAAATTTTGTTTTAAGTGAGAAAAGTAGGGGCTGGGGTGTAGCTCAGTGGTAGAGCACATGATTAGCATGCATGAGGCCCTGGGTAAAGAAGGGAAGGGGTCAAAGGTGAAGTGGGATGGTAGTGGTGGCACAGTGCAAGCAGACTAGAGGCTGGTGTGGACATGGGTCCAGACCTCCCAGGGGCCACTGCAAGGTGACAAGACTATCGTTAACTTCTTCTAACTATAAAGATAAAACTTTATTTTGCTGTGAAATTTTATATCGAAAATTCTTCTTCCAGCCAGATGTGGTGGTGCACGCCTGTAATCCCAGCAGCTCAGGAGGCTAAGGCAGGAGGATTGCAAGTCCAAAGCCAGCCTCAGCAACAGCAATTTAGCCAGGCCCTAAGCAACTTAGTGAGACCCTATCTCTAAATAAAATATAAAGAGGGCTGGAGATGTGGCTCAGTGGTTAAGCACCCCTGGGTTCAATCTCTGGTACAAAAAATAAATAAATAAATAAAAAGTTCTCCCCAGAAGGAGGCTTTGGCTTCTTAAAATGAATCTCTCTCCAGGTGAAAGTTTATGAGAACACCTGGCGCTGGAACAGATTGATAGGATGCTCAGGTGTGGCAGACAGCTTCATTTAATAGATTACAAGGAGCCATGAGTTTTCTAAACCCATACCAGCTAGCCACAGATGGGCGTCTGCCAGGAATAGGAGTAGGGGAGAGGGGCTGAGGACAAAGGGACTGGGGGGGATGAGGGGATGACAGAAAGGTTATTGCTGTGGGCCGATTATATGACCATATGCATGTCAACGCTCAGAAGTGTTATGCGAAAAGGGTGACTATCGCCGCAGGCAAGTTGTGGCTCAGTTTTCTAAAACACGGGATGGGAGCTACAGCAAGAGCCAAAGGCCCTTCCTGTCCCTGAACCTCAGGGAACTGCCCCCAGCCGGCCACACCCACCAGCGCCCCTCTGTACCAGGTGCTCCCAAAGGGTCCCTGGAACCACCCACTGGTGGGACATGTGCATCAGGCACACCATCCACTAGACCCTTACGATGACTGCAAGAAGGTTCTACCCCTGTCTCTTGGATGGTGGGAATCTAGCTGTGAGACGGAAGGCACTAGCCCAAGACCCCACAGTTACTGGTGGCCCTTGGAATGTGACCAAGTCAGTGCTTCCCCACTGCAAGCTTACCTTTCTTCACTGATGGGACCTTCCGGGCCATAAGGATGGGCAGGGGCACTGTGCCCAGCTGTTCACCTCCAACTTCAGGGCCAACCTGCTTCTTCCTCCGCCGGCGCCTCTTCAGCTGGTGGGCAGCTAGGGCCAAGGCCACAGTCCCGAGGGCTGTGGCAAAGAGAACCTTGCGCAGGCCTGGGGTCAGCCGCAGCTGTGAGAATGCAGACTGTGGGAAAGAGAGGGTGGCTGGTTACATTGCCCCAGGGAACACTATCCCAAGAGCACTCAGGTGCTGGGCACCTAATGTCCCTGCACTGACCAGATAAGTGACAAAGGTAGTCACTACTGGAGAGAGGACCTGATCAGCCTCTCTGAAAGTGGACTACAGATATATAAAGATGAAAAAGGGCCAACACCAAGGAGCTGAGGCCTGGGGTCCAGCAGGCATCCCTGAAGTCATTAGTCAGGATGACCTAGGGCACAGGGATACAGCGCCTCTCACCAGGCACTGCACCAGCACTTGAGCTGTGTCACATCCCGGTGACACATTGTCCAGGTGAGGAATGGAAGTCACAGAGGTTAAGACACATGCTCATAGTGACAGAGGCAGCATGGGAACTCCGGTCTGCCGGCCCTCGATTCTCAAAGACTCTGCGAAGATGATGATGCGTCTCACTCTCCCCTCGCCCTCTGCTCGCTGGACTGGGAGCCTGCTGGGTGGACCACATCCCATAGGATAGGGCTTCAAGAAGCATCCAGAGGACTGGGGCTGTGGTCAGTGGTAGAGCGCTTGCCTGGCACGTGTGAGGCCCTGGATTCGATCCTCAGCACCACATAAAATTAAAAAAATAAAGTAAAAAAAATTCACTGGCAACTAAAACTTATTAAAAAAAAAAAAAAAGAAGCGCCAGGAGTCCAGGTCAGCTGGGTGCAGTGGCCACACCTGTAATCCCAGCAGCTCAGGAGGCTGAGACAGGAGGATCACGAGTTCAAAGCCAGCCTCAGCAAAAGTGAGGCACTAAGCAATTGGGAGACTCTGTCTCTAAATAAAATACAAAATAGGGCTGGGATGTGGTTCAGTGGTCAAGGTCTCCTGAGTTCAATCCCTGGTACCAAAAAACAAAAGAGCCCAGGTCAGCCAGGAAAGTTGAGCTGCCAGGGAGGCAGCCCACCTGCTTCTGCAGACAAGCTCTGAGGTCAAGGACTCACATGGCCTTGATGTGAAGACCAGGCTCAGGGCCCAGACTCCTAACCCAGTCCCTCTTACTCTGCTCAGAGATGACACCTGATGGTTGGGACATCAGTGACAAGGGCCCAGCTCTCCCAGACACTGAGGGTCCCTGGGCTGAGCAGTTCAGTGTTTGAGGGACCAGAAGCATAAGAGGCAGGGCCATCCCCATCCTTACCTGCCCAAAGGTTGTGTACAGGAATACAGGGATCTCCGCCACCGTCATGGCCAGAGCCTGGATCATGGACATGCCCTCAGTCCTCCGGAACGCCATGGCAGGACCGGCACCCCAGGCAAGAGAGCCCGTGGGGCCAAGAGTTTCCCAAGAGAACACCTTCAGCTGGTTGCCCACCGGGTCTGAGGCACCGTCCACTCGCCAACCAGACAGGGACACTCATACCAGAGAGTCCCTCCACAGATCTGAGAGACAGACAACCAGGTCAGCACATGGATATGCACACATGGACACAGAGATCCACACAAGGCTTCAGAGCACAGGGAGAGACAAAGCCTATGTCTGGAACACCAGCTGGAATCGGGCCCCAGACCCTGCACCTGGCAGCAGGTGGGCAGCCAGATCCTCACAGACCCTTGCCCACCTCGAGCCCTGGGAGCAGAAGGCAGCACCTCTGGCATGCTGGCCAAAAAGAGGACCCAGGCCTGGAAGATGGACAGGTCACCTTTTTAAGCCCCGGGCCACTTGCTAAACAAAATTCTCAGCCCAAGACTGAGAATAATCACATCTTTTTCACCTTCTATGAAGTTAAGCTCTGTGGACTGTACCAGAAAAGGACAGCAGGGTCCACTCCCCAGACGAGGACAATGGCTATTTTATGCTGAGCTCTTTATCTATGTTATTTCATCGATCTGTCACAATTCTTCTTTTTGGGGGGAGGTGAGAGAGAACAGGGTCTCACTAAGTTGTCCAGGCTGGCCTTGAACTCATAATCCTACTGCCTCATCCTCCTCCCGAGTTGCTGGGAAACATCACAGCAGATGCTACCTACTCACCCTTCTGCCTGTGCTGCCTCCACCTTCCAATGAGGAAACTGAGTCTCGGGAGGCTGTCAGGAGTCCAAAGTCATACTGGTGTGGGGAGTCAGGATTTGGATCAAGTTCTGTTGGACTCTAGACTGCTCAATGCAACCCTTTTGCTAAATTTGACAGGAAGCAGGAAGCTCAGGCCCAGAAGAACCACAGGGAACAAGAGCAGCTTTCTCTGGACCTTTTGAAACCCTCCCAGAGTATCCTACTGTTCCCTTCCAAAGCCAGGGAATAAGTACCTTGATCACACAGCCCAGATCCTAAGACCCTGCAGGGTGTTCCCCAACTGCCAGCACGAAGCCTAAGGATGCCTTCAAGGGACCTCAAGCAGAAGGAACACACAGGCCAGGACAGACCCTGTCTCCCTGGGATAGTGGCCAAAATCACTGGGCCAGCACAAGAGACGGCTTATCCCCAGTGAGTGGGAAGGACCTACAGTCCTATCAGTCCAGCTCTGAGGCTGGGAGGTGGGGTGCAAGGAATGATGGCACAGTGACATTCTAGGACTAAGGAAACTGCCACGTTGTCAGGAGGCTTCGATTAGCTGTGACCTCCAGTGGTTGGTCCAGGTCATGCTGCAAGCCCCTCCTCCCATCCCCAAGCCTGGCTCAGGCCTGGAGTTGGGGTGATAAGAACATCAGAGGTTCAGCAGCTACTTTTCCCAAAGCACTTATTACAGGTTTGAGTCCAGCCACAGCAGAACCCTCATGATAACCACAGTTATCATGGGGAAAGTAAGGCTCTGAGAAGTGAGCAACTTCACTGAGGTCACTCAAATATCCCCAGTTGGCGGGGGTGCGGGTGGGGGTGGTGGTGGGGGTGGGGGTCTAAGGCTGCAGTGGTGCTTCCCAGGCACTGCTTTCTCCAACTCCACTGCTTGTCTGTGCCACACCTGAAGGACTTTCAAGCCCCTGAGCTTCTGAGAAGCCCACCTGGGGTTATAAGGATGAGCACGGATGCATGTGCCAGGAGCCAGACAGGTAGAGGGGGCACTGAGGCCTGGTATTTGTCTGCCTGAGAGTCTAGATAGCCTCTGCTGTCCCCCTTGAGAAGAAGGTAACAACTTCCCTTCCAAGCCCACCTCATTGCAGGGAAGGGTCCAAATCCAGTCCATTCATGACCTACCTATACATCCCCCTGGCACAAGCCAGGGCCAGAGGAAAAGAGGCCTCCACCTCCTAACTATAGTGAAAACCCTGTGGCAACACCCCCCCCCCCAACAAAGACACCTATCGCTGGGCAAGGCAGGGCTCCACCTGGGCAACCACCTCTTTCCTGCTCTACAATCTTGGGTCAGCACCTCCTCATTCCACTTCCAGACATTACAACACTCTCAGCCTGGATGCCCATGCCTTCCATCCTAGGTCCTCTTCCCCTGCTCTGGACAACCCCCAAAGGCCTCTGGCCTGGGTACCCTTTAATCCATCTTGACCCCAGAATGTCCCCAACCCAGGCCCTCCCTTGGGCCACCCTGTGCCCAGTCTTCTGTTCATCCCATCCCATATACCTCCGAACTCCCACCTGGCCCAGCACTGGGTAGACAAGCACTGAGACAGCAGTGCTCATTCCATTCCGGATATCTTGCACTGCCTAGGCCAGGCCCCTTCCTCTTTGACTCCTACTCCTAGAATATCCTTGAGGTTCGTCCAGGCACCCTCCAGCATCACCCACGGCCAGCACACCTGGTCCTTCCATCCCGAGTACTTTCTCAGTCTGGGTTCGGACACCTGCATTTATGTTCGGATACCAGCAACGTTCCAGGCCCGGGTGTCTCCTCTCTGACCCAGGTACCTTCTCGTTCTACCGCCAAGCAAGGCACCCTCTCGCGCTTCCCTCGGCCCGAGTACCTACTCATTCCATCCTGAGCACCTTACCGGTCCGCCTGGGCCGGGACACCTGCACCCGCCCAGTTCCCTGCGCAGGGCTGAGCCACGCGCATCGCAAGCTTCTGTCTGGGACCTTGTCCCGCTGCCCGCCCGTAGGGTCGACTCAGCCAGGCCGGCACTCACCCGGGATCCCATCGCTGAGGAAGGGCAGCGTCTCCTTCCCCGGCAGCCGCGCAACCAAACCCGCGACCGCAGGGGGCGTGGTTCCGAGCCCAGCCGACCGGCTCTAGCCAATGAACGCCGCCAAACTACTCGGCACCGCCTTGGCCCTTGGCCAATCGGGTGGCGCACGTGATCACTCTGGGCCCGCCTCTCCTGCCCTCTGACCCTCCTCCTAAGTGCGGTTGAGGTGCGGGAGTGCTCTCTTCTCTCCTACCATTGGCCACCAGGTTTAGATTGACACAGACGGCCGAGAGAGACCCGGAGCCTCTCAAGGAGAGGAGGCGGAGCAGTCAGGCCTCCGGGGGCTGTCTGTGCTCTCGAGTTTGGCTCCTCTATTCCAATCCAGCTGCTCCCTGATCAACAAATCCTTCCTGCTTCTCTTTTTCTTTTTTTGTACTGTGGATTGAATCCAGGGGCCTTAACCACTGAGCCACACCCCCAAGCCTTTTTATTTTTTTTATTTTGAGCCAGGGTCTCGCTAATTTGCTTAGGGCCACACTAAGTTGCTGAGGTTGGCTTTGAACTTGTGATCCTCCTACGTCAGCCTCCTGAGTCTCTGGGATTACAGCCGTGCGCCATCCGCCATCCACCGGACCTCTCCTGTCCTTCAAACGTCTATTTTCAAATACCACCGCCTTCGACTTCCCTCTGCATCCTCTTAATCAGTTGCCACTCTCCACCTTGTTCTGGAGCTTCTGCAGAAGTGCCCCTCTTGCCAGCCAGACATTGTGTTCCCAAGGATTGAAGTCAAGTTGGAAATCAGTTCTGACCACCTAACCATGCCCTATGCTAAACTTTGGGACCTTGTTTTGTTTACTATTTCATTTCTGTTGCCTGGAAAGAACAGTACCTGGCACGTAACAGGTACTCAATGTGAGTTATTACTGATTTTCTTTTAAATTGATGTGTGTTAATAAATAAACATGTAGGGCTGGGGATGTGGCTCAAGCGGTAGCGCACTCGCCTAGCATGCGTGCGGCCCGGGTTCGATCCTCAGCACCACATACAAACAAAGATGTTGTGTCCGCCGATAACTAAAAAATAAATATTAAAAAAAAGTTCTCTTAAAAAAAATAAATAAACATGTAACCAGTATTGGTACATGGCTTTAGATGATATAATATGGCTGGATACTGGTTAAATGCTATGGTTGGCCAAAGACCAATAACTGATAAACAAATCAGTGATCAATACACACAAACAAGGCACATAGTGACAGATACATGGAGTTTAGGAATTACAGTTGTGATTTTAAAGTCCATAAAAGCTCTTTATACACAGTAAGTCACTAGTGGTTCTGAACTGGTCAGTGGCTCTAAAATTGAGTCACCTGGGAGCTTTTTAGAACTTCACCTTCCTGGGCCTCACCTGAACTAACAGGACTAGAGGAGGGACCAAGGCCTGAATTTTCAACAAATCCCCAGGTGATTCAAGGCTCACCCCTGCACAGACAGGCAGAGGTAGGTGATAGGGAACTGGGGAAGTACAGGGAGATGAACAAGCCAGTAAGGACAGGGTACCAGCTCAGGAACATCTCTTTCTGGGTTAAAAGATGAAGCCTAGCCATGGTGCACAAGGGCAGGGATGTAGGAGCCACCCAGTGCCAGCTACTCAGGAGGCTAAGGCAGGAGGATGGAAAGTTCAAGACCAGCCTCACCCACTTAGCAAGACCCTGTCTCAAAAAATAAAAAGGGCTGGGGATGTAGTTCAGTAGTAAAGCACCCCTGGGTTCAATCCACCATACAGGGGGCATAAAGCCTAAACTGGGGAGCAAGCCTGTAATCCCAATGACTTGAGAGTCTGAGACAGGAGGATCACAGGATTGAGGCCAGCCCAGGCAATTTAGCAAGACCCTGCCTCAAAATACAAAATAAAAAAAGGGCTGGAGGTATAGCTCAGTGGTAAAGTGCCTGTCTGGCATGTTTGAGGCTCTAGTTTGATCTCCAGTACCAGAGGGGGTGGGAGAGAAGACGAGGAAGAAGTAAAAAAAAAAAAAAAAAAAAGTCTAGAGGTAGGGAACAAGGACAGGTACAGAAAGGTAACAAGCTCTTCCTAAACCCCAAGTTCCAAGAGAATGTGGGCAGGCAGCAAGAGTATCTTGAGGTCATGCTCCTATCAGTCTGGGATGTGAGGAACTGAGTTCAAGTTCAGCACATGTCCATACCCTAAGAATAGCCCATCCGCAGAGACAAATGTTGGCTGTCCAACCAAAGTATCTCATCTCCTCACACACTGGGTTTGGGCTCCAACCCCAGGGCACCTTTCTTTCCCATGATCCCTCTCTACATCCCACTACAATTTGGGGAAACCAGAGGGGACAAATAGCAGTAGAAGGTGAGTCCACAGCTGGCTTGTCTCGGCTCAGTTGTTCCATAGGGTGACCAAGATCAGGGCAGAAGAAGAGAGGGGAAGGTGAGAGCGGAGGAGGAGAGTCCCAGGGAAAGAGGTAGAAAATTGGGAGACCAAGGGCCTACTAGACAGGGGACAGTGTTGGAATAAAGGGAAAGGGAATTGAAAAGGCACAAACGGGAGAGGAAGGGACAAAGGAGGGGCCAGCCACAGAGGCCTGATCAATTTAGAGATCGATTGCTCAGCTGCAGAACGACTGTAGTTAATGAAAATGTGTTGTATATTTCAGAACTTCTGAAGAGGTAGATTTGTAATGTTCTCACCACAAAATAATGATAAATAGGTGAGGACATGTTAATTAGCTTGCTTTCATCATTCCACGATATGAACATACATCAAAACATCACTTTGTAACCCCTAAATATATACAATTCTTACTTGTCGATTAGAAATAGAATTTGTAAAAAGCAGCAGCAAGAGGGCAACTAGTATGTAATTATGCTGTGCACCTGCAATAAGCTAGCCGCACGTGTGCTTCCAGGCGTAATAATCCCAGGGGGAGCGGCCCGAGAGGCGGGGCCGGCTCCGGCCGGCAGGGGCAGCAGCGAGCCCGGCAGCTGCCCGCCAGGCCCCGCCCCGGCCGCGGCGCCCCGCCCTGCGCTCGGGCGGCTCGGCGGCGGACTGGCCGGCGGAGGGCCGGCGCTGGCAGCAGGTGGGCGGGGTGCGGGCGGCGGCGGCGGCGGCGGGGCCGGGCCGGGGGTTGCCCGCAACGCTGGGGCCCGCGCGGCGGCCGTGCGTGCGGGCGCGCCATGGACTTCAACATGAAGAAGCTGGCGTCGGACGCGGGCATCTTCTTCACCCGGGCGGTGCAGGTGAGGCCTGGCGCTGCGCCGGGCGCCCGGGGCCCGGATGTGAGGCGGGCGGCGAGCACCCAGCGGCAGGAGCCTGGGGACACGGGTCTACCCTGCCCCTGCTGCTGCCACCGTGCCCGCCGCGGCGACACCTCGCCCCGCTGAGGCCCTGCTCCTTCTGCCCTACCCAGAAGAGAGCAAGAGCCGGGGACCCGGCGCCCTGACCGCACGGTCTGCGTGGCCCAGGGCCGGGCGAGCAGGGCCTGAGCCCTGTTGCCTGGGAAGAGGTAGCAGCGTCCACCATTTGGACCTGCCAGGTTGTCCCGCTGCCCTGGCGCCTGCCACCTGGAGGGGGGAGCGGGCACTGGGTGGCTCCTACATCCCTGTCCTTGTCCAGCATGATTCTGGACTCCACTGGGGCGTTTGGAGACATGGGTCCCAAGCCAAGGCCACAACCCCTTCTCTGAGCCTCAGTCTCCACACCTGTGCAATGGACAGGTGGTCCGGTGGTTTCCTATGGTCCGTTTTCCACGCTTGGATAGTCAGGCCGGAAGCCAGGAGTTATTTTCTTTCTGCTCCAAGGGAGGCCTGTTTCCTCCATTCCCCAGGCCTGGGGGATGGGGAGAGGGCCAGGGTCTGGCTCATTGCCCTCCTTGGGAGGCTGCCCAGGTCCATGTTGGGGAGGCTGGAGCGCATTCTGTCCATTTGGGGTGAGAAAGAGAAACTGAGGCAGCTCCATGTCCTGGTGAAGACCTGAAGTCAGCTATGGGTGTGAATGCCCCTTGTGTGACCTTGGGGGAAGGGGCTTCATCTTGCTGGGCCTTCTTGAGGTGAGAAACAGGATGAGCCTCCCCTGTGCCCAGGCTGGATAGGAGGGATGCTGTAGCAGTGCTCACTAAAGGCAAGCTCCTGGTTGGGGTAGGGTGGTTTAAATTGCACCAGTGCAGCATGTGACCTTGGGCAAGTCACTGTCTGAGCCTCAGTTTGCACCACTGTAAATCAAGTGTGAGGCCTCCAAGGGTGGGTGTGGGACGCCATGAGATCCTGCACCCAGGGCCGGCCCATCTCAGTATTCTGGAACAGATTCTGTTGTGCTGTCCTTGTCATTGTTGGCTCTGCTGCGCAGTTGCAGTTCTCTGTCCCTAGAGAAGCCTAGCCCCAGCCACTCTCTCAGAAGCCCGTGTGGCCATGTTTACTAGAAAGCACTGTATCCCTTTGAGGAGGAGTGCCCTGGTAAGGGTGAGGATTGTGCCTCTATTTTCCAAGCTGGGAGATGCTGGGACCCAGAGCCTCAGTCCGGCTGGGAGGTGGCAACCTTTCTTTGTGTTGTTATGGCAACCACTCTATCTCCCACATCTGGGAAGAACCTGATCTGCCACTTTCCTGCTACTGGTGCGGCCCTGCCACCTGACCTGGCAAGGCCCTCAGAGGGAGCATTGGGTGTGGGGGGTTGGGCACGGTGGCCTGATGGGGGCAGCCCACAGGGTCACTCACGCTGGAAGGGGAGCCAGTGCCCAGAGCAGGGTGGAGGAGGGAGCTGGGAGTTTATAAATAGAGGCTTTCTCTGCTCTGCACGCCCACCCCCAGCTGTTGCCATCTAGCTGGGAGCAGTCTCGGACTCAAGCACCAAACCCTTTCCCTTTGGCAGGAATAGGACAAAGTGGCAGGCCAAAGGAGAGGGGGCCTGAAAAGTGACTGGGCAGGAGAGGCCACTGGGATGGCTGGGTCCAGGCTGCCCTGGGATGGAGGGGCTTCTTCTTACCAATATGTGGGCAGCTCTCTGGTCAGTGCCACCTTGTGCCAGGTTGTGCTGGGCGGGTGCCCCACCCCTGTGTACCCAGAAGGACTTTAAAAGCTTCATCTCACCCCGACCCCACAGGGCACAAGAGGGCATTGGCCCTGGGGTGAGACCCAGAGGACAGGATGCCTTTTGCAGAAAGATACTAGGGTGGTTTCTAGGATGGAGGGCCCCAGAGTTGGTCGGAAAGTGAGGCAGGGTGTGTGCGGTGGGCTCAGGGAGAGCACTTCAGGGGGCAGAGCAGCCCAGATCAGGGCCCTGAGGCAGGACAGCTGAGGGCATTTTTTGTTAAGGTTGGGAGTGGGCACAAATGCTGCCAAGCCCACTGATGTCATGGCATCAACAGCCGTGGAAGTGGGAGAAGTACTGACAAAAAAAAAACAGAGGGGTGGTGGCATTGCCACTGTCCGAGCCAGGCAGGCAGTGGTGGGCAAGGGATGAACACCCGAAGGGTTGGGAAAACCTGGTAGATCCTCAGACTTGGGTGGATACAGGTGTGAGGGCCAGGTGGCTGAGCGCGGTGGCGCCTTAACCTTAACCCCAGTAAGAAAAGTGGGCTCCAAAGTGCACTGTAGGGTGACATCATTAGTGCCATCAGGGAAGCTCCTGAAACCCAAAGGGACCTGAGGGAGGCCTCCCTATTATGGGTGATGATGATGATACTAGGCTCACATTTATCAGTCCCATACTGTGCTCCAGCCAGACACTCTGTGAGATAGGTTATCTGCATTCTTGGGGGGAAAACTGAGACCCAGCAGGGCACAGTGGTACACGCTTATAATCCTAGCAGTTAGGGAGGCTGAGATAGGAGGATCCAAGTTCAAAACTAGCCTCAGCAACGGTGAGGCACTAAGCAACTCAGTGAGACCCTGTCTCTAAATAAAATCCAAAATAGGCCTGGGGATGTGCCTCAGTAGTCAAGTGCCCCTGAGTTCAATCCCCAGTACCAAAACAGCAACAAAAAACCCCTGAAGCCCAGAGAGGTGACTTTGCCTCTGTCAGTCTTGTTTTCCTCATCTGGAAAATGGGACTGGCAACAGCCCCCTCAAAGAGCTGGGTGGGGTAAAGCCTGCTCAGTGATAGGGCAATCGGGGCATGGCCCAGGGTCAGGTGCGGGCCTGAGACACTGCCTCCTCACTCTGGGGATTGTGAGGAAGTGGAGAGGAGGAGGTGGCTGTGACCCTGCCCACCCTGCACTGCAGGGAGAAACCCAAGTCCTGCTACATAATTGATGGCTTCTGTGCAGCCTGAGCTGGCAGCTGCTCAGTTCCCCACAGCTGGAGCCGTCTGCAGTGTCTGGGTGATTCATCACTGCCAGGTGGCTCAGAAGGGCCCCCAGCCCCCTAGATCATGCCAACCCAGACTCCAACACAGTCCTGCCTGCGTTCATCCTCAGTGGCCACGTCTGTGAGATGGGAAGCTTGGCCCTGCCTTTTTTTGTGTGTGTGTGGTGCTGGGGATTGAACCCAGGGCCTTGGCCCTGCCTTGTATGGACATAGTGAGCCCTGGGAGCCCCTGGCCAGGCTGGTCTGTGGCACCTGCTGCTGTCCTTAACTTCTGCCTCACCTCTGGCTGTTTGGCCGTGACCATGGGCAAGCCCCATCTCCTAGCTGGAGGAGGCCTGGGTATCTGTTTGGAAAGTGGGTACATTTGTCTCAGGGCCCTTTGATCAGAGGGGTCAGGACTAGGGCCACTTGCCCATTGTTCCTAGTGGCCTGCATAATTCCTGCCAGCTCTGATAGGGACCTATGTGACCTCCTGGGGCCCTGGGTGTGCCCAGTTGCTGGCACCGATGAGCTGGCGGTATTTTCTGTCCACCACACCCTGCAGCCGGAGGCCAAGCACTTGGCCATCTCTCCTCCCGCACTCCTTCCTGCTCAGCCCGCCGCCCCTCTGCTCTGGGCACAGCCCTCGCGGCTCACCCCGGCTCCTGGCTCGCCTCAGCCTCTGAGCAAGAGGCTCTTGGTGTCTTGTTTGCAGCTGGAGGTGCTGATGGCTGGAGAGGCAGAGCTCTTTCCCTAGCTCACACACCTTGACAGGGCAGAAGTGAGGCCTGAGTCAGGCCCTTTCAGTTCTAGAAGCCTGGCAGCCCCTTCCCAGCAGTTCCCAGGTGCCATGGAGCCCCTGACCACCCTGGGCCTCTGTGCCTGGTTGCTGCCTGAGCACTTGCTACCAAGTCCTGAGCCTCAGTGTCAGGCCTAAAAGACCCAAGAGGTGGCCCCCCGAGGCCCCTGCCTGGCTGGGCGCTATGCCCGTGTAGGCACGTGCATGTGGGGAGAGGCTGTGGCCTTCCTTGAATTCCCAGGAGGACTGTGATCCCAGCACCCTGGTTCTACAGAGGGACACATTGAGGCCCAGAGTGGGGTTGGAACTTGGCAATGCTGTGAAGGTCCTTGACCCTGGAGGATTGGGGCCTTCCTCCTCCTCTTCCTGATCCCTCTCCACCCCCCAGTTCACGGAGGAGAAGTTTGGACAGGCCGAGAAGACCGAGCTTGATGCCCACTTTGAAAACCTTCTGGCGCGGGCAGACAGCACCAAGAACTGGACGGAGAGGATCCTGAGGCAGACAGAGGTGCTGCTGCAGCCCAACCCCAGTGAGTGGGCGCCGGGGGAGGGGAGGGCAGCGGGGGGCATAGGCTGTGGGGGTGCTTGGTGAAAACGAGGCAGGAGGCTTGGCATTGGGCTGCAGGACATTCCCTGGGGCAGTGGAACTGTCAGGTGTGGCACAGAGGAGGTGAAATGCCTGGCAACTAAAGCCCCTGTGGGAGAAGGTGCAGGCAGAACCCAAGCTTGTGAGCCGGACCCAGAGATGGGAAGGGCTGCCCAGCCACACCACAGGCCAGGAACGGCTGGGGCTGAATGCAGGGGAACCTGGGGAGAGAAGTGGCTTTTGGGTGACGTGCGTGTGCACCTGTTGTCTGCTGTGTAGCCAGCTGCAGTGTCTGAGAGCTGCTGGGGGCCAGACCATGTTAATAGATCCTGTGTTCATGAGGGGATGTGCACAGGCTTTGGCTTGCACCCCCCGCCCCCCCGCCCCAGCTGTGTGACCTCAGGCAGGCATGCTGTGTCTCTGAGCCTTGGCTGCTTCCTCTGTGGAGTTAGGGGTTGATGGAAGCAGTTGTGCAGTCAGAGGTGGGCACCCAGGCTGGGCACTCCTGTGGGCAGGGCCTGGCCTGGGCCTGTCTGTCCCTGTGGCTTTCTTCTTTGGGCTTGGACCAGTGAGCCCTGTGGCTTTGGCTGCTGCTTCCCCACAGGTGCCCGAGTGGAGGAGTTCCTATATGAGAAGCTGGACAGAAAGGTCCCCTCACGAGTCACCAACGGGGAGCTGCTGGCTCAGTACATGGCGGAGGCGGCCAGCGAGCTGGGGCCCACCACTCCCTATGGTGAGCAGCCCCACCAGGGCCGGGCTCCTGGGCTTCCCCATCTCACCTTCCTTCCCTCCCTCCCTCCCTCCCTCCCTTCCTTTTTAAAAAATTATGCATTCCACGTGTGAGAACCGCCATCCCTGCAAAGACGATAGAGTAGAAAGTGAGACCCTCCCTCAGCCTCCTTTGGTTTGTGTGAATTTATTTTTTTATTGTTTTGGCACTGGGGACTGAGCCCAGGGCCACTCTGCCACTGAGCTAATTCCCTAGCCCCTGGCCCCATTTAAAAAAAAATTGAGTCAGGGTTTTACTAAGTTGTCCAGACTGATCTCCAACTTGTGATCCTCCTGCCTCAGCTTCCCAAATGGCTGGAATTATAGGAGTGTGCCCTGCATCCAGCTTCATTTTAATTGTTGTTGTTGTTGTTGTTGTATCTTCTTCTTCTTCTTTTTTTTAAGAGATAGTATCCTTTAAAAAAAAAAAAAAAAAAAAAACTTTATTTTTATGTGGTGCCGAGGATCAAACCCAGTGCCTCACACATGCGAGGCAAGCGCTCTACCTCTGAGCCATTGTCCTGGCCCTGTTGTTGTATGGTTAACATTTTTAAAAAGCTCCATTCCTTAATTCTGTGTATTACAATATGTGTTTTAATTTATCACAGTCTTCTTCAGAATAATCCTCTAATCCCAGCAGAATAAGAAAACTTTGCTACAGTATAACTTCGTCCTCCCTTCCTTCCTGCTATGATTGTCAGAGGTGTTGGTGTCTATATTACAAGCCCAACGGTAGTTCATAGCTATATTTTTATGCAGTTATCCTAAAATTAGCTGGGCACTCTGGTGCACGCCTGTAATCCCAGCGGCTTCAGAGGCTGAGGCAGGAGGCTCTCAAGTTCAAAGCCAGCCTCAGCAACTAAGCAAGGCCCTAAGCAACTCAGTGAAACCCTGACCCTAAATAAAATACAAAATAGGGCTCAGTGGGCAAGTGCCCTGAGTTCAATCCCTGGTACCAGAAAAAAAAAAAAAAAAACATCAGTTAAGGGAGGAAAGAGAACTGTCTGCCTGGATGCTGTTTTTTATTCTTTAGGATTGCCTTTCCTGTGCTCCTTTTTTTTTAAGTTGTAGATGGACACAATATCTTTATTTTGTTTTTGTTTTTACTTGGTGCTGGAGATCAGACCCAGTGTCTCCCGAATGCTAGGCGAGTGCTCCACCACTGAGCCCCAGCCCCAGCCCATTTTATGTTTTATTTTGGGACAGGGTCTCACTAAATCATTGAGGCTGGCTTCTAATTTGCAGTCCTCCTGTATCAGCCTCTGGAATTGCTGGGATCACAGGTGTGCTCCGATGTGCCCGCTCTTTATGGATATTCTTTATTTGCTGAGTCATTGTCATCATGATTTCCTTGAATTCTTTCAACATGATTCTTTCTTGAAAAGAATCTAAAGTGCCTGCTAAGGCTAGCGTCTGCTTCCCTAGAGAATGTCTTATTCTTTTTTCTCCCTGCGTCTTTATAAGTCTCATAGTTTTTTTTATTGTTGTTGTTGTTGTTTTAAACGTTTTAGACAATAGCTCTGGATTCTGGTACCCCTGGGGGTTGTTGCTGTTTGTTTGTTTAAAGACTTGTTTGAGGTACTTGTTTAAAGAACCTATGAAGTGTGTAGCTACTAATGTTTCTGCATCCCAGAAACATTTTTAAAATAGTAGTTCATAACTACTGAAATTTTTTTTTTTTTTGTACCAGGGATTGAACCCAGAGGCACTTAACCACTGAGCCACATCCTCAGCCCTTTTTTGGTATCAGAGACAGGGTCTTGCTGAGTTGCTTAGGGTTTTCTTAGTTGCTGAAACTGGCTTTGAACTCACAATCCTTCTGCCTCAGCCTCTGGACAGGCGTGCGCCACCGCACCTGGCTATTCTTTATACTTTTGAGCTTGGCCTTGAGGATTGCTCCTGGATCAGCATGTAATAGTGATCAGGCAGTGATTGCTCAGAGGTTGAGCCATGAAGACAGGCAGTAAGTGTGAGTGGGGTGGGGCATGTTCTGAGGTCAACAGTGAACAGTCTGCCCCATTTTTATTCTGGGAATGTGCAAGGCCGCTGTTCTCCAGGGTGAGCGAGTGCATAGCTGGAGTTCTCCGTCTCTCCTGAGCATGCTGCAGGTGTGCGCAGCCTGTCAAGACTCACTTTGTGTCCTGGGTCTCCTGTTAAATCTCTGGCAGGTGTGGGGCTTGTTCCTACCCACATCACAGTGCCAGGGGACCCGCTGCAGGTCTTTCCTCAGCACGGTTGTGATCAGTGTGGTTGTGATTGCTGCAGATTCCAGCAGCGTCCCAAGGGCCCTCTGGGCTTCCAGCCCAACCAAGTCAGCCGCTCCTACAGCAGAGCTGGGGCTTGTGGCTCGCTCCCACCCTGGCAGAGCCACACGCATTCTCACTGGGTGCACTAGTTTTGAATCGATGCTCTTTAGTTGGTTTGTTGATGCCAAGGATTGAACTCAGGGGCATTTGCCCACTGAGCCACACCCCCAGCCCTGTTGTATATTTTATTTAGAGACAGGGTCTCACTGAGTTACTTAGCGCCTTGCTTTTGCTGAGGCTGGCCTCACACTTTTGATCTTCCTGTCTCGGCCTCTGGAGCTGCTGGGATTCAGGTGTGCACCACTGCGCCTGGCTTTTCCGTTTGTTTTTGTCTTTGATCAGTTTCCGGAGCCTGGAAATGGATTTTTTTTTCCTTGGTACCAGGGATTGGGATTGAACCCAGGGGCGCTTAACCACTGAGCCACATCCCCAGCCCTTTTCCATATTTTATTTAGAGACAGAGTCTTGCTAAGTTGCTTAGGGCCTCAATAAGTTGCTGAGGCTGGCTTTGAACTCTCCATCCTCCTGCCTCAGCCTCTCGAGCCACTGGGATTGCAGATGTGTGCCACCGTGCCTGGTGTTGGAGGTGGATGATTTTTACAGTTGTTTCCAATTAATGTCACCTTTTGGGGGAGAGTGTGACTGGTCTAGCTCCTCTCTCTGGTTCTGGAAGTCGTCTTCCCAAGCTTTTTTTTTTTTTTTTTTTTGTATTGGGGATTGAACCAGGGGCACTCTACTAGTGAACCACATAAAAAGGGCCACATTCCTGGCCTTTTTAAAATTTTATTTGAAACAAGAGTCTCACTAAGTTGCTGAGGCTGGCCTTGAACTGCTCTCCGAGTCACTGGGCTCAAAGGTATGTGCCACCATGGTCAGCCCCCCAATCTCTTTAATGGCTCTGGTATTTGTTTTTGGGATGTCCCAATGTTTGTCCTCCCCCCCCCCCCCTTGATGGCTCTGTAGGTCTCTGCCAGGCAGACTGCTCTGCTCTGGGTCCTCAGGTCTCTCCTTGAGCTCCCCCTGCACCTGGGGGCAGAGTAGCCTGGGCCCGGCCTGATCCCCACCCGCCACTGCTTTCCCCAGGGAAGACGCTCCTCATGGTGTCTGAAGCGGAGAAGCGCCTGGGGGCTGCGGAGAGGGATTTCATTCACACGGCCTCCATCAGCTTCCTCACACCCCTGCGCAACTTCCTGGAAGGGGACTGGAAGACAATTTCGGTGAGGGGCCTGGGACCACTGTCCTTCCTGGCAGCCCACAGCCCCTGCTCAGAACTCTGCACGGGCTCCCGGCCGTGCGGAGGGCCAGGACCCCATGGTCTCCAGGGTTGACTCCTGTAGGCTGAGGGAGCTGCCATCTTGGGCCCCAGTTTCCTTGTCTCCCTCGCAGCTCACGGACCAGTCTTGCCGTGGCCGAGCGTCTCCCAGGGCTGGCCGGGGCCTCACTGTTCCCTGTTCCCACCCTGCAGAAGGAGCGGCGCCTCCTCCAGAACCGGCGCCTGGACCTGGATGCCTGCAAGGCGCGTCTGAAGAAGGCCAAGGCGGCAGAAGCCAAGGCCTCGGTAGGTGCCCACCTCCCGCCAGCCTGGTTGGAGCCGCGGAGGGGCATGGGGGAACTTGGTGTCAGCATGAGCCTTCTCCCTGTCCTGGCTGGGGCTGGACTCCGCGGCTGTTCAAGTCAAGTCCTTCTCCTGCCCCAGGGGAGCCCTGATGGTCCTAGGGCAGATGATTATGGGTTGAGTGGACCAGCAGTGCCCCACCTGGGCACAGGCTGTACCTCACGGCCTCCCCAGACAGCCAGCTGGAGTTTCTCGCATGCCCTGCCCGCCGGATGCTCGGCTCTGTGTCCCTGGCTCTGTGTCCCTGGCTCCACCTGGGCATGGCTCCCCTACTAACTCTCTACCTGCTGCTTGAGTGCTGGTCCAGGGTTCCTTGTGCCTGGCTCCCCACAGTGCTGTGGAGCACACCAAAATTGGACAGCCCACCTGCTCAGGGGCTGTCTGAGGGACAGGGCCTGGGCCTCCCTGCTGGCTACCAATGGGATCTGGCATGGAGACCTGGGCTGACTGGGCTAGGCAAGGAGTGGGAACTGGGCCTGAGAACAGGTACGCTCTTGGCCTGCCAGGCACCTGGGGGTGCAGGGGACCTAATGGCTACCTCGAGCCCTGAGGAAGGTACTCCTGGGCCCAGAGCTAGGGACACTGCCACTCATGGGTCCCCAGGCTCTCAGCCAAGGAAGGCCAGGCCTAACACGGGTGAGAGTCCAGGTGGGCTCACAGCTGCCTGAGCCAAACCTTACTTGTGTTCCCCTCCTACAGTGTGGCCGTGGCGCCCTGGGCGCAGGCAGGTCTGCAGCACCTCTGGTGACAGCCAAGGGAGGTCTTAGCTCAGCTGGGTGCAGAGTCCAGAGTGGAGGCAGGGGGCTCCGTGACTCTGGTCTTGAAGAGTGACCTGTGGCTTTTGGGATGACCTCTTCTAAATCACCTGAGCCGGACAGCCTCTCTCTGTCACTCTGGGCTGGACAACCTCATGCCAGAACGAACTCTTCCTCCACTGGCCAAGCCAGAGGAGCCTGTCCTTAGGGCAGTGGTGTGACTTCTCCCCTCAGTGGGCCCCAGTTAGGCCAGAAAGGAGCAGCATCTCAGAGGCCTCAAGTCCCTGGAAAACACACACACACACACACACACACACGACTTCTGCGTGCACCCTTCTGCCTGTCCACCTGGTGTCCCCCCTGGGGCCGGGGCCTGCTCCCGCCTGCTCTGTGGACTCACTAACTCTTTGTTTTTGTTCCTTTCTGTTCTGCTTTGGGTAACTTGGCTCAGTGTGAGGGAGATGTGAGTATACCTGTCCCCATGCCGTGCTGCTTCTGGCCCGCCTGTCTTGCCCTCGGGCCCCAGTGCTGTAGCCAGCCCAGGGCATGTCCTTGGGCGTTTTGCAATCAGCTGGTCTCCCTGCCAATGCCTCTGCAGGATGCGGAGTCTCTGGTTGGGGGGTGCAGGTGTTGCAGCCTGCAAGGCAGCTTTTTGCAAATGTTGAAAGCCTGTCACTCTGTCCATCTCTGCATCCATATGTTCACCCTCATTGTGGGGGAGGGTCCTGGCCCCCAATACAGGAGCCAGAGGCGTGGTGTGCAAACACTCTGGGAGGGGGAAGCTATGGCAGGGGTGGGCTGTGTGTAGGGGACTGTGGGTCTGACTGGGCCTCTGAGTGCCACTGCAGTCCAGGGAGGAGGGGCGAGGCCCAGACTGGTTTGCAAGGACTGTGACGGCTTGACGGTATCTGCAGACTGTCTCCTTGCCCGCCCCATCTCTGCTGGGCTCCCCAGCACACTCACCCGCCAGGTTCTTATCTGGACTCACCCAGCTATAAACCCACCTCATCTCCAGTGGGTTGGAGTGGGTACAAGGGAATATGTGGGGCTTTTGTCTGTATCCTCCTGTCCCCAGGGCCAGGGCCTCTGGCATCTCCTTGTGGGAGACTCTGGGGCAGCCTCCTGGCCTCGACCCAGCCCTGACCCAGGGTGACCCTTCCCCCCCATGAACTCTGTTCCCCGCCAGACGGTGCCTGACTTTCAGGAGACTAGACCTCGTAATTACATTCTCTCGGCCAGCGCCTCTGCGGTAAGCGCCCCCCACCCCTCGGCCTCCTCTCCCCACACAGCCCTGCCACTGGCCCTGACTGCACAGGAACCAGGAGCCAGCAGGTGAGGCAGGGTGCTGCTCACATGGTCAGGCCATCCTGGCAGACTGGGGGAGACAAAGGTCAAAGCAACAGGGAAGAAGCAGCCCCTGCCTCTGCCCATGGCTGGCCCCAGTGACCAGTGACCATGTCACTAGATTTGCTTCTCCCTGCAAAATGCTGAAGATAGCAGCTTTGTCAGCTGCACTGGGCCACCCGGTGAGCTGAGGACACCCTCATCCCATCTCTAGGAGGTCTGAGTGTCTGCCTGCCCCCACCTCCCTTGAAGAGGCGCCCCTGCCCCCCAGTTGCCTTCACATTTCTAAATGTGATGGGGGCCCAGGCCTGTCTTACCCAGCTCCACACACTCTCAGGCAGTGGCACTAGGTTTGTGTGGCACACCTGCTAAGTGACCTGAGGCACAAGGAGGTCCCTGGAGAGAGTCAGGGGGACCAGAGGCTTGAACTTTGTCTTGGGGTCTCGTGCAGCTCCGAGCAAGGTGGTGGTTGCCAGTCCAGCAGGAGCGAGGTCCACTCCCCTTGTGCCCGTCACAACCGCCCTGCACACCTGCCGCCCTCCTCCAGCTCCCCTGGTTAGGACCCTCCCACACCAGCCGCTGGCCCCCACACTTGTCCTGAGCATGCTGCTGTGTGTTCATGCGGTCATTCCGTGGCTGGGAACTGTCCATTGGGCCGCCCTGGTAGTTTACTTAGATTGACCCCATGCTGGGCCTTCCAGTGTGGCCGTGAGGATGCTCCTCCCTGGTGTGGCCATCTGGTGGCCAGCCTGGTTCGCTCTCTGCCTATCGGTGTTTTTGTCCTGGGTCAGATTTCCACAAGTGGGGGAGAAGTGGGATCTCCTAAATCACGGTGGGGGGAGGGGGGTCTTTCTTCTCTAGACTCTGGATGACACTTCCTGTCCCCCGCCCTGGGCCGAGTGGAAGGAGAAACATCCTGGAGGGTGGCGGCCGCCCTGTTTTTTTCTTTTGCCACTGACCCCCAGTGTGACTCAGGCCCGAGGCTGCCTTTCTCTGCCGGAGGACAGAAAGGTTCTGTGACTGGCCCGGGTCACATGTCCTGCCTCCCAGCCCTCCAGCCTTAGCCAGGAGTCAGGGTGGGGTGGGGACACTTGGTCTCTCTGGAGACCCCCTGTCAGAATTGGGGGGCTGACACTGTAGGAGAGACACAAGCAGGACGTCCTGGCTGGCTGTCCCCTCCCTGCATGTGGCATGTTAGATGGGCTGATTGTCTGCTCCCTGCCATCCAGCAGGCCTCCCCCAGCCTCAGCTCCTGGTTGAGTGGGTGGGGGAGGCAGAGGGACTGGGTGGCAGGGCTGGTTGCTGGGAGCTGGGGCTGGGCATGGGCTCTGGGTTTGAGCTGTCCCCCTCCTTGGCTGACTGGTGCTGTTGTGGTCTCTGCAGCTTTGGAATGATGAGGTGGACAAGGTGAGTTGGGGTCTGGAGGCTTGTGGGAGGAGGACCAGAGAAGGTGGAGATGGGGGTCTGTGTTTCAGTTTCTGGGCTCTGCCCCACATCCACTGAGGCCACTGGCAGGGGCTGTTTCTTGGCCTCTCTGGGTCCATTTCCCCGTGGGAGACATTCGCTGTGTGGTGCCTAGGGCCTCGCAGCACGAGTAGGCCCTGGAGAGATGTCTGCTGGGTGGATTTTCCCCAGGGAGCTAGGGGAAGGCCTGCCCTGCCGCCACCAAGTGGGCTTCAACTTCTCCAGGGATCAGGGTTCAGTTGAGAAGTCGGGTGGACACAGATGTCTGCGTCCCCAAGGAGTCCAGTGGGTCTGGGAGAGCCAGGGGAAGGCTGGTGGGAGGGATGGTGGCCGATGCTGGTGCTCATGCTGTCACACTCGGCCCCCACTGCCCAGGCTGAACAGGAGCTCCGAGTGGCCCAGACAGAGTTTGACCGGCAGGCAGAAGTGACCCGTCTCCTGCTGGAGGGGATCAGCAGCACCCACGTGAGTTTGCCCCGGTGCCCTGCTGACCGCATCCACCAGTGGCAGCACCTAGACCTTCCTGAGAAGGGTAGCACTGGGACAGTCACAGTGGTGGCTTTGTCCAGGCCAGTCCACAGGCTGGGCCTCTCCAGCCTCCCCTGGCAGCACAGGTGGTTGGGGCACGGTCTGTGAGGACAGGGTGGGGATGACCCCGCCCACCACGGGCCTCTCCCCCCAGGTGAACCACCTCCGCTGCCTGCACGAGTTCGTAAAGTCTCAGACAACCTACTACGCGCAGTGCTACCGCCACATGCTGGACTTGCAGAAGCAGCTGGGCAGGTGCGGCTGGGCCCTGAGTCCCAGGGTCCCCTAGCTCCTGGGCCCATCATGGCCCAACTCCTCCAGCTGAAAGACTCCTCCCATGAGCTCAGAGGGCCTGCAGCTTGGAGCCAGATGGGAGGGCTCAGCCCAGAATCCTGCCTAGTCACCTCCTGTGTGGTGGCAAGCTTCAGGTGGCTGTCCTTGGGGACTGCTGAGTCCCCTGGGGTAAAGAGCAGTTTAGAGAAGGCTTGAAGGGAAAGGGGGTTTAGCAGGGACAAGGGAAAGGGGGTTTAGCAGGGACAAGGGAACAGGGCCATCTCACTCTTCTGCTTGCTTTGCTTTTCTCTCTGTGCTGCCAGCGCCCAGGGTGCCATGTAAGTAGCTGGGGCCAGGAACTGGGAGGGGCCCTGGGTTAACTTGTGGGGCTCCTACAGGGCCCAGATCCTGCTGAGATGCCCCCTCCGCTCCAGATTTCCAGGTACCTTTGTGGGCACCACAGAGCCTGCCTCCCCGCCCCTGAGCAGCACGTCACCCACCACCGCTGCGGCCACCATGCCTGTGGTGCCCACTGTGGCCAGCCTGGCCCCTCCGGGAGAGGCAGCACTCTGCCTGGAAGAGGTGGCCCCCTCCGCCAGTGGGACCCGCAAGGCCCGGGTGCTCTATGACTATGAAGCAGCCGACAGCAGTGAACTGGCCCTGCTGGCTGACGAGGTGGGCCTGGTTCTGTAAAGGGGGCAGGTGAGGGCTGTAGTAGGAGCCACTGGAGAACCAAGGCTGGGAGCTGTCTGTGCCACCGTCCCGAGAGTCTCTCGGGGCCCCTGGGGGAAGTGGGGCCTGAGGGGGCAGGTAAAGGGAGGTGGCTTCAGCTCTCCAGGAAACAGCCCTTCTCTGCCATGCCCCCATAGCCAGTAAGATGAACACCCACCACTGGAGGTGTAGGTGCCCTGGGAGATGACAGCTTTGTCTCCACCTAGCCCTGGGGCCAGTTCTGCCCTTGGCCAGGGCATAAGCTTCCCTGTCTGCTTTCTGCAGCTCATCACCGTCTACAGCCTGCCTGGCATGGACCCTGACTGGCTCATTGGTGAGAGAGGAAACAAGAAGGGCAAGGTCCCTGTCACCTACTTGGAACTTCTCAGTTAAGCAGGCCCTGCCCAGGGCACAGCCCTACCACTTATCTTGTCTGCTGGTGACACAGCTGCTCAGGGTGGAGATATGAAGCCCATTCTGCCCATTCCCCTGGTCATCCAGCTGTGAAGGGAGCCCAGAGGCTGAATGGCCCCAGGCTCCCTGCCAGCCCTGCTTCTGATCTGTGGTTCTGGAGCCCCGGCCCTGCCTGCACTCCCCATGCACCTCAGCCCTCCCAGCTCCCAAAGGAGGGAGGGACACTGTACTCAGCACGGAGGCGGACCTAAGATGCACCCCTAGGATGCACGGGGGCACCTGTGGCAAGAATAAAGCACCTGCCAAAGGCCAACAGCGGGACAGCAGTGAAGCAGGCAGGGCTCTGGCAGGGGACAGGGTCAGGCCCAGAGCAGCAGCTGCCCGGTGCTACCCTGTCCCTCCTGCCCAAGCAGCGCGAACCCAGTACGTGGCTGCAACTCACTTCTGCACACACTTTTTAACTGGTATTTTTACTTCTGCCTGTCTGCTTGCTTTCTAGCCAACAGCAAATAATAAATCCTTTGTGTGCAAGTTGCTGAGACTCCTGTTGGTCCACTGCATGGGCAGGGCTGGCCCTGAGGGTGGGGACAGACTCCCCTAGCCCTCCTCTGGGTGGAGGTAGCCTAGAGGGAGCAAGGTGCCATGCTGGCAGGCTGTTCCTAGAGCACTAGGCAGAGGGAAGGGAAAGTCCTTCACAGCCTGCACTCCCACGCAGGGCTGGGTTCTCAGAGCAGTGTGTGGTTCCCACGCATTATAGACACAAGGAACATTATTTGTAAGAAAAACTTACCTAAATTTAGACTGTGGGGCAGGCTGTCGTTGAATTTGCCCGACTACTAAAGCTCAAGTAACCGACAGCTGTGGACCAAGCGTGGAGCCAAGCGCGCAGCCCAGTGCGCACCTGGGAGTCCTGTACCGGGCTCAGCGTTCACACTGTACGGATGAGGGAAAAGGCCAGACAGTCGCCTCATTCCTCAGGTGGCCAAGCAAAGACTCAAACCCAACTCAGCCTGCCCCTGGGGACCTCCAGTGTGCTACCAGCAGGCTTAGCTGCTGGTAATGATGCTGGGGTTTCTGGGGCTGTAATGAGAAGGCGCTGAGCTCCAGAGAGGCGGTGCTCAGTGACAGGCAGCCAGCCCAGCAGGGGCCTGGGCAGACCCAGGCAGGCCAGCAGGGGAGCATCTGATGTCCTGGGAGGACCCCAGCAGAGGAGTGTTGGTGAGTCAACCATCAGTGCATCTCCTGCCTTCCACAAGCCACTGCATCACAAGCTGGGTCCCAGGCCAAGGCAGCCTGTCCATGGCTCGAGACCTGGCTTGTCCTCCCGGGGCTTGGAAGGCATGTAGCAGTCAGTTGTCTATAAACAGTATTTTAATATTCGTATAAATAGACCACAGTATTACCAAAAAACTGCAAGAACAGATCATGGAAAACAGACTCAAACACACACACACACAGCCTCCTGTGCTGCCAGCCACCGCCATGGCCAGCCAAGTGCTGTGGGGGAATGCTTGAAGGACAAGACCACCCCTGGGGGCTTTGGCCAGGAGACCTAAGCACAGCAGACCCCTGGCTCCCCACCCCTGCTGTTGACCTCTTCTTACAAAAATAATGTCAGCAGGTGGGTGTTTGGAGTCGTGCTACTTAGAAGAGGGTGACGGGAGCTGCTCTCATTGGCAGGCAGGCAGCCCACCACTGTGCTATCTCTGCACATGCCGCACAAAAGCCTGCACCAGCTGGACCAGAGGCTCCTGACTCTCAGGGATGGCTTTAGAGAGGGAGGTAGCCTTGCCCTGGGGTGAGGGCAGGACACCAGCAGCAGGGGAGCTGGGGGCTCCTCGGCGGAAGTAGCGTGAAAGGCTGGAGAGCAGTGTGCTCTACAAAAAAAAAAAAAAAAAAAAAAAGATGAGGCTCAGTACCCAGGGCCATCATCCCCAACCCTCAGGTGGCTGGCCAGGCAGGGCCCCTTTCCCTCCAAACAGATCCTATATCCATTCATACCAACTCTGAGCTGAGCTCCTGCTTCATCCGCTGTTTGTCCCGTGGGTGCACAGCTGGGTCCCTAAGGTACCGCATTGCCTGGGAGATGAGCAGGTAGAAGCAGTTTTCCATGGTGAACATCAGGAGGGACCTGGGAGGAGGAGCAAATTGGCAGTGTGGCAGAGGGCCAAGCTGGCAGGTGCGGGTGAGCCACTGAGCCAAGAGAGCAGCAGCCATGATTGCCCCAGGCCCTTAGCAAGTCCCAGAAGGTCTTACTTTAATGTTCTGGTCCCTTCTGCCTGTGTGCCAAGCCTCACAGCCTGGGTGAGGGGCTCCTTTTTCTTGTCCAGCTGGAGAAATAAGCAACCAGTTAAAAAAAAAAAAAACAGCCGCCGCCCTCGGTTTACAAGAGCATCCTTCCTGGCAGGTCCTGCACTAAGCAACTGCACCAGTTACCTCACTGAATCCTCTCAGGTGGGTCCCCTAAAGCTCATTTTAAGACAACAGGCTCAAGGACAGATAACTTGCCCCAGGTTCTGGGAAGTGGTACACTAAGGGGAAGAGCTGGGTGGACAAGGGGCCAGAGTCCTATAGCACCTAACTTACCTCTCCAAGCATGTTGAGGGCCACATTCACTGTGGCCAAGAGGGTCCCAAAGGAGGGGGCCACTTCAGAGTCAAATGTGGGAGTGGTAAAACTCAGGGCAAACAGGAAGTTGTATTCAGCAAGATCCAGGGACTGCAAAGCAAAGAAACAATGCTCCTGGGACCCCACTAAGAGCCGGGTGACTCTCTAGCGCAGCACAGAAGCCTGGAGGATGCCTCAGGGGCCGAGGGTGTGAGGAATGGTGGCTGGTACCTGATCCAGCAGGATCTGGCAGACATCTGGGGTGAAGTGGCGCAGGGCTGCCAGGGTCCTGCTGAGGATCTTGAGAAGGCCATACTGGACTGTGTGCAAGGCTCGCTGCTCTGAGGCCTCTAGGTCAGCAGTGGGCTGTTTAGAGGAGCAGGAGGGGACAGCAGAAGCAGCAGCAGTGGTGGTGGGAGGTCGCTGAACTCTGGGAGCAACAGTTGAGGGGAGGCCATCCCCATTTTTGTTCTGGGAAGAGTCAAGAAATGAAGGGGAGCCCAAGGAGGCCAGGGTGAGCACTGTAGGCAGATGGGCTGGGATTCGTTACCTGTAAGTAATGCTGCAGCATCTTGCGGCTGTGCAGGAGGGAGGTGCAGGCCTGGCACAGGTAACCCAGGTTCACCTGGACACACAGGGTAGGAGTGAGGAATTCTTGGCAGCAGCCCCAGCCAGCTGCCTAGGCCAACCAAACAGGTCTGTCCACGACGCCAGTTCCCTTCAGCACTGGCGCCCACGCCTCACTTAATGTCTCTGTAGCCATTAAGTGTGCCAGAGTGTAGGCCTTGCTTCCCTGCAACCTAGCAGCACACTAGGTACCCTGAAAGGTACCAAGTAATTAAAACACAGAAGAACAAAGGGCTCAGGGTGAGGGGTGACATGATCAGGCCAGTCACACAAGCAGAGCCTCTAGAGCCTGTGTTTGTGTCCTGCCCCGCTGCCCGCTGCCCACTGCCTGCAACTTCACACCTATTCCTCAGGGTCCTGAACCTGGATCTATCTCAAAGAGCTCAAGTTCTTAACCTACCCACTGCCCTTCACTGTGGAGGGAAAACTTCAGAGTGAGCAACCTAAATGAGCCCTGGGCTCCCAAGCATAAGCTCACACTGGGGATCAGCCTGCAGTTCCCTGGAGAAGCAGAGTCCCTGTCTCTCCGCAACTCCCCAGACTCCTCCAAGAAACCACGCCCGAGGCCCACCTGGATATCACACATGAGCTGAGGCAGGTGGAAGTGCCACTCCTTCCTGAAGTGGGAGAGCTGTAGAATGAAGCCCACGGTGTGGTCCGCCTCCTCCAGGCAGGCCAGGCTTTGCACAGTCCTCACTGCATTAAGGCACTGGAAGGACAGGGGATGGCAGGGGAGGAGAGGACAGTTCAGGGGCCGAATGCAGTGTGCTTACCCACCAACAGAAGGCTAAGTCCTGAGCCACAGCTGAGAAGGCAGCACACAGTGGCCTAGCCTAACAATAAAAGGCTTCTGAGTAGACCAGAAACCTTTCAGTACCCCCAGAAACAAGGGCATCGTCACCCTCAGCCACTGGGCCCCTAGTCCCTGGGAGGCAGCAGCCCCTCACTTGCAAAGTCCGCTCCTGGTGGACGCCCACGAAGTCCAGGGCCTCAGTCAGGAAATTGTAGCGCAGAGTCTTGAGCAGCCGCTCCATCAAGGACATGGACAGGCGGTAGACCCCTGGCCAGGAAGGGGCATCCAGGGATTTCCGAGATGTACTGGGTGTCTAAGAGAAAACAGCAGAGGAGCTCAGGAGGCAGGGCCACAGGAATTCAGGTGAGAGGGCATCAGGGCCTCCCTGTGGCTGGCAGCTGGGAGGAGAAACCTCCTGCAGTGGGTGCAGGCACTGCAACAGCAAGTCCATCCACCCAAACCAGCAGGGCCAGAAGCAGGCAAGGCCAGCAGATGCAGAGAGCACTGGCAGAGAGGTACAGGATTCCGAGTTCTAGTCTGAGGTGCCATAAGCCAGCAGTATCAACATGAATGTATCCCTGCCCTGGAAACAAATACAGACCAATTCTGACAGGAGCGAGAGACTGGCTGAGAAGCACTCTTCTGAGATTAGAAGATAGCTGCTATACTAGAGGTATCTGGGGTGGGGTATGCAGAGGGTTGGGTGCTGAGGACCCACCAAGCACCCACAATACCGGCTGCCCTCCTCCTCACCAAGGGCTAAGAAATCACAAGTACACACTGCTTTTTGGAGGAAAAGGATTACAACTGCCCTGGTTGAAAACCTACCCTCAAAGTCCTGTCCTGTTCCCCTTCACAACTCAAAAGGAAGACTCTATCCCAGCTCCCAAAGCTGGTGTACAGGGACCAGGTAGTGCATTTTGGTGCTAGGGACCAACCCAGAATCTTGCACATCTGAATCTTTGCTCAGCTGCCTATCAGTGAGATCCACCTGGGGGCAGGGAAGAGTCCACACCATAGGGGCACTGGATGAGCCACGCAGAGGAGAGCAACTGCAGGGTCACACACAGGCGGCAAGACAGGAGAGGGCACTTTTTGCCTGAAAAGTGCAGGAGGTCAACCCAGGCTCCTGGCAGGTTCCTGGCACTCACCTGCCCAGTGCCGTTGGTGCTGAGCTGGTACACACTCAGGAGAGGCAAACAAATGCTCTGGGTGAGGCCGGCCCCAGCCACTGCTGTGGCTCCCTGGGAGGACAGATGTGGAATGAGTTGGAGTCTGCACTGCCCCATAAATGAGCCGAGCCTTCAGGCACCCTGCAAGCTCAGCCCAGTCCCCAGCTTTTGGGAGCATCACCACTAGCAGTGAGGTTCCTCCTACCCTCAGGCTGGCCTCCTACCTGCTGGGTGCGAGCCAGGGTGAGGAGCAGGTGCAGTGCAGCCTCAGTGAAATGCAGGTTCTGCTTCATGCGGAGGCTCACCTCCAGGGTGGTGAGGAGGGTGGGCAAGATGGGGAGCCTGCGAGTCACCTGCAGCCATGAGTCCCCGTCCTCATCCACCTCACACAGCTCCTTGGCTAGGTGCAGGCCCAGGACACACACCTGCTAGGGTCCAGGGGCAAAGATGAGTAAAAAGAAAAGGGCACAGTACACGAAAGAAAGAGGAGGAGGGGCCCTTCTGGCCGCCCAAGACCTCTTGTTACACACAGCTGAGTGTGGCGTGTGATGGATACAGCTTGTGCTTCCTCCTCGTCCTGCCCTACTCCTGTGTCCACCTCTAAGAAACGGCAAGTCCATCCACCCAAACAAGCAACCCCCAAACTGACAGAGCCACCACTTCTTCCCTCTCTGCCCCCAACACTACCATCATGAGCCTCGTCAGTGCCACCTCCCGCCTAGCACCAGCTCTGCCAATCGGAGTCTGGGTGACTTCACCTCTTGCTACACCATTTGCACAGGCCTCACTCCTGACACCAATGGCTTTTCACACTTATTTTGACCACAGACTGTGCCCCCATGTACACCCAGGTACAGTTTTCCACTAATAGTATCCACTCTCACATCACAGAAAGCATGCTGATTTTCGGTTTTCAGTGCTGGGGTTCAAACCCAGGAGCACGGCATGCTAGGCAAGGGCTCCACCGCTGAGCCACACCTCCAGCCCTTTTGATTTGAGACAGGTCTCACTGTGTTGCCCAGGCTGACCTCGAACTTGCAATTCTCCTGCCTCAGCCCCCAAGTAGCTGATATTACAGGTGTGTGCTATCACACCCAGTTGATGTTTCTTTTTAATTCTAATTCATTTTTTAAAAATATTTTTTAGTTGTAGTTGAACACAATACCTTTATTAATGTATTTTTATGTGGCGCTGAGGATTGAACCAGGGCCTTGCATGTGCTAGGAAAGCACTCTACCATTGAGCCACAGCCCCAGCCCTATTCTAATTCATTTTAAAAATGCTGATTGTAGTCAGATGAGCTAATTTCACTAATAGGTCATGACCCAGTTTAAAAAACACTGTTCTGTACTACATACATCTGGTGATCTCTCTCTCCTTGGCTTAAGAGCCTTCAATCATTTTCTGTCACTTCAGAACCAGATCAAAGAACCTGAGAAGCGAGATTGCTACCATCCAGCCCCCATTTCACTCACACCAGCCTTTCCTCAGGTCACCAGAAGATGCTGACCAAAGGTTGGCAATGTACCCTTCTCGCTGCCCAAATCTTCCCTGAACCTTCTGCCTGCTGGGGCCTGTCTATCATCCACTAAGCCACTGCTGGGAAGGTACCTTCTTTTCAGGGGCACTCGATCACTGAGCCACAACCCCATCCCCAGCAAGGCACTTTTTCTTGAGTCACCAGATGAGGCTGAAGCCAAGCTGAAACTCTCACCCCCTTTCTCCAGCAGGCTGCACTCCAATGGCAACTACCACCTTTCCCACCAGGCTGCAAAGTCCACGAGAGCATCCCAGGGCCAGCACAGAGCCGGCAGGCAGTGAGAAAGACAGCCTGCCAGGGTGCTCCCTCACCCCATCACGCTGGTCCTTATGTCGGAGCCGAGAGCAGTCATCTGTCTCCATGCTGTCCTTGTCCTCTGTGGCACTGCCTGATGCCAGACTGTGGCGGGTCTGGTCAAAGAGTGCAATCACCTCTTCTTGGAGTGTCTCGCACACATTCAGAACCAGCTGGGAGTACTGGGGGATGTCACTTACTACAGAGCAGATGGGGAGGGAACACTTGTCACAATCAGAGGTCAACTCTCACTGCACACCAATGCTTCTTTCCCAAGCAGGGGCTGGGAATGCAGTAGGTGCTAACAGCGTCATCTCACGGGAGGGAAGGAGTGATGGGTAGGAAAGAAAAAGTGCTTTCTTGAGGCAAGAATTATAAAATTAAAATCCTTGAAAGTCAGAGGAAAAACATGTGGCCCTGGCTGGGGGAAGCCCACCCAGGCTGGCCCCTCACCTCGCATCTCCTTCATCTGTAACACTGTGATGAACGCTGAGAACACCTTGGCCTTGGTCTTCTCCATGAGCTGCTGGTCTGCCTGCAGCACACCTTCCAGGATCTCCGTCAGAGGCCCAAGGATTTCATCCACAGGACCTAACTCTCTGCAAGCATGGGGGGCAGCTTTCACCCACAGGCCATGCACGGCCCTGTTCCACCTCAGGTGCCTCAGGCAGACTGCTGCGCCCCTGCTTGTTTGGTATGCCTCCCTTTCCCTATGATAAAACTAGTCCGGCCCGCTGTCCCTGCTCCAGGGTGATGAGGGTCATTAAGGAGGAGCACGCAGACCTGCAGAAGAAGCTGGGGCCTTGAGCTTCTCTCCTGCCTGGTGCTCACCTTTTCCACTGCCGGAGGAGGACGAGCAGCAGTGTGCACATCATGGAGCCAAGGCGGAGGCAGTTCATGGAGGCAGGAACTAGGAGCTAAAGGGAGACAGTGGAGCAGGTAGGAGCCTGTGAACAGACGCTGTGCAAGACCTGCGCTCCATCCACAGGGAACCATTTGGCCTCCTGCCTTCTTTCCCTGGCAGTGCGTTCACAGGGGTGCAACAAGGGAGGAGGGGCCCAGGGCTGCTGCCCACCCGAGCCCTCTGACCCGACCACCTGTGTGGCCTGCAGGGCATGAGCTACTTGACTGGAGAGCACCTCCAGGAGGAGAGGGAACTCTGCCAGACACACTTACTAAAGCTTTGGTCCCATCCAGCACATCAAGAAAGAGCTGGTGTCGTACCGCAGAGTCAGTCAAGTGCATGATATCTGCCTACAAAGAAACAGAAAAAAGTTTTGTTTGGGAAAATTTCCTAGACTTCAGAAGCCAAGAAATGCGGGGCCCTCCACAATTAGTCATTGACAAGTCCCTAATTAAAATGGGGCTTAAGGGTCATGCTGCTTCTCCACTGATCCCATCAGACTCAAGCCCAAGTTCACCTCCTCTTCCAGATTCCAGACTTCCTCTGCTTAGAAGTCTTCAAAGACTTCCCAGTGCCAGGGAAATGCAAGCCACACTCTTCCATATGGCCCACCAGCCACACGTACCACCCTACCTTCCTCACTCTGGTCCAACCCTCCTTGCCTTTCCTGCTTTAACACAGTTAGCTCTTTTCTACTTCTGGACTTGGCACCTGCAATTCCATCTGCTGAGACATCTTTACTTTATAGGCATTATGCTCGGAGGTTCTTGTCTACATAGGCCCCAGCTGGGACACCACCAACTTGGAGAGGGCCCGCCTGACCACTCCTGTCTCATGTGTTCAACACCACAGCATCTTATTTTCTTCAAAGCAGTAACTAACATAACAATCTGAATATGTATTTTTAAAAAAATACCTTTATTTATTTATTTTTACATGGTGCTGAGGATTGAACCCAGTGCCTCACACATGCTAGACAAGCATTCCACCACTGAGCCACAACCCCAGCTCCTAAATCTGTATTTTTCATTTGTGAATTTGTTTATAATCTACACCCTCATGGGAACTCACCAGACATCAAAGACCTCATTTTCCTTGCTTACTACTACACTGCTGGTGCCAACTGACACAAAGCAAGCACCCTGCCAATACTTATTCAGTGAATGAATGAGTGGTCCCAATCTGGACTTAACCAATAAGCTTCCTGAGGGGCAGAGGATTGCAGGGTTTTCAGAGCTACTTCTCAAGAATTGCTCCCGATGACGGCCTTTTTAAAAAGGAGGTGACACAGACATTTATTCCCTGGGGAATCAATCGCTACCAAAAGTGGCCAAGTCTGGAGGTGTGTCTGAAGACTCAAGGGTCCACAGTCACTAATGCTCTCATACCTACTTCCTAGGTTCAAAGCTCTGAGCACATAGGAAGTCTGGCACTGAGGGACAAGCCACAGAAATGAACAAGATGCCTGGAACAGGGGGCACCCACCCATCTCAAGTGTTAATAAAGCTAAGGTATCAACCCAGATGCCCTCAGGAAGAACAACTTCAGACCAAATCTTTATAACACAGCATGGTATTGAGCCACACACACACAAAAAAACGCCAAGAACAATGGAAACTTCCCAAATGTCAACTCTCTCTAAAAACCGACTCTCCAGACACAGTACAGTGACAGTGGTCTCACTTCTTTTAAGACCAGGAAATGCAGTTTCTAAAACCAAAGAAAACAAACATCTAAGAGGAGGGTACTGCAACTTCTACCTGTTGGCCAGTCCCCAAGCCTAAGCCCAGTGCCTACAGGGCATATAGCACCAGAGGCAAGACAGACACATGAAGGAAGGGAGGCACATGAAGCTCAGGGTAAGCCAGGCCAGAGAAGCTTCAGTAGGCCTCCAGCAATGGCTGCAGGAATTCTGAATTACTTCTCTATAATCTTCTCAAGAGTCTCCTATTAGACGCAAAACCCTCAACCACCCCTTATCAGTCCCAATCTCTCGGTGCACAACCCATTACATTTTGAATCTCAAAGAGAGAAACTCTGATTCATTCTTATCAAAAGAGGCTATATCTGCTAGGGATCTCAACACAACAGTGCTAAATTACCAAAGTGAAAACTCCCCCAAGGAGATCCTTACGTGACTGGTGGCAATGATGAGAAGCATCCTCCAGGCAGAGATCAACATCTGATACTCTAATAAGGACGTGCAGCTGCTGCCCTCTGTCTCAGCCATGTGAACTGCCAAGGACTTGACGTACCCCGACCAGTAGGCAAAGCACTTCTCACTGGAAAATTTCTTGAGTGTATCTTTTAATGATTGGTCTAATGAACCACTATGATATTAAGAAAATACAAACCCCATGGTTAGGTTGTAAAAGCAGGTGGGAATGTGATGGATGCAGATCTTTGCTAAGGCAGAGAGAGCCATATCACATGGACTTAAGGCAGATAGATGGCTCCAGGATCACCTGGAGTGGACTGAGACTTTTTGGTCAATATAATGGGTTAGGCTGAGGCCTTTCCAGGATTCCTCCTCCATAAAATCCTGCTTTGTAATACCACTCCTGATAATCATAATGCCACCAACAGACTGTCCAGGGAGCTCACTGGCCCTTCACGAATGGTTCTAAACCAGCCCTCTCCTCTGCACTCACTCTCAAGCCTCCACGTCCCCAGTGGTGGGCCACCACAGTCTCCTTCTCCAACCTTTAATTAACATCTCAACATGACGATGGCATGTGCCTATAACCCCAGCTACTCGGGAGGCTGAAGTAGGAGGATCACAAGTTTGAGGCCGGCCTGGGCAATTTTACCAAGACCTTGTCTCAAAATAATAAAAGGGCTGAGGATATAGCTCAATGGTCAAGTGTCCCTGGATTCCATCCCTAATAGTGCCCCCCACCAAGACAATAAAAAATAAATCACAACAGGAAAGAACTCACTTAACTACATAGTATATCTCCAAGCAAATTATCTTCATGATGAGGGCACAGGTTTCCAGGATGCTGGGCTGTGGAGGGGAGGCAGAACAAACATCACATAAAAAAACCTCTTCCCTCGCACCCCCACCCACTCACAGGCTATGTGACAACAGTGATCCAACACTTGGAAAACAAACAAGCACAGTCCCTGTTAAAGGTGAATGGGCATCTGATGTATAAGGGCAGGGGCTACAGGTCCACAAAGTCACCCATCAAGAAAAGACCACAGAGCCATCCACCCAGAGCAAGGCAAGCCACTTTCCTTCCCAAAGCAAGACTTGAAAGATGTTTCACGCAAAGAAAACATTCTGTGGCTAACCAGGGAAGGTATCGTTCTCTTCACCTTCCCCTCACAGCCTAGCCTCTACCACAGCTTACCTCAGATGTCTCTGAGGGAGGAGAAAGGGTTCCAAACAATGGACTGGTTAAATTCTCCCAAAACTTGGGTCTAGAAGAAAACAAATATTGGAGAAAACACATTTTCTCTCCCATAGTCTTTTCTCCTCTTTCCAGCTCCCCTCGGTGGTCACGTTTTACCAGTTCCAATACTAACGTGTTCCTCCATAAACGTAAAGGGTTCCATAGATAAAAATTATATTCTCTTTAAGAAATCCAACTGTACATTGAAGAGTTGATCAACAAAAAAATTATAATACTTGGGATACAACCCAGGAGCACATTACCACTAAACTATATCTCCAGTCCTTTTTGATCTTAAATTGTCCAGGCCGGCTTCAAGCTTGTGATCCTCCCACCTTAGCCTTCCACATCATTGGAATTATGAGTATACACCACTGCACCCAGCTCTTTATAGAACTCTTAAGGATCATTACACTATATATTTCCCAAAACCCTATAAAACAGAACAGAGAGGAAATTAAGAGAACAAACTCCCAAAACTGAGCCTTTTTTAACATACATTCCTTTTGTGCCACCAAGGTCCCAGAGAATAGGGTTTTTCGCTTTGTCCAATGGCCCAAGGAAGCCATTCTCATCTACTGTTTCTCAAGAATAATAGGTTCTGCCAGGCAAGGTGATGCACACCTGAATCCCAGCAACTCTGGAAGCTGAGGCAGGAGGATAGCAAGTTCTAGGCCAACCCCAGCAACTTAGTGACACCTTGTTTCAAAATATAAAATAGTGAAGTGCCCCTGTGTACAATCCCTATACCAAAAGAAGAAGAACGAATACAGAAGACAGAACACAAAAGTGACAGACTCTGAAGATAACACCTGCTAGTGTCAGCATTAAAAAGAAAAATACAAGACTCCCCTGTAATTAGCTATGTGATAAGCATTTTTTATGCACATTCCCAATAGAGAGTCACAGACATCTCTGCAGGTAAAAGCTACTGTTATTCCTTTTTCACAGACAAGGACAAGGAGACTCAGAAGTTAAATAAGTCTGGGAGGCAGATTTACTTGGTTCTGAGGACCAACATGGCACTGTCTCGGCGGTCCTGCCACAGAGCATGCAGAAAGGCAATGGCTGCACGATGCAGCAGAGGTGGGCACCAGTACCGATCCTGCTGCTGGGAATCAATCAGCTCCAGGACCACGTGGAGACAACTCCACTCACCAAGGCTGAATTCCTGCAAGGGGGAGAAGTGGGAATTCAAGTTCCACAGCCACTGCAAGCAGCCACACCTCCCAGGAGCCACTGCCCAGCCTCACACCAAGTGCAGGCTCACCTTGGAGCCATCACTGCCGTCTGTCACCTCCAGATTCAGAAACAGTTCTATAAGGCCTGGCTGGGTCTCCACAGCAACTGTGAGAAATTCCAGAATCATGACTTTGATGCGCATGTCCTCAATCTTGCTCTGAAGGCGGGTCAGGAAGGCATCACGAATGGCAGCTGCATCATTGCCCAGACAAGCATACACTGACATTGGGGCCACCTAGCAAAGACCAGGACACATGCTTATAGTTCTGCTTTTAGAAAAACCTCAATGGGCTTCTACAGAAGGGAGCTCAGAGAGCTCCAGATACAGCAGAGAGAGATGCATATAGTCATAAAACTCTCAGATGAGGACCAACATTTACAGAAGAGCAAACATAAAAAGATGGCCGGGACATGACTCAGAGCTAGAGTGCTTGGCTAGTACATGTGAGGCCCAGGGTTTAATTTCTGGTACTACATTAAATGAAGGAGCTGGGGCTGGGGCTCTGCACGTGCCTGGTATGTGTGAGACACTGGGTTCGATTCTCAGCACCACATATAAATAAATAAAATAGAGGTCTATCAACAACTAAAATAAAATATTAAAAAAAGACGAAGTCAGAAAAGATATATTTTTTTGTCTATTAGATTGGTAAAGACCGAAAAACTGATAAAGTCTCTGTGCAAGGATGTAAAACTTAGGTGTTAGAAACATAAATTGTTGAAGGCAAGGCTAGTTGTTTCAAAATATGTAAAGTGGTAGCTGGGCACAGTGGTGCACTGTAATCCCAGCTACTAAGGAGACTAAGGCAGGAGGATTATTAAGTCTGAGGCCAGCCTGGGCAACTCAATGAGACCTGTCTTAAAATAAAATAAAAAAAGACGGGAATGTAGCTCAGCAGCAGAGTACCTACCATGGCCAGACGTTTCAGCAGCTGAATGGCCAGACGTTTCAGCAGCTGAATGGCCAGACCTAGCATATGTAAGGCCTGGGTTCAAGCCCCAATACCCAAACTCCCAGCATGTACAGAGGAACTAGCCTTTGGTATAAAGAACAAAAGTGTACAAATACTTATATTCAATACATATATACAGATAAAAAGAAATCTCAAGTCACTGAATGAACCTTTCCTGCTCACAGGGATTCTTGGAACAAGAGGGTACCTTAATTTTCTGTTATGTTTATCTATAACTTTAAATAAATATTTTACAATGAGCATGTACGTCTCGTGCAATCAGGAAAAAAATATCACATAAACACACATTTACTTGTGTGTATTTGTGTGTATGTGTGTGTGTCTACATTACTTCAAGTCCAAGTGTTAGCCAGATGCTTCTCTTGAAAGAGGGCAAGAGTGGTCTGTAGCAGAAAGAGTCCATGTCCTGGGGCTCTGGTTGGCTAAGTGGATCCTACCGTGGCCAGACGTTTCAGCAGCTGAATGGCCAGACGTGGCAAAGCTGGGTCATGTTTATGGTAGATGTACTTGGCTAGAACAGCAATGAGGTTGTTTCCATGGGCACCTGGAGAAGCACAGGAATAGTAAAGACACCAAAGGCACTTCAATTCAAGCTCTTAGAGAGGCTGTTGTTCCAAATGGCTAATGCACTTGGGGGACTAGCCTTGAGTATGTGGAGGGCCAGCATGAACTGACTCATTCTCTTTTCTCAGAAGCAAAGCAGCAGCCAGGATATTTTTGGGGGGGTTGGGTTGGAGGTGGGAGGTAAATAGTTCAATATAATTCATTAATGGCTAAGATATATTATTAAGAAAATAGGTACTTTTAACAAATAGGTTAGAAAAAGGAATTGTATAGATATACAAAATATTCATAAAAATTCCAAAACCATACAACTAGAAAAGATCTTAAACATGACCCAAACAAAATGAAAATGAATAGACTTGGCTGGGCATGGTGGCACACACCTATAATCCCAGCCACTCATAATCCTAGCCACTCAGGAGGCTAAAGCAGTAGGATCACAAATTCAAAGCCAGCCCCAATAACTTAGTCAGGCCCTAAGCAAGTCAGCAAGACCCTGTCTCTAAGTAAAATATAAAAAGGGCTGGGGAAATGGCTCAGTGGTTAAGCACATCTGGGTTTACTCCCTGGTACAAAAATAGAAAGAAAGAAAGAAAATGAATAGATTGAGTCACAAAGGATTGAACAACTACTATAGAGTCACAAAATAGTCAGAGGTAGTATTCAACAGGCACCAGGAACTTTCCTCTCCATGCAGTTATCCATCTGCTCTTTGTTATGCTTTTATAAAGTATATACTATTTACTATCTCAAATTTATAGATGAGAAACCTGAGGCAAAGTTTATTAACAATAAGCCCAAGATCACAGAGCTAGCTAGAGTCTGAAAGTGGATCAAGGTGGTCTGACTTGAAGCCCGCATTCTCACTACTATTCTGTCATCAATAGGAGATAGAAATTAAGTATGATTCAGTCCCCTTATTTCCAAGACTAGGAAAGGAGCTACTATCATGTCCAAATTTCCTCAAGGAGTTCATCAGAAAAGAGTGTCAATGCCCAACAATGCCTAAAACAGATACTCATGGGAGGAAAGTTGCTGAGTGGAAGAGAAGTACATACCATGCTGTGTGAGAGCCTGCTCCAAGGGGGACACCACATTAGAAGGAGGTTTCAGCCGAATGACATTGTTGGTGACAGAGAATGCCAGTTTCACAGTCTTGATCAGCAGCTGGCCCTGCCCCTGGCCCTCTGCCCCATCACTAGAGTGCCAAATGGAAACCAAAGATGATCAGACAACATGAATTCATTTGCAACATACATGTTCTCATGACTGTGATGCTAACAATACTCCTAGAGTTCAACAGATTCTGAGAAGTAGTAATTCCTTTTCCTATGTACTAGTCTATACAGCAGCCATTAGGTAATATAAAGACTATGCCCTTGGAAGAACAAGGTTGTCTTAAACTATCACAGCCAGGTACAGTGGCACATGCCTGTCATCCCAGTGACTTGGGAGGCTCAGGCAGGAGGATAACAAGTTTGATGGAGATGGAGATGTAGGAGGAGATGGAGATGGAGGAGGAGATGGAGGAGATAGAGATGAAGATGGAGGAAAAGATGGAGATGGAGATGGAGGAGGAGGAGGGAGGAGAAGCAAGCTACTGGAAGCCTTAAAATATTCAAGCACAGTAAAGATAAAAGGCGAAGGAGAAGAGGGGGTCCTACCTTCGAGGCTGAGCAGCCATCACCATGTCAATGGTGTCCACACCAATGCCCATGATATTGATGACAGTTTGTCCTGCTTCTGTGTACGCCAGACTACAGATGCAGAGAGACTGCAGACTGGGAGTATGACTGGAAGACAGAGGTACTGAGTTACAGGATGTGGCCAAGCTTATCACTGGAAGAGAAGGGCACTGTCCAGCTGGAATAGGGAGGCAGACCCAAGCAACTAGACAGTGGGATACACAGACCAGCTCTCTACAAGACGCAGGCACTCTGAAACAGACTTGGTACCAAAGACCACCCTGAAATACAATCTAATCATCCATCAATTAACAGACATGTTTACAGAAATGAATCATGATTAACCCATGGATGGAATTTATGGAGCCATTAAAACAAGACAGATCTATATGTGGTAGCACAGAAAGAAAGAGCAGTGAGTACAATCCAAGGAAAACGCCTAGAACACATACTAACAATAGCCCATTAACAACAGCTACCTCTGGGAAGTAGATTCATTTTGTACTGAATGAGAATTTTTCCAATGAATATGCATAACTTTTATAAAGATCATAAAAATCATAAAGTGTACATATACACGCACACACACAGCACATCCAAAAAACCACCCCATCTCATTCCTACTTCATTTGTTCTTCTCTTTCTACTGGGAGAAATGATAACTGAATCAGTAGAAAGTGACCACAATGTTGAAACTACTAAGCTTTCGGTCTAAGCAAGTGCTCTAGAAGAAAACCCCCATCTTCCCTTGGTGAGTGGTGCACTCTAGCAACCAGCCCCTTATTACCTGTTGTGCAGGTCTGTCTCATGGCACAGGTTCAGTATTGCATGAATCAGCTCCAGGATCAGGCAACCTAGACTCCAAAGAAGATATGACAATGATGAGGCCTTGTGTGATGGTCATAATCCCACAAAAGGGAGAGAAAGAAGATGTCCAGGGAACCAGAAAATGCCCAGGATTTCCCTAAGCACGCTATCCTTACCAATCTGTTCCCGCACACCATGGGAGTTGTAGCGCCACTTGTGGTAGCTGGGAAGCATCTCCTTCAGCACAAACATGACACAGGGTACCAGGCCTTGGCTCTGGGTACTACCAAGCTGCCCCTGTAGGAAACCGTTCTGTGAGGCCCTCTGATATGGAAAGAAAAGTTGTTCATGATTTAACTCCAAAAGTACACGTGGGTCCAAAGAAAACTTAGGCAAACTTTATCCTTCAGTGAAAAACAGAAAATCTCCCTACTTCAATCGAGTCCATGTTGTGGATTTCTCTAGAACAGAAAAAGTAGCTAAAAAGACAATGTGACAGTGTCATAAAAGGTGCTTACATCAGGGTTGGGGATTTAGTTCAGTGGCAGAGGGCTTGCCTAGTATACACAAGACCTAATCCTATGTCCCAGAGTGGGAGAAAAATGGTGCCTATATAAAGAAGAAGAAAGGCTACCTCTGAATACTGAAGGCAGGGTACCTTAAACATAAAGGATATAGGATAACAATGACAAAGAATGTCAACTTCACTGATATGCAGCTGTCCCTAATCACAACCCCATCACTGGAATACACTACGATCTGACACCCCCAAGTTTTTTGTCCTAACAGTACCTGTTCAGTTTCCTTATCTTAAAACTGTGACTCTTTATTTACATAGACATTTGCATCAACTGTTCCTATGTTTTCAAACATTCATAGATTGCTATAAGCAGTAAGTGTACTGAGTGTTTTTCATGTATGATCCTTTAACCCACCCTAAGAGGTATATTCCTATTTTAGAAAGGTTCTAAGACATTCTGTACTTGTCCAAGGTCATAGAGCCAGTATATGATCAACCTGAAATGTAAACCTAATTCCATCCAACTCCAATCCTTGCTCTTAATCTTATTCCAGTATTTTTCAGAGTTGATCTACTAATTATGAGATCAGCCTATGGTCACAACTCACTAAAAAAAAAAAGAAAAAGAAGAAAGAAAGAAACAAACAAATAAACAAAGAAAAGGGAAACAGGCACAATATCACACTCCTACAAACCTGACTCAGGGGGCTGGGGCAGGAGGATCACAAAAGTTCAAGGCCAGCCTGGGCAACTTAGTGAGACCTAATCTCAAAAAGGGCTAGAGCTGGGGTTGTGGCTCAGTGATAGAGCACTTGCCTTGCATGTGTGAGGCACTGGGTTCGATCCTCAGCACCACATATAAACAAACAAACAAACAAATAAATAAATAAAGGCCCATCAACAACTACAAAACAATTTTAAAAATAAATAAATAAAATATAATAAAATAAAAAGGGCTAAGGATGTAGCTCGGTAGTAGAGCACCACTGTGTTCAATCCTCAGTACTACCAAGAAAAAGAGGAGGAAGGGCCTGAAGAGGAAAGATGGGAACGCTTCTTAGGTAGCAAACACTGCACTGTGAACTATGCTCCTGGAGTATACATACACACACACACAGGTACTAACTGGGATGTAAAAATAAAATGTACATATTACCCTGGGGTATAGTCAAAATAGCTTAAAAGGTACTGCATTACCCTTGAGGTCTATCCCTTAAGCCTTCTGAGTATTAAATATATTTGCATAATTATATACCTTCGATCATACTAATATATACAATAGGTTTTCAATACACAGAAACTATGGCCACAATAACTTTAGGACAACTGTTCTTCCTACACATAACCTGATTATAGAAGCAGGGGACAAGAAAACTATTTCACAATCATATGACCAGACCGTACCTTGACAAGGGTGGTAATCAAGCGGAGAAAGGCAACAGTGACGCCATACTCGCCTTGGGGCTGTTCACTGTTCATCAGAAGGTTCCCGTACCCACCAGCATTCATCCCCTCCGCACTGGGAAGACAGAAGCCGAGAAAAAACACTCATGGAGAAATTTCAAGGTTTCAAGTTCCTACAGCCAAAAGCATTCTCATTACTGTCTAGACGCTCAGGCATAAAACACAAATGCTCTTACAAGGGGAACAAACCCAGGCAATCTGAAACCAGGGCAAACATTAAGAACATATTTTACTGATGTATAATCTCAAGAAGTTTAAAGTTAAAAATCAAATTAGCGGGTGGAGCTGTGGCTCAGCGGTAGAGCACTTGCCCAGCATGTTCGAGGTCCTGGGTTCGATCCTCAGCATCAAATAAAAATAAATAAACAAAATAAATGTATTAAAAAAAATCAAATAAGCATCAGAGAAACATCTTTGTTTTAAAGGCAAGAGAGAGCAAAGAAAGAATATTCAGATAGTAAGATGGAGTCTGTGGAGTAGTAACCAGTCTCCTGCAAAGAAGCACCCATGGAATGAGGAAAGAACAGAGTGACTGTGGTTAAGAGTCGGGGACAGAGGCCTGGGGGTGCAGGGTGCTTGCACAGAATGGAATGGCCCTGGGTTTGATCACCAACACTGCAGAAAAAACGAAAAAAGAGGACATTATGTCTCTGGATCCAGAAACCTCTGGATTCGCTCAGCTAGAAAGTAGATTCCCACATTTTTTTTTTTTTTTAGAGAGAGAGAGAGAGAGAATTTTTAATATTTATTCTTTAGTTTTCAGCAGACACAACATCCTTTCTTTTTTTGTATGTGGTGCTGAGGATCGAACCTGGCCACACGCATGCCAGGCGAGCGCACAACCGCTTGAGCCACATCCCCAGCCCCAGATTCCCACATATTTAACAGTCATAGCTGGATGAGAAATCCATCCCTCTCTCTCCCCCTCTCCCCCCTCCCACCCTCCCCTCTTTATCTGACTTTAAAAACTTGGACTAATTATTGTGTCCTTGGAGAAGAGAGCAGCTCTGTGCTTCCTGTGCCCTCATCTCCTTTAGTTTGTCCTCACTCACCCTCAGGTCTAAGGGCTGAACAGAAGTACAAAGAATATGTGGATAGAAGAGTGTCTTTCAAACTAATAAAGCCAGGCTGGACCTGAACCAAGAACAGCCTGCACTAGTGAACAAAATCTATCAATCCAAGACATGGCTCACCTAATCATCTGACTCACGTTGGAGACAGGATGGGCCACAAATGGTAAAAAACCTGTGTGACGAAGATCAGTCCAGACCTAATGAAGGAAAAGAGAAGTTAAATGCATTTATCTTCAGGTATATGCCAAGTGTGACACGGCTTGACTGTCAGGAAGACTTGGCATCTCACCTTTGCTGGATTCCGGGCAGCCAAAACTGTCAAGCAATTGACACAAGAGGCAATGACATCCACGGGGGGAGACATCACTGTTGTCAACCTGGTTAGAGAATGGAACACTGCACTCAGTAAGATGATTAACACAATTGATTCTATCACACATTATTTTCCGGTTCTCTCTCCGAATCCCTCCTGTCAGTGGGGCTATAGAAATAGAAAAGCCCTCAGCTGGAGAAAGATTTCCGCCAGGCTTTCTAATAGGGGAAAATGCGTGAACTTTAATCCAGATGGTGTGTGGTTGGGCTCCTGGACCCCAAGAAAATAACCACATGAGCTCAGCCAGGCAGCTCAACGCTTGCCATGAAGGACCCACCGCTGCAGCAGCATGTAGACACGGGACGTGATGGGCAGGAGCCAGTCTGCTATAGACAGGTCTGTGCTGATGACCTTGTGGACCAGATCAATGATGGGTTTCACTCTCTGGCAATGCTGAATCACATCTGAGGGGAAAGACAGACTGTAACCTCACAGAAAACAACTTCATAATATCACTGAATGGTCTCTGATACCCAGAAAAACAAATCAGACATCCCAACCTTGATAGCTCTGAATTTTATCTTGAAATTCCAAATTCTCTGAGCATGACCACTTTTCCCTCCCCATAGAGATGTCTCCAAAAGATGACCATACCTGCAGTTGAAACAACATGAAGCAGCATTTCAATCTCACAGGTAAAAAGGGTCCAGCTGCTGTAGGAGTATTCCCAACGCACCAGGTAAGCCCTATCATCTAGCATTACTTGGCCCACAGTGCCTTGAGGTATGCGAAGGTTGGTCTGACCTCCTAAAAAGGAAGAAGAGTGATCTGCCTAATATCTGAAGACAAGGAAGAGGAGTCAACTCCTGTACCACACACCAACATTTAAACACAGGATTTAGACTCTCTTTAGTACCTAACGTTCTTACATCTTTTTCCTCTAAAGAATAATTAAAAACTCTCTTGTCATTGGAAAAGTGATTCTTCCTATGTGTCTGAAAACCAGCTGCATGCAAAGTGGTTTCCACCTCAACAACTACAGAAGTAAGCTGTGGCAACCAGTGCCTGGATCCTAGCACATTACTGGTGACACAAGTTAGAGCAGAAGCTGTGCCCTCTTTGCACTATACTCCTTGAGCACCTGGGATACATGTTCAAGAGTAATGATTGCTCACTCTTACACATTCACTACAAACAAGAAAACAATTGTTGCCAGGCATGGTAGCACACACCTATTATCCCAGTGACCCAGGAGGCTGAGGCAAGAGGATTGCAAGTTCAAGGCCAACCTCAGCAACTTAGCAGCAAGACCCTGTCTCAAGAAATAAAAAGGGCTAGGGAAACAGTTCAGTGGTAAAGCACCTCTGGGTTCAATACCCAGGCAAGAAAGGAAAGAAGGAGAAAAAAAAAAAAAAATTGTGAACAACCTTTTCAAAATCATGGTAAAATACACCTAAGATCAAATTAAGTTCAGCGGCATTCAGTACAGCCACACTGTGGTACAGCCATCTCCCCACACACCCACCAATCTTATGTTGTACGTCTTGCACTACTGAAGCTACACCAGTTCACCAATGATTCCCCATTCTTTTCATCTCCTAGCCCCTGACAACCAACACTGCACTTTGTTTCTCAATGTGACAACTCTGAGTATCTCATGAGTAGAATCAGACAGCATTTGTCCTTTGTGACTGGCTTATTTTACTTAGCAAAATGTCTTCAAGGTTCATCCAAGTTGTAGTATACAGCAGAATTTCTCTTTTTGGGGTAGGGGGACAGAGCTAGGGTTCAAACCCAAGGCATCAAACATGCTAGGTGGGTACTCTACCACTGAACTATACCACCAGGAAGAATTTACTTTATTTTTTAAGAATGAATAATGTTCCTTTGTATGTATATCCCACATTTTGTTTACTCATTTCATCTACTATTAGGCATCTACTAAAAAAAATTATATATCCTTTTACCCAATCATCCCATTTGGAGGATTCTACTAAAAATAAACACAAGCTGAAGCTCAGTGGCAAAGTGCTTGCCTAGCAAGTGTGAGGCACTGGGTCCTCAGCACCACATTAAAAAAATTTTTAACAAAATAAAGGCATGCTGTCCATCTACAACTACAAAAAAAAAAATAACAAGGGACTGGGGTTGTGGCTCAGAGGTAGAGCACTTGCCTACCATGCGTGAGGCATGGGGTTTTATCCTCAGCACCACATAAAAATAACAAAGATATTGTGTCCACCTATAACTAAAAAATAAATATTAAAAAAGAATATACCAATATACAAGGATGTATGCGTGCATCCAATGCAATATTATTTATAGTGGCAAAACGCTGACACAGTCTAAATGTCCTGATCATAAGGAGAAAAATAAAAAGTTATGAAATATCAAGGATTAAGTATATGGTTACTAAGAAGAATGAGTAAGGTGCTGGGGGGCAGCTCAGTGGTAAAACATGTGCTTAGCATGTGCAAGGCCCTGGTTCAATCCCCAGAATAATAACAATAACAATAATAATAATAATGTAGTAGTAATAATGAGTCAAGAGTCATATAAGGGAAAACCAAGCCAGGTACAGTAGCTCACACCTGCAACTTCAGCAGCTTGGGAGGTTGAGGAAGGAGGATCACAAGTTCAAGGCCAGCCTCAGCAACTTAGTGAAACCTTGTCTCAGAATAAAAAACAAAAAAAGTAGGGGGATGTAGCTCAGTGTTTAAGCATCCCTGGGTTAAATCCCCAGTACAGGGGGGAGACGGGGGAAGAAAGCCAACTGTCAGAATGAGTTTGTTAAAAGAACGAATATTTGAAAGAATATACATAAAATTCTTTTTTTTTTTAAATATTTTTTTTTTAAAGAGAGAGAGAGAGAATTTTTTTAATATTTATTTTTTAGTTTTTGGCGGACACAACATCTTTGTTTGTATGTGGTGCTGAGGATCGAACCCGGGCCAAACGCATGCCAGGCGAGCGCGCTACCGCTTAAGCCACATCCCCAGTCCCATAAAATTCTTAACATTGAGTATCTGACAGAGATAGGATGGAAATGAGATTGACTTTTAAAATAGACCTGCATTGTTTACCTTGCTACAATGAGCATGTAAAATTAAAAAAACAAAAAACAAAAAACAATTTAATGATGTAAAACAGATAACAGAAACTGGGCTGGGGATGCAGCTCAGCAGTAGAGTGCTTGCCTAGCATGCATGAGGCCCTCAGTCTATCCCCAATATCACACACACAAAAAAAAAAAAAAAAGAGAGAGAGAGAGAGAGGGAGAGAAACTAATTATTTATCAATGAATCAACAAACATGGTGAGATGACAAGGAGCTGCTCTACAATCACCTCACACAAAAGGATCAACCCAGCAGCAAGGTGGTCTAAGGAGAGCTGCTGTGAGAAAGGATGCGGCACTGAGGATCTCCTTACCCAGAGGATATAGGAGTTTGGGCGTCTGCCTTCTCCAAAGAGTTCCATCTTCATGAGAGATTACATCATGGGGCTTGTGCTTGTAAAGTTCATTGTAGAAAGACATCTTATCTAGGAAACTATACACCTGGCAACATGCAGAAGAAACTGAATCACACATTTACCTACAGAACATTCATGGGGGTCCCAAGTCTGCTCTGTTAACCAGACTGCGTAAACTGGTCCTCAAACTCCTTCCCAGTCCACCACTGTAGATCATCTTGGAATCACCTTCTGCTCTCCTACCTAATCTCCACTCAAGTTATCCCCTCTCTCCACAGAGACAGTTGTCTCTCCTGAACAGCATCTCAGGTTCTATTTAGGGAGCTAACTGAACAACTTACCTTTTTGGCAGTGGACTTTCCTGATACCAGGGCTCGGAGTAATTGCAGGAGTGGGGAAAGGAGATGGGGGAACATTCCACATACACTGTCCAGAATGATCCCAAGACCAGAAGTTGGTTCCTACAGCGGAAGGGGAGAAGTCACTATTCTTCAGAACTGCCTGATAATCCTCAGAAAGTCTAGAAGCAATCCTTCCCTAATAATCTAAGACTTTCATGTCCCCACTGAGAAAGGACAACATTCAGTTGGGATTTGATTTAACTGGCATCTGAAAAGCAACTCTTAAGTCTATCCAGTGATCTCTTCTTCCTGTCCACCCTTTCTATGAGAAGATAATTTATTCCTTAGTACAATGTTTCCACTGACGTGAAAACTACCCTAAAACACGTCAGCAGCTAGCCACCACACACAAGCAAAGATGCTCCATCTACATACTGGTTCACACCAGCTTCTACCAGGGATATTGCTAGCATCTGTAAGAGTAAACAGCAACTCAGGAGAAAGAGGTTAATACACACAGGCAGATCAGTCTGGCTTTGGTACAGGTTTGAAAACAGACGTTTGAAGTCACTGTCAATGCTAACACCAGTGCTGGTGAAAAACCATTCTTTCCAAATGCTCAAACCAATCACAATACTGATGACTTGGTAAGATCTAGTTACAACCCTCTAAGTATTTTTGAGAGGAATCATCAGAAGGCTGAGGCAGCAGGATTGCAAGTTCAAAGTCAGCCTCAGCAACCTAGTGAGGTCTCTGGCAACTGAGCAAGATCCTATCTCAAAATAAAAAGGGCTGGGGATGTGACTCAGTAGTGAGGAACCTCTGGGTTCAATCCATGTAACAGTAAATAGCATCTCAGGAGAAAGAGAATAATATACACAGGCATATATATATATATATATATATATATATATATATATATATATATGAAAAAAAAAAAAAAAAAAAGAGTTGCAGGACCCTAAGCCAAAAGTGAAGTATGGAGACATATGCCCGAAGTTCCAGTGACTCAGGAGCCTGAGGCAGCAGGATTACAAGTTCAAGGCCAGCTGGGGCAACTTAGTAAAAACCGATCTCAAAGGATAAATTTGGTAGAGAAGCTCTGGGTTATATCCCCAGTGAACACACAAACACACGGAGAAAAGTTTTAGGAATCCTGGTTGTTGAAAGACTGTCAATATGAAAAAAGACTTGGTGATAACACATTGGTGGATGATTTGGGCTACAGACTCAAGTCAGATAGAACTAGGTCCTTGGTGTCTCTTTCTGGCCGTGTAACGTTGGTGGAATCCCTTCATATCCCTAGGCATCACATTTCATCATACACAACGTGGCATCAATAACAGTCTCTACCTCACAGATATTTTGACAATTAAGTGAGAAAATACTTGCAAAACCTAAATATAAAGCCTCTCACAAAATGTCTGATAAATCCTTTTGGTCCAGAGTAATGTCAGAGTATGATTCCCTCCAACATACTTACTGTTCCCCAGAAGAGTTCTGGAAGAGAAGGGTCCGCCAGGACTTCACACGCTGTGTCAATTACATCCTGTTGGGGGAGGGAAGAAATTGTTCCTTTTCCCTGGTTGAAGTAGTGTCTTTTTTTTTTTTTCTTACTGTATTCTGTTCACATAAAAACACCAATAAACATCTCCATATATGTTACAAAAAATTCTGGGTTTAAAGAATAAGATCACACCTTGTCCAGGGTGCATACTGTATATGCTGTATACACATTTCACTTCTCTGAATTTCACATGCTCGTTTGTAAAATGGGGAAAATAATAGCTCATGGTACTATTTTGAGTGTAAGGAATAAAAGCAAGTTGGCTGTAAATTCAAAACTAGTATATAAGTAAGGTATTACTACTAGACTCACCTTTACTTTGCTCCTAACAGGCAGGGCAAGGACAATGTCTTGCCAGGCGTGGTGTCGCCTGCCTATGATCCCAGCGGCTCAGGGGGTTGAGGCAAGAGGATCATGAGGTCAACTTAGAGCCTCAGCAACTTAGAGAGGCTCTCCCTAAACAACTTAGTGAGATCCTGTCTCAAATAAAATATATAAGGGACTGGGGATATGGCTCAGTGGTTAAGTGCTCATGGGTTCAATCCCCAGTACCAAAACAAAACAAAACAAAAAAACAATATCTTTTTAATATTTTTATTCTTAACACCCAGGACAGAGTTAAACACACACTGGGCATCTAATAAATGCTTACAGAGTCTTTTTTTTTTTTAAACCAAGCACCACGACTCCTACAACATGTTATATCTATTCTCCAAGCATAGAATAGGACCAGATCTTTCCATTGTGATTAGAATTTTCCTGAAGTGTGCAAAGCTTGTTCTATGCCCCAGAGCTTGGGGAATTGATTCTTTGAATTAGTACCAATCTCATTTTTATCCAATAATAAGAAATTTCCATCAGTTCACAAAACAAGTGACTAATCATTGAAAATGAACACAATGATTTAGTTTTAAGGATACTCATCAAACATCATTTCCCACTAAAAAGAATCAGAACAACTTGGAAAGCAGGTTCTAGGTCTGAAACAAGAATCCTACACAATAATCCTGTAATATCTTGTCATACCAGTAAGCAATAGAGCTATCAAAACAGATAAGGGTAGTGTCAAATGAATTCAGAAGACAATTGGAAAGTCCTTACTGACCAAAGATGGGGCAATCTCAGCCCAAGAATAATAACTGCACAGATTAAAACACAGCTAGCAGGGCGGCAGTTGTAGCACAGCGGTACAGCACTTGTCTAGCATGCACCAAACACTGAGTTCGATCCTCAGCACCACATAAAAATAAATAAATAAAATAAAGATATTATGAAAAAGAAAAACACAGTATGTTTAAATCTATGAGCTCAGGCTGGAGGTAGAGTGCTTGCCTTGCATGCACAAGGCCCTGGGTTCAATCCCCAGCACCACATTTTAAAAAAAAAAAAAATCAATATTTTGGGCTGGGGTTGTGGCTCAACGGTAGAACACTCGCCTAGCAAGTTCAAAGCCCTGGGTTCGATCCTCAGCACCACATAAAAATAAATGAAAGGTAAAGGTATTTTGTCCAACTACAAGTAAAATATATTTTTTTAAAATAAATAAATAGGGCTGGGGTTGTGACTCAGTGATAGAGCGCTTGCCTAGCAACTGTGAGGCCCTGGGTTCGATCCTCAGTACCACATATAAATAAATAAAATAAACGTATTAAAAATATTTTAAAAAATAAAATGATAAATAGAATAAATCTATGAGCTCATATTGATATTAAAAAAAAAAACCCACTAGATACCTTGAGAGGGTGCTAGAGAAAACAGGTAAATACATGAAAAGAATCAGGTATGTATAGAAATCTATAACAGAGTACCAAATAGTTAATGTATAGAAATGTTGCAACTGATAAACAAAGGAAAGACAGAATTAAAGTGCCATTTTGCGATTTTCTCTTCTAATAGACAAAGAACATCAATAGGTGCTTACATCACATAAAAAGACAACCAACACTACTTTTTTTTTTTTGAGAATTTTAATATTTATTTTTTAGTTTTCGGCAGACACAACATCTTTGTTTGTACGTGGTGCTGAGGATCGAACCCGGGCCGCACGCATGCCAGGCGAGCGCGCTACCTCTTGAGCCACATCCTCAGCCCAACTAACTTCTGATGGAAGTACAAAACATCATCTAGGAAGCAGTCTTGCTTAAAAAAAAAAAAGTCAAACCTAAATGATCTTAGCGGAAATACAAAGGATGAAAGAACATATTAAACTGCATCACAGGGATGCAATCAGCAAAATCCAGAAAATAAGGTAGTCACCAGGAACAATGTCAGAATCAACAACAAAACTGTCAGCAGCACTAAAAAGAAAGTGAATTTACAGATAACACTGGACAACATCCTAACTTTATATGATGGGAAGGTTCTAGGTATGCTGTGCTTTCAAATATGGAAGCCACTAACCAGACATGACCATTAACACACTTGAAATGAGGCCAATGATGCTGAGGACCTGAGTTTTCAATTTCAATCATTTAAATTTAAATAGCCATGTGACTTGTGGCCACCAACCTATTACAATATTTGAACCTTATCCCAACCCAAACTTATGTAAAATTTATGACATATATAAGATAATTGGAAACTTGAACCTGGACTTCATTTTTGAAGATACTGAGCGCTTTTTTTTTTTTTTTTGGTGTGATAACAGTTGAAAAGTTAAGTTTTACTGAAATATTCATAAATGATATGAAATACTACATCTGGAAGTTGCTTCAAAAGAATTTGGGAAGGAGTAGAAATGAAATAAAATTAGCTCTGAGTAGATAAATATTGGAAGCTGGTGATGGGATTACAAGGGTTAATTATACAACTTTTTCTACTTTGGTACAAGTTGAAATTTAGTATTTCTTAAAAATGTTGAATTTTTATTAAAATAAAGAAAACTTATTAACAACTGTAAGCTGGGCAAGGTGGTGCACACCTGTAATCCCAACAACTCTGGAGACTGAGGCAGGAAGATGGCAAGTTTGAGGCCAGTCTCAGCAACTTAGTGAAACCCTATCACAAAATGAAAAATAAAAAGGTCTTGGGGTAGAGCGCTTTACGACAGTTGCTTTGTGGCAGCAGAGGAGGAGGAACATGTTGGCCACCTTAGTTGCTGCTCGAGGAGAGGGTCCCGCATCCGCCTGGGGGCAGGAGGCTGTCGCCCCAGACTGGGAAAACCGGGAAGTCTCCACAGGGACCACTATCATGGCTGTGCAATTTGACGGGGGTGTGGTTCTGGGGGCAGACTCCAGAACAACCACTGGGTCCTATATCGCCAATCGAGTGACTGACAAGCTGATTCCTATTCATGACCATATTTTCTGCTGCCGTTCAGGTTCTGCAGCTGACACCCAGGCTGTAGCAGATGCTGTCACTTATCAGCTTGGATTCCACAGCATTGAAATGAATGAGCCTCCATTGGTGCACACAGCAGCCAGCCTCTTTAAGGAGATGTGTTACCGATACCGGAAAGATCTGATGGCGGGAATTATCATTGCTGGCTGGGATCCTCAAGAAGGAGGACAGGTATACTCAGTTCCCATGGGAGGTATGACGGTAAGGCAGTCCTTTGCCATTGGAGGCTCTGGGAGTTCATATATCTATGGCTATGTTGATGCTACCTACCGTGAAGGCATGACTAAGGAGGAGTGTCTGTAGTTCACTGCCAATGCTCTTGCTTTGGCTATGGAACCGGATGGCTCCAGTGGAGGGGTGATCCGTCTGGCAGCCACTGAAGAATTGGGAGTAGAGCGGCAGGTACTTTTGGGAGACCAGATACCCAAATTTACCATTGCTACTTTACCACCTCCCTGAGTCTGGGATTCTAGGATGTAATAATATTCATCCCATACCGATAAGAATTTAATAAACAGTTTGTCAAAGAGAAAAAAAAAAAAAAAAGGTCTGGGGGTGTGGTTCAGTAAATAAGCACCTCTGGGTTCAATCCCTAGTACCAAACAAACAAAAAAACAACCAAAGATGTCTGGGATAGATGAATTTTAAAAATGCAGTTACAAAATAGTATACAGTTGGCCCTCTCTATCTACAGTTACACAACTGCAGATTCAACCAACCACAGATCAAAACTATTTGAGAAAAAAAAAATGCATCTATACTGAATATTTACAGACTTTTTCCTCTTGTCATTATCCCTAAATAAGACTGCATAATAACTATTTACACACTGTTTACATTGTATTATAAGTAATCTAGAGATGACTTTATTTCTTTATATATATATATATTTTTTTTTTTTTTTAATTTTAGTTATAAATGGACCTTTATTTTATTTATATGCGGTACTGAGACTCAAACCCAGGGCCTCACACATGCTAGGCAAGTGCTCTATCATTGAGCCACAACCCCAGCCCCCAGAGATGACTTTAAATTAAAGTATTCTAGAGGATGTCCATCAGTGGATTTTAATATCCTCAGGGGTTCCTGAAATCAATCCCCAAGAGATACCAAAACATGACTGTACATTATGATTTTATTTCTAAAAAAAAATTATTATATTTTTATGTACATACAGGTAGAAAACAGCAGAGAACACATCAAAATGTCCATAGAAGTTAACCTGTGTGATAGGATTACATTTTTCTTTTTATCAGCATTTTCTATTTTTTCTACAATTAACATACATCATTCATATAATAAATAATGAATACAGCCTGGCACAGTGGTGCATGCTATAATCTCCTCAACTATGAAGGCTGAAGCAGGAGGATCACAAGTTTAAAGGCAGCCTCAGAAACTTAGCAAGGCAACTAAGCAACTTAGATCCTGTCTCAAAATAAAAACTAAAAAGGGCTGGGGACCTGGCTCAGTGGTTAAGCACCCTTGGTTCAATCCCCTCTACCAAAAAAATAAATGAATAAAAGGAAAAAATTATAAATGAATATAAACAGCAATGAACAAATTAACATGTGAAAAACACAATATAAGATCTAAAGAGGGAGCTGTAGGAATCTGATTGCTAAGCTGAGTAGGACAGAGCCTCAGGAAAGACAGACTGACCTGCTGATTTCCCAGCGTGTGCAGCTCCAACGAGGTCAGAACGAAAGAGAGGAGGCCGTAGACACACATGCAGGCAGTACTTGTGGTACACTGGAATGGCAAAGGAGTTGGTGATTAGTTTACAGCTCCTTCCAGACTCAGCATAATTCCCTTGTGTTAATATAGTACTTGTAAACAAATGGGAAGGGAATCTGAAACTTTCACAATTTTCCTAATTTAGTTATAAGATCAGGACGACTAAGGGAGAAACAAAAAAGTAGGAACACGAACATTACAACAGCCAACAATAAAATCAAAACAATCATTTTCAAAGTGATCAAAGTTTGTATGGGAAAGGGTACTTCGAAAGAATAAAGTTACTTTGGATTAGGCAGAGAGCAGTGAAGGGAGAGGAGGGGCATGGGGTTAGGAAAGATATAATAAATCCAACATTATTACCCTATGTGCACAGAAGACTACACAACTGGTGTGATTCTACATCATGTACAACCAGAAAAATGAGAAGTTATATTCCATTTATGTATGTGTCAAAGTGCATTCTACTGTCATGTATAACTAATTAGGACAAAAAAAAAAAAAAAAAAAAGTTTGTATGGGGGAAAAGAAAACCCAATCCAGGGCTGGGGATGTGGCTCAAGCGGTAGCGCGCTCGCCTGGCATGCGTGTGGCCCGGTTCGATCCTCAGCACCACATACAAACTAAGATGTTGTGTCCGCAGAAAACTAAAAAATAAATATTAAAATTCTCTCTCTTAAAAAGAAAACCCAATCCAGCCTACAGAAGGACTACTGTCTCTATGAGCTGATACAAATGACACCTGGCCTGAACTGCCATCATTAATCAGCCAGTGCCAGCCAGCAGGAACTTTTGGCTAAAGTCTGTGGTTTCCTTTTTATAGACTGTTTTACAGCAGTTTCAGGTTCACATCATACAGTGCCATTTTATTGTCTTATGAATCCTCCATACCCAGCCTATTCATCCCCCCTCTACCAATTAACCAATATTCTTTCTACTGTCTCAAGAGTTTTGAATTCTCCAGGATGTCTTATCCTTAGAATCACACACCATGTAGCCTTTTCAAATTGCTTCTTTTACTTAGTAATATGCATTCAAGGTTCCTCCCATGTCTTCCCATAGTTTGATAGCTCATTTCTTTAAGCACTGAATAATACTCATTGTCTGAATTTGCCAGTTTACTTTACCTACTGAAGGACATTTTTGCTGCCTTCAAATTCTGGCAATTATGAATAAAGTTATAAACATCTGTGCACAGTTTTTCTGTGTGTGGACATTCATTAGTCTCCAACTCAGACTCTGAGTACATACCAAGGAGCGTAAATGCCGAACCTAAAGTTTCATTTTATTTGTTCATTTTATTTTTTGTGGTACTGGGAATCCAACCATGGGTGTCATATGCTAGGCAAATGTAACGACCACTGAGCTATCTTTATTTTAGTACATCAAAATAAGTTATGTGAGCCATATCACTCAAAATAATCCCCAACACAAGGCTCAAGAGAATTTCCATTCATCCTGGTCCAGCTGAATGAGTAAGTCCCCCAGAAAGGAATACCCAGTCAAAAATGGCCCAACCCTGTTTTCTAACACACTTTATTGGCAAAGAGTCAGATAATGAGTTCAAACTATCCACCACTTACTGGCTACTATCGTTTTGGGCAAATTATACCTCCCTCAATCTCAATTTCCTAATGCATAAAATAAGACAATATAATCCTAAACAAAGTGATAATCAGGATTAAATTAGAAAGTGCTGAGCAGGGTCTGCTTTATAAAGGTTAGTTACACTTCCACTCTTATCCACTTCACTATTAGGATTCTCTCTGTTCTCATGGCTCTGCCCAGCTTTTTTGCCCCTGACACTCAACCAACAACCTGGACTCACATCATTTCCCCCAATGGCAAGTGACCGCAGTAGTCGAGTCAAATACTGAAATACATTCAGCTGGATAGCTGTGCCACCTATCTTCCGGACCACACTGCTTGTTTCTTCTGGGTTCAGGGTGTGACGGAGGAGAGCCCAGGCCAAAAGCACCGGGGCATGATGTAGAATGTCCCCAAAGGTCAACATCAAGTGGTCCATATCCTAATGAAGGGAGAAAACATATCTGTATCTCTGAAGAGAAAGAGTTAAGTTCAATAAGCATTTCATTCATCCAAAGAGGTCTCACTTTCCCATTCTAATATTTCACTGTTCTTAAATCCCAGCCAGCTCACTAACAAGCGCCTCAGTTACTTTTCCCTTTAGAAGTTTTTTCCTATTGATTTTAAGCAGTCTTAATTTAAAACTGTAAAACACATGCTCATATGAAAACTCTATAAATTTCATTACCTTGATTCTCCTTCCTAATTTTGTTTTCCTGGTGCTGAAGATTGAACCCAAGGCCTTATACATTATAGAGAAATGCTCTACCAATAAGCTACATCCCTAGCTCTTTCTTTTTTATTTTGGCACAGCATCTCATTAATTTGCTGAGACTGGCCTCAAACTTGCAATCCTCCTGCCTTGGGCTCCCAAATCACAGAGATTACAGATATGTACCACCACACCTGGCCCATTTTCTACCTTTCTAACTACCTCATCTCAATGTTCACCCCTTTTCCTTTTTCACAAATCCCAAAATAACAGACTATCCCCAAGGTTTTGTCTTCAGGCATCTTTTTTTCTTATACCATCTCCATGATAAATACCCTCACAAATTCAATTGTCACCTCTATAAGGATGACCAAAAAAAAAAAAAAAAAAAACCCAGACTTCTTCCAAATCTAATTAACTATTTAATAAATTCACATCACTGAAAATTTTATGCAGCAGGATAGTTCAATGTTTAAGAACACACTACTAACTATAAACCATCTGACAGGAAAAAAAAGTAGCTCTTCCAAGCTCACCTGACAAATAAGCCCATCCTGAGCAAATTGGTGCAATTCTCTCCTATCATCCAAAGCACACTTATGCAGGGACTCAATATCCATACCTTCCACCAGGATAAGGGCACTGAAATAGCTGGAAAGAAAAATGGTACTAGTCTCATGTGCTGCTTTGAAGCTCACAACAGACCAGGTGAAATGTAAGATACTTCCCTATCAAAGTCATTACTAAGTTACTTAAAGTTCTTTTCCCACAGTGTCTTCTAAATCTAGAATATGTTTTATACTTCCAGTACATTTCAATACGACCAGCCACACTTCAAGTATCTGACAGTCATATGCATCTGTGTCCACCATACTGGGCAGCACAGATCTAGTATTAAAGGTTTCTATAGCCACCACTTATACCTAACCCTGGTAAGCCATCTTATTTCTCAAGCATTCATCTTTGCTCACAGAGGGAATAATCCTCAAAATGTGGCTATGTCCCTGGCCATTAGTGGGAAAAAAAATGAGAAATTCCAAAGTCAACAGATATGGCTTCAAAGAGCAGAGAACACCTAAGCCATATCAGTCTTCTTAGCATTTTGATGTCTACCCTGTAACAGTTGCTCAACAACTATTGTTTGTTGAATGAATGAACTCCTTAAAAGAAATAAAAGAACCTTATACTTTCAAGAACATGCCCCCTTAAGTCCAGTCTTCAGCTCCTATATGAAAAGAACAAGTCAGTAGGCCCATCTATTTCTACACCAGTTAAAGGAAAAGTCCACTTTTCCCCTCACTTATTTACAGAATCTCTACAGTATCAGTGCTCTAAACATTATACAACTCCTATGATATTCAATTCACTCAGACTTACCCAATCCGATCTACAAATGGATCCATGGTCTCATCCACTAAGTGCCGATTAGTCTGCCTACTACCAAATCCTTGCTCTTTAAACATTTTGGTCAATACTAGTAGGTCACTAGGTGCCATCTCAAAGTATGCGTAGTAAAGGAAAATAATTTCTAGCAGCATGGACTGCTCCCGAAGGCACTGAACAAACCAGCGTGACACCTGGCGCTCAGTCTGCACAACCAAGAAAGAAAAAATGGGAAAATGAAATTAAAGATCTCTTTAAAATTTAAAAAAATTGTATTTCATGCGATATGCACATTATATTGGGGCTGAGGATACATAGCTCAGTTGGTAGAGTGCTTGCCTCATCTGCACAAGGCCCTGGGTTCAATCCCCAGCACCACAAAAGTAAAGAAAAAAAGAAAGAAAGAATATATGCACATTATAGAAATTCAAAAAGTATAAGTGGGGGAAAAAAGGTGTTCCTCTCCCTACAATTTTTTTAAAATATTTTTTAAGTTGTCAATGGACCTTTTTTTAATTTATTCATTTATTTATATGTGGTGCTGAGGATTGAACCCAGTGCCTCACATATGCTTGACAAGTGCTCTACCACTGAGCCACAACCCCAGCCCCTTCCCTATTATTTCTGTTGCCTAGTTATCCAAACCCCTCTCCACAAGCAGCCAGTGTTGAGACTCGTATTTCCTTTCAGCAGTATACTATATATATCCATTTACTCATTCTCTAATCTATCTTTAATCCAAATTTTGTTTTGTGTGTATATATAATATCCCCCACTCCCCTGGTACTGGGGACTGAACCCAGGGGCATTTTACCACTGAGCTGCATCCACAGCCTTTTTATTTTAAGACAGGGCCTTACTAAGTAAGTTACAGAGATTGGTATTCAACTTGGGATCCTCCTGCCTCAGTCCCCCAAGTTGCTGGGATTACAGATAAGCGCCACTGCCCTTAGCTCAACCAAATAACATCGCACAAACTATCTATCAGGCACCTTTCTTTTTTCATTTAACAATATATCTTTTTTTTTTTCTTTTTTAATGCTATTTATTTAGTTGTAGATGAACACACAGTATCTTTATTTTTATGTGTTACTGAGGATCAAACCCAGTGGCCCATACATTCGAGGCAAGCACTCCACCACTGAGCTACAGCCCCAGCCCCTTGACAATATATCTTAAGATTATTTCCTGGGCTAGGGTTGTAGCTCAATGGCAGAGCACTCGGCTAGCACTTGTGAGGCACTAGATTCAATCCTCATCACCACATAAAAATAAAATAAAGGTATGGGTCCATTTGCAACTAAAAAAAAGCTAAAACAAAAAAAAGATTATTTCCTGTTTTTCACTCCTTTATATATATATACACACACACACTTTATTTTTTTTTAATTTGTTTATTTTTATGTGGTGCTGGGGACCAAACCCAGGGCTTCACACATGCAAGGCAAGCACTCTACCTGAGCTACAACCCCAGTCTGTTTCACTCCTTTTTAAAGCTTTACATATAGTAATCAATTTTATTGATATGCCATAGTCTATTCAATAGTCCCCTTATTTTTACTGCTGCATAGTATTCCACTAAAAATGTCATAATTTATTTTACCCAGATCACCTGGAAAGGCATTCAGTTAATAGGAATTTTTGGCTAATAAAACCATGCTGTATGATAACAGAACTCAGCAAACACAGCAGATCTGAACCATATTGAGCCAGTTGATATTCGTAGACCATCACACTCAACTACTGCCAGATAAACACTCCTTCAGGTGTCCCTCCCTGCTACACTTACCAAGAAAGATCATATGGTGGGCCATAAATTATAGGACAATAAATTTGAAAAGATTACAATGATACAGAATGTGTTCACTGATAATAACAGAATCAAATGAAAAACTGTTAACAAGATATCTAGGAAAAACATTAAATATTTGAAATTAAATAACATACTTCATTTACAGCTTAAATTTTTCTTTTAATCATGGATCCATTCAGATTTTCATATAACAAAACGTTTGAAGAAAGAAATGCTAATTTTTCTCCAGATCGAGTAGTTTCAACATTACTTATTAAATAATCCAATGTTTTCCCACTGATTTGAAATCCCACTTTAATCACTTTAATATAATATTAAATTTCCTACCTGTATCCGAGTCTACATCTAGGATTTCTATTATGTTTTATTCAACAGCCTATTCATTCATTTTCCAATTCCATATTTTAAAAATTGTTACGGTTTTATTATCTGGTAAGATTAATCTTCCTTCATTATTTTCTTTATTTCAAAAATTTCTCGGTTATTCTTACTTTTTTTTTTAATTGTTGATAGATCGATATTTATTTATTTATTTGTGGTGCCGGTGGCTTTTTAAAAAAATATTACTTTTATTTCTTTATCATTATTTTCTTCTTCTTCTTCTTCTTTTTTTTTGGTTACCAGGGATTGAACTCAGGAGCACTTGACCACTGAGCCACATCCCCAGCCCTATTTTATATTTTTATTAGAGACAGGGTCTCACTGAGTTGCTTAGTGCCTCACTAAATTGCTGAGGACTTTGAAATCATGATCCTCCTGTCTCCAGGATTATAGGCGTGCACCACTGCACCAGTCTATGGCGCCCACCTTATTATCATTATTTTCTTTGGTACAGGGGACTGAACCTAGGGACTTGTATATACCAGACAAGTGCTCTACCACAGAGGTACAGCTCTAGTCCCTGGCTATAATTTCCTATGCCCATCTCCCTCCCTCCCCTTCATTCTCCTTTGTCTAATCCAAAGATCTTCTACTCCCCCTTATTGTAAATTAGATCCACACCAGAGAGAACATTCGGCCTTTGTTTTTTTGTGTGTTGTGTGTTTGGTGCTGGGGATTGAACCCAGGGCCTTGTGCCTGCAAGGCAAGCACTCTACCAATTGAGCTATATATCCCCATCCCTCAGCCTTTGGTTTTTTGGGACTGGCTTATTTCACTTAACCTGATAGTCTCTAGTTCAATCCTTTTACTGGAAAATGCCATAATTTCATTCATCTTTATGGCTAAATAATACTCCATTGTGTATACAGACTCCATTTTCTTTATCCATTCATCTGTTGAAGGGCACCTAGGTTGATTCCACAGCTTAGCTATTGTGAATTGAGCTGCTACATTATGCTGATTTTTAAGTACTTTGGATATATGCCAAGGAGTGGGATAATTCCATAAGTTACCCTCCATGCATATATGATATGGTGGTTCCATAATATGAGTTTTCTAATTAGTTTTCCCAGTACCAGTACCAGAAAAAAGGCAGAACACACACTTACTGGTATTTTTTTTCTGGGACTACATTAAAGTGATACGTTAACATATGTATGATGAACTAGATTTCTTTATAGTATTGAATCTTTATAATCAAGAAAAATGGTCTTTCCATTTGGTTATGTTTATTTTAACACCCTTTATAGCATTTTAAAGTCCTCTTCATTTTGATTTTGGACTGCTTATTTCTGGGAATTTTATGCTTTTATTACTATTTTATGCTTTTGCTTGCAAACTTTCTGGGGAGACAGAAATGTTAAGTGGGCCGTTTTTTCCCATTAAACATTTTAAATAGTTAATGTCTGTTTTTGTTGACGGGTTTTAATAAAAATGTTTTCTCTTCAAAACAAAAGCGCAGGATGTAGTGGTGGATGCCTGTAATCCTAGTGGTTTGGGAGACTGAGGCAGAAAGATCACAGTTTGAAGGCCAGCCTCAGTAACTTCAGTGAGGCCCTAAGCAACTCAGTAGGACCCTGTCTCTAAAAAGGGCGGATGGGGCCTCAGGATGTGGCTCAGTGGTTAAGCACCCCAGGATTCAATTCCTAGTAGCAAAAAACAAAACAAAGAAAGGCCAACCTACAATCTATAAATGCATGCTGCTTTAGAATTTAGGATAAAAACAGTCAAACTAACATCACATACTTGATAGAAAATGACAAATAAAAAGACAAAATTGTGGGTTTATAGTATCAATAACCACTAACAGCATATTTTCATTGAGAACAGAAAATAAAGAAAGTCCAAGGAAAAGGTCCAGAATTAAGTACTGTTTAAAATTAAAGTCATTAACTTTCTGAAAGTAATCCATACATGTGCCAGTTTATACATTAGCAAATAATTCAGCCTGGGGCTCCATAAGCAAGGACACACCACTCCCCACAGGTTACAGGAGAGCACAAGCACACATACCATGAGGTTCCCATGCGTCTCCCAAGTTGGTGCTTCAGTTTTATATAGCTCTTCAAATTGCTGCCTATATTTTAAAACTAGTTCCTTCTCCAATTTATCAACACAGTCTGCATATTCAACCTTAAAAAAGAAAAAGAGAATAATCCATACCCAAAAAAGATAAATATTCAAATAAATACAAATAATATATTTAAAAGGTTTGAATGATATAGGCTGGAAAGAACTAAGAGGATTCAATAGGCTTACCCTGTAGGGGTGTCTTTCATCTTGGAAATAAGTGAGAAGGTGTAAGACACAACGAAGAATATAGGTTCTTTCTTCATAGTAATAATCTGCAATCTGGAAAGAACCCAAAGATTCAAAATTAGTTATTCACATTTAGAAAGAGGATATTCAATTTTATAATTACTGATAATGAGATCACATAAAGACATGGATGGAAAAGATGAACTTACATAAGCAGTCACAAAAAATGTAAACATGTTGAACTAGGCCCCCCAAATACAAAAGATCTTTGTAAACTAGGTAAGCCATGGAAGGTGATACAAGAAATTATTAAAACAAGCTTTCCAAAAAAATTTCAAGCATGATTTCTCAGAGCATTCAAGTAATATACAATGCTATTGGCTGACCAAACACATTAAAACAAATATAAAAATACCACTCACTGATAAATGTTCTAACTGCTTATAACTAATATACTTAAGTCTTACTAAATATTAAATGAGAAACTGCTTTAGAAGTCACAAATTCCACTTTTAAAACTAAATCCTAAATGAGAAGGTTCCAGGAGGGGAAGTGGGAAATAAAGAAACACAAGTTAGGGCTGGGGATACAGCTCAGTTGGTAGACTGCTTGCTTCACATGCACAAGGCCCTGGGTTCAATCCCCAGCACCACACACACACACACACACACACACACCCACCCACACATACACACACACACACAAAGAAATACAAGTTAATGCTGCTGAATTAGAGAAAAGATAACCAAGAACCAGTTCCCAACACTAGTAGCTGAACAATTGATCTCCTTCAGGAAAACCCTTCAGCTGGGCCAGGGGATAAAACCCTCCTGTTTCACAAATGAGCAAATAAGCATCTGCACTAAAACCTCAAACTCTCCTAGCAGACGAGTCAAAAACCAGCAATGCTCAGGAAGACAAAGTCGAAACTGCCACCCAACTATACCTTAAAAAAATGGAAATGGTAGCCAGGTGAGGTGGCACATATCTGTAATCTCAGAAGGATTACAAGTTCAGTCCAGCCTAAGAGCAACTTAGCAAGACTGTCTCAAGATAAATATTTAAAAGGGCTGCATGTGTCACTTAGTAGTAGAGCACCTGTGGGTTCAATCCCCAGTACCAAAAAATGGAGAAAAAAATAATAAAAAGGAAATGTTAACTACTACTGACCTTCAGGATTAAGGCCTGGCTTTGCCTCTCATCTTGCAAGACCATCTGAGGAAAAACAACAGTCAAGAAGTCACCTCACAGGCAAAACTCAATTAAGAAAGAAAAAGTCTCACATTTCAAGATTATAAGTGCCCACTTGTTTTTATAAGCATTTCTTACCTTAGTTTTATTAAAATGTATCCAAAACCTGTGCTCAAATCCTTCCCTGCCTCTCCTCTGGCCTCAGTTTCCTCATCTGTAAAATGAGTAGCTGGGCAAGGAGGAAGCTCTTTCAATTCTATGATTAGCATGGCATGCTCTGACCTCTCCACCCTCCGTATGAGAACTGATCTCAGTTGTTTTTTAAGCCTTGGGAAGCCTTTCTTGAGAATGGCTATATCTGACAACCCGCCTCTATTGAAAGAACTGGTGCCCAAACCCTAAATTATCTAAAACCACCAAGGAAAAGACAGCTGATAGAGCTGGGCAGACCACAGACCTTGAGCAAGTCCCGAGTACCCCTGTAATCCTCCTGAAGGTAACATTGGAGCAACTGCACGCTCTGTTCTTCATCAAGACTCTGAAATGTAGAGCTCTTAAGTTAGGAACAATCACCTCAGCTCAGAACCACACACAGCATGCAAAGCACTAAAGATTTTTCCTCCAGCCAGGCATGGTGGCTCACACTATGTAATCCCAGCGGCTTGGGAGGCTGAGGCAGAAAGATCACAAGTTCAAAGCCAGCCTCAGCAACTTAACAAGACCCTAAATCAAAATAAAAAATAAAAAAAGTACTGGGGTTGTAGCTCAGTGGTCCAGTACAAAAAAAATTTTTTTTTTCCATACAACATAACAATTTTAACCCAAGTAGAAGAAAAGGGGCCACTCACTGACACACAACTTGCATGACAATACCACATTCCAGAAACAAGTGCTTTTTTACCAAGCACATTAATATAGCAGTAGGCATAACATGGGCTCTAAAATTGAACGAGAACAGCTAAGTACTGAAACACAAATGTAGTCAATTTAAAACATGTATGCTGCCAGGCATGGTGGCGCACACCTGTAATCCCAGCAACTCAGGAGGCTGAGGCAGGAGGATCACAAGTTCAAGGCTAGCCTCAGCAACTTGATGAGACCCTGTCTCAAAATAAAAAATAAAAAGGTCTGGAGACACGGCTCAGTGGTTAAGTGCCCCTGATCAATCCCTAGTACCAAATAAATGAATAAACACATGTATGCTGAAGAAAACTCTATGATATGTAGTAAACGGGTCGGGCAACTTCGCTATGTGACTTTGGTGAGAAGAGTTGTAACTTGGGTATTTCTAAAACACAACATATTCAATTAATTCCTAAAATTGAAATAAACTAAATTTGTACTAACAATAAAACCACATATGTCCACATCACAAGCAATAACCGAGTCAGTGCTACTTTTTACTCACCAAAAACTTGCTGATCCTTAAGCCCAGTTCCTTCAGTGGTGAAGCTACATCTTTATTAGCTTTCACTTTTTCCGCTGAACTTGGACTATGAAAAGAATAGAACATTTCCTCATTCTCAATAACCCTTTAGGGGTTTAAAATAAAATTTCTTAGATATTTTTACTACAGGCTTTTTTCCTGCCATTTAGGTCTCTATAAATACACACACACATTCTCCACTATAGACTTTAAGACACAAAACTCGTTATACCCCAGTAATAAAAAATAAGTTATGTCTGTTTTAAATTATAAGGATATTACCTATAAATCTGCTAGGTTAAATTCTTTCTCATCCATAGAAATATCCTAAAAGATAAATACTACTACCCCATTTTACAAATGGAATTATCAACACTTAGAAAGAGAAAATAACTTACCAAAAATCCACAGCTAATAAAAATTTGAGATGAAATGTAAAACAAGGTCTGTTAGTGTACACACATGTATTATCAAAATCTGTGGTGTACGCCTGGAATCCCAGCAACTCAGGAGGCTGAGACAGGAGGATCACGAGTTCAAAGAGCCTCAGCAAAAATAAGGAGCAAAGCAACTCAGAGAGATCCTGTCTCTAAATAAAATACAAAACAGAGCTGGGGATGTGGCTCAGTGGTAGAGTGTCCCTGTGTTCAATCCCCAGTACTATAAAAAAAGAAAGAAGGCCTAGAAGTTGTGACACCCCAGTAAGAGCAAACACAGTCAGAACCCAATCTTGGTTTCTAATACCATTCTTCCATAAAAGGAACCAGGACTCCTTGGAGAATTATTGATTCTAGAGCTGAGGCAGGAAAAACATGAGACTAAAGCATTTTTTAGGGCTCTAAAGTAAGGAAATATTGAAAAAACAAAAAAACAGACATCAATTTGAAAGAACTCCCAAAGTCTAACAAAGGAACGAAATATTAACAAAAATAGAGGGGGCTGGGGGAATATGCCTAGCATTCACAAGGCCCTGAGTTCAATCCCAAGTACCACTCCCAAAACCATAAAAAATGGTACAAAATACATATACATGAGTTCTTATTGATTAAATGAGTGATTAAATAGGTGAAGGAGTAGGGGCAAAATCTTCCTTAAAGGAGACTCCAAAATAGCACACACAGATGCTGCCTCCTCAAGAGGTGAGTTTTAATTCCACCACCCCATATGAACAGTGGACTGTTCCAGTAACCCATTTCCAAAAAAAAAGAGTAAGGAAAGTGAACAAAGTAACTAGTAACTACAGAAGAAAACCCCACAAGTAACTGTGTGAACCAGGTAAACACTACTAGTAATGTTTTTTTAATACTCATTTTTTAGTTGTAGTTGGACACAATACCTTCATTTTTTTATTTTTATGTGGTGCTGAGGATTGAACCCAACCCCACAACCCCAGACCCCACTATTACTAATTTTGAGGAACATGCCCTCTGATATAAGAATGGTATTTCAGCTGGGCACAGTGGCACATGCCTATAATCCCAAGTAGCATGGAAGGCTGAGACAGGAGGATCACAAGTTCAAAACCAGCCTCAGAAACTTAGCAAGACCCTAAGCAACTCAGTGAGACCCTCTCTCTAAAATAAAAATATTTTTAAAAAGGGCTGCAGGGGCTGGGGTTGTGGCTCAGCAGTAGAAAGCTCACCTAGCACGTGTGAGGACCTTGGTTTGATCCTCAGCACCACATTTAAAAAATAAATAAATAAAATAAAGCTATTGTGTCCAATTATGATAACAACAACAAAAAAGGGCTCCCCTGGGTTCGATCCCCAAGACCAAAAAAAAAGTACTTCACCTCTGTATATTCTTTCCAAAACTCACACCCAAAGTCTAATGAGAAAAACATTAGACAAATCCAAATTAAGAGCATGAAAATTAAGAAAAAACTGAGATGTTGTCACAGCTAAGTGGACATTTAGGAGACATAACTAACTGCAATATAGTACTCCTGGATTGGATTCTGTAAGAGAGGGAATTAAAGAAAAAACTGATTAAATTCCAAAAGTCTAGAGTTTAGTTTTAGTTTAAAAAAAAAAAAAAACTACAGGACCTCAAATTCCACGTTACTGCAAAGGGCGTTTTTCTCTTTAGAAAATAAAAGTAGAAAACAGTGATAGAGGGGCTGGAGCCGTAGCTCAATGGCAGAGTGCTTGTCTAGCATTCTTGAGGCACTGGGTTCGATCCTCAGCACCGCATAAACATTAACAAATAAAATAAAGGCATGCTGTCCATCTACAACTACATTTTTTTTTTTTAAAGAAAACAGTGATAGAGCATGTAAGTAGTAGGTGCAAGGCACTGGGTACGAACCCCAGCATATTAAAAAAAAAAAAAAAAAAAAAAATCAAAGAACGAAAAGCTATAATGTCCTTTCTATGACCTGAAACACAATGTTGTTGGATTTTTTAAAAAAAGATTCTCACATTTCATAGAAAATCCACAACATAAAGGTTAGTGTGGGGTTGTGGCTCAGTGGTAGAACACTTGCCTAGCATGTGTGAGGCACTGGGTTCGATTCTCAGCACCGCATATAAATAAATGAATAAAATTAAGGTCCATCAACAACTGAAAAATATATTAAAAAAAAATAAAGGTTAGTATACAGGGTAAACAAAAGTTCTGAAAGAGGCGACATGGAATAATAATTAAAAACACAGACACTGGAGTAAGACTGCCAGGTTTGAATCCTGATACCACCACTTACTAGCTGTGTGACCTTGGGTAAATTACTTAACCTCTTTGTGCCTCACTTTCCCCACCTGTAAAATGGAAACAATGATAATAAGAGTATCTAAGTGTGATAAAGTATTGATTATATATTTTTTTAAAGTTTATGTTTTAGATATTTAATGAAGTATTTACAGGTAAAATAGTATCTAGGAAGTATTTCAAAATAATTAAGGAGGAAGAATTCATTGGTAAACAACAACAAAAAGTTCATCATTAACCTGAGAGAAAAAAGATGATAAAGACAATAAATTCAAGGGGCTGTGGCTCAGTGGTAGCTCACTTGCCTGGCATGTGTGAGGCACTGGGTTCGGTTCTCAGCACCGCATATAAATAAATAAAATAAAATAAAGGTCTATCAACAACTAAAAAAATGTTTTTAAAAATTAAAAAAAAAAAAAGTATGTAATAAATTCAACAGATGTTCAGCAATAGAAGGTGCCGAATTGCACGCGACTAAAACACTCAGGGGTCACTCCAGGGGAACTGGGCTGCGTGAAATAACCACACAAGAGATAGAAATACCTTTTTCTTTGGGGGTGCTATGATGGCTCCTCTGAACTTAAGGGTCTGCAGAAAGGGGGGGAGAGGGAGGGAGGGGAGGGAGAGGGAGAGAGCACACATGCTGACCCTTTTATTGAGAAGAAGCCATTCAAATGAGACAAGGGGTCAGGTTTCAATGGGGTTAGCCAGCTGTCAGCAGACTGACTGACATCTGGGAAGGCCACACACAAGGGCAGAATAAGACAAGGGGACACACAAAAGGTGTTTCCATGGAACATTCTATCCCAAACAGGGCAAGGGGTAATATCCCATGGGGATGTAGGAAGGCACACCCATCCACAAAGACACATTTGCTTGACCCTAAAGATCGGGGCTAACATCTACGGTTACCTAGGCAAACAGATCACAAAGTGACCGACAATGCCACACCAATCAGAAGGGGAGACAAATGCTGGTCACATACTATGTCAGTCTCCCACAAGAAGGAAAATGAGGATGACGGGACTCTGATGTACAACAGCATAAGACGTACAGTAGGAATGATGATAAATGAATCTCTATTGCTTCTTTGTGGGGGTTGCTGGAGATCAAACCCAGGGCCTTAAAGATGCTAAGCAAGGGGCTGGGGTTGTGGCTCAGCGGTAGAGCGCTTGCCTAGCATGTGTGAGACACTGGGTTCAATTCTCAGCACCATAAAAATAAATAAAGATCCATTGACAACTAAAAAATATTTAAAAAGATTCTCACATTTCACAGAAAATCCACAACATAAAGGATGGCTAAGCAAGCCCTCTATTGCTGAGTTTCATCTCCAGCCCCCCATTCTTGTCTAACAACATATTTTATTATTATTGTTAAAAATAGAAAACTAGCCAGGAGCAGTGGTGCACACCTGTAATCCCAGCAGCTCCAGAGTCTGAGGCAGGAGGATGGTGAGTTCAAGGCTGAGAAACTTGTCAAGTCCCTATCTCTAAATAAAATATAAAAAAGGGCTGGGGGGCTGGGGATGTGGCTCAAGCAGTAGCACACTCGCTTGGAGCCAGGTTCGATCCTCAGCACCAAATACAAATAAAGATGTTGAGGGCTGGGGATGTGGCTCAAGCGGTAGCGCGCTCGCCCGGCATACATGCGGCCCAGGTTCAATCCTTAGCACCACATACAAACAAAGATGTTGTGTCCGGGCAGGGTTCGATCCTCAGCACCACATACAAAGATGTTGTGTCTGCCGAAAACTAAAAAAATAAAGTAAATATTAAAATTCTGTCTCTCTCTCTCTCTAAAAAGATGTTGAGTCTGCCAAAAGCTGAAAAATAAATTAAAAAAAAAAAATTCTCTTTCTCTCTCTCTCCAAAAAAAAGGGGGGGGCTGGGGATGTGGCTCAATGGTTTAAGCACTTCTAAGTTCGATCTCAGTATCAAAAAAAAAGAGTAAACTATCTCATCCAGGTGTGGTGGTGCAGGTCTGCAATCACAACTACTTGGGATGCTCAAGGAGGAAGATCACAAGTTCAAGACCAGCCTAGGTAACTTTGCAAGACCCTGTCTTAAGACTAAAATTAAAAAGGGCTGGGGATGGATGCAGTCTGGTGGTAGAGTACATGCCTAGCATACGTGACACCCTGTTCAATCCCCAGTACCACAAAACATAATAATGATTTCAAAGGGTCATTATGAGGATTAATTAATGATAAAACAAATGCTTAAAAAAACAATTGGTTATGCTAAGCAAAATAGGTCAATACCAAAGAATCAAAGGCCTGTTTTTTCTGCTATGTGGATGCTAATTCACAATAAAGGGGGAGAAGAGAGGTACTCTGGATTAGACAGAGGGGAGTGAAGGAAGCAGAGGATGGATGGGGGTACAGAAATGATAAATGAATGAATCAGACATTATGACCCTATGTGCATATGTGATTATATGACCTACATCATGTACAACCAGAAGAATGAGAAGTTACACTCCATTTACGAATGATGTGTCAAAATGCATTCTTAAACTGGTATACAGTAAACCCTACAGAAGTGTCAGTTGATATCACTGTTCACTGCTCTGTGCCATTAGCTAGTGCTTCACACAAACATGGCAAGCCATAAATAAATATTAAGAATAGCAACTGAATACTTAATGAATCCACAACCTCAGACACAGGTTAGATAAGTGGATTGTACAATATTACATTTCTGGAATAAATTTCCCTTTCTTTCACTACAAAAAAAAGGTACCATATTCTTTTTAATTGATAACTAAACTATATTCTCTCTGATCTACCTAACCCAGCAATATAATAAAGGAATCTGTAAGAATGGTTTCATCTATGCCAGTTTCCTCAGAGAAATTACAAGACTCATGGAATCATCATACCTTGGAGGTTTGTAGTAAGAAAGCCCTTCTAACAACCGCTGCCAATGTTTATTCAATTCTGCTTCAATCTGATTCTGGAAAAGAACAAGGCAATTATACAAATGCAACTTTAATCAGATTCCAGGATCACACTGAGAAATACATATTCCATTGAGCCTCTTTAAAATGCATTTTCCTCCACATTTGAAATCATTCTGAACATAGAATTCTGTAACCACCTTTTCTTTAGCTAAACACTGTAGTATAATGATTTGCCCTTACTAGGAAATTTCTGATAAACATATTTTGTAGTGGTTGCACAATAATTCATCAAGTGGCTAGATTGTAATTTATTTACCATTTCATCTAATGTTAGATACGCTTAAGTTAACCATAATTTTTTTAAACAATTTTTGTGTTAATTTTATTGAGATACAATTAACATACAGTAAGATTTGACAGTTTTTTTTGTGTGTGTATATGGTGCTGGGGATTGAACCCAGAGGCCTTGTGCATGCAAGACAATCACTCTACCAAGTGAGCTATATATCCCCAGCCCAACCACAATTTTTTTTTTAATATTTATTTTTTAGTTGTAGGTGGACACAATAATTTCATTTTTATGTGGTTTATATTATATTATAATTTATTTATATCATTATATGGAGACACAGCGCTCGCCTACCACGTTTGAGGTCCTGGATTCAATTCTCAGCACCACATAAAAATGAAATAAAGATATTGTGTCCACCTACAACCAAAAAATAAATATTAAAAAATACATATATAAATAAAGAGCCAGGCACAGTGGTATGTGCCTGCAACCACAGTGACACAGGAGGCTGAGGCAGGAAGATGCAAGTTCAGTCAGCCTGAGCAACTTTGCAAGACCTGGTCTCAAAACAGAAAATAAAAAAGGATGGGGATGTAGCTCCATAGTAGAGCATTCCTGGGTTCATTCCCCAGGATCACCAGAGAGAGGTGATGAATGGATAAGATAATGAAGTGCAAAAAGCTTTGTGCACACAACCTTTCAAGGATTTCCTTCTCTGAAGACTCACCCTAGAAGGAGAATTATCAGTTAAAGGCTCTAAAATGGGTATTCACATTATTATGTTAATTATAACAACATCATCTTAATACCCTATCCTCATAGGGTCCACTACCCAAGGATCAACATCCCTTTATTGATCATATACTTGGCAATGTCCTAGAAACCACAGCCTCTCTGACCTAAAGGAAGAAGATAGAAGGAAAATGAAGAAAAAGTAAGGAGAGTATGAAACAGAAAAGCCTGAGAATCGAGAAAGGTATTTGAACCCCTCCGCTCCACAGCTAATGAATCAGCACTGGTATTTTTTCAGAAAAGGAATCAATGAGGTACAAAGAAAGGCAGACTTAGAAAACTTCAATAATCAAGACACATTCCCATATCTGCAAATAGAGGCTGAAAATGTACAATATTTATAAAGTTTAGGAATAAGAAAATGTGTTTACTTCCCACTTTAAAGGCAGTTTTTTAAAAAACATTTATTTTTTAGAAGTAGTTGGAAACCGAACCTTTATTTTATTTATTTTTATGTGGTGCTGAGGCTCGAACCCAGGGCCTCACACATGCTAAAGGAGCACTCTACCGCTGAGCCACAACCCCAGCCCGGCAGTTTTATTTTTGTAACATAAGATACACAAAAAACTCTGAAGCTGCTCAAGAACATTACCACTTACCAGTTCTCTCAGAGCTGACCTTCCAAGTAGAATTGTCCACAGTTCTCTACTGCTCCTGAAAAAATGAGCAGAGATAGGTTTGTCCTTCTAGATTATATAAATTTGACTAAGCTACCTCATAGCTATTTGACTATATGCTACCAGGAATGGAACCCAAGGGCATTCTACCACTGACTTACATTCCCAATGCTTTTTTTTTTTTTTAACTTTGTTTTGTTTATTTATTTTTTTTATGTGGTGCTGAGGATCAAACCCAGTGCCCCACGCATGTGAGGCAAATATTCTACCACTGAACCACAACTCCAGCCCTCCCCAGTGCTTTTTCTTGTTTATTTTGAAACAGGGTCTTTCCAAGTTGACTTGAACTCAGGATCCTCCTGCCTCAGCCCCCTGAGCAGCTATAATCATAGTAAGTATCTCTACACCCATCTATGTCTAGTCTTTAAAAGCAAACAAACAAACCCACACACAAGAGACAATCTGTTAAAGTTTTGGAAAGTAATCCTGTGCATGATCTTAGAAATACGATCCTCAAATAAAAATTAAGAAACAGTTACCACATTTCAACACAAAATTTAAGATGCCATTAGAGCTGCAGGTATAGTTGTTGGTAAAGAGATTGACAAGCAGGCTTGAGGCCCTGAGTTTAATCCCCAGTGCTGCAAAGGAAAACAGAAAGAGAGAAAACAGATGCAGGCAGGCACAACACAACACCCCTATAATCTCAGTTACCTGGGAAGCTGAAGCAAGAGGATCACAAGTTTGAAACCTGCCTAGGCAACTCAGCAAGACCCCGTCACAAAATAAAATAAAAAGGGTTGGGGACATATCTCAGTGGCAGAGCTCTTCCCTAAAATAGACTCTGGATTCAACTTCAAATACTGCATTAAACAAACAACAACAAAAAGAATGAAAAAGCTGGCATTAATTGTAAGATATGTCATCATTTATGGTTCACTAAGAAAGCAACGCTTCCAATAAACTATGACAACTCGTTAATAATAAAACATAAATGGATTACAGAGACACTAAAATTATGAAAAGTTTGTACCTTAGAATTAATGAAATATAGTAATTAATAAATTACAGTATATCCTCCATACCAAGACACCTCAATTTAAAACTTCTATCTTGGAGTTAGGGGTGCAGCTCAGTGCTAGAGCACATGCTTAGCATGCAAAAGGCCCAGGATTCAATCTTCAGCAACAAAAAAATTTCTCTGCCTTTCTCACTACAATGTAGTAACCAATATGGAAGAAGAATCTAGAAAAGAACTACATATATTTTATATTGTAACCTCCAGAAAAATTTCTAATGATACAATGCAATATAATTCACTTTCTCAGTGAAGTCTAATAGTCATTACAACAGTCCTACATTCATTCATTAATGAATTCCTACCAAATGCCAGAACAAGAGGTACTTACAAGATAAAACACACCAGGTGTGGTGACACACACCTATAATCCCAGAGGCTTGAGAGGCTGAGGCAGGAGGATCACAAATTTCAAAGTCAGCCTCAGCAACTTAGCAAGTCCCTAAGCAACTTAATGAAACCCTGTCTCAAAAAATAAAAAAGGATGGGGATGTGGCTCAGAGGTTAAGCTCTCCTGCATTTAATCCCTGATACCAAACATGCACACACACATACACCCCGTCACCAGTGTTTCTTCAAATAAGCTACAATCCCCAGAGTGTGCTTACCTCAAGCTCCTGCCCTCATCAATACCTTTAGAATTTCACAAAAATTGGTCTTAGGGCTTAAGTCTAGAATTAAATATCCAAATGTAACCAATAACAAATGCTCTCAAGGGCTGGGGTTGTGGCTCAGTGGTACAGCACTCACCTAGACCAGGTGAGGCACTGAGTTCGATCCTCAGCACCACATAAAAATACATAAATAAAAATTAAGGCATTGTGTCCATTTACAACTAAAAAAATAAACAAAAAAAGAGGGGCTGGGGTTGTGGCAAATTTGTGGTAGAGCGCTTGCCTAGCATGCTAGCATGATGAGGCACTGGGTTTGGTCCCCAGCACCTCATAAACAAATTAAATAAACAAAATAAACATATTGTGTCCATCTACAACTAAAAAAATATCAAATACAAAAAAAAAGAAATGCTCTCAAGAGGGGATGGTGTCATGGTTCAGTGGTAGTGCGCTTGCACTTGTGAGGCACTGGCATTGACCATCAGCACAATAAATAAATAAATAAATAAATAAGTGTTATTTTGAAAAAATGCTCTCAAGGGGCTAGGATGTGGCTCAAGCGGTAGCACGCTCGCCTGGCATGCGTGCGGCCCGGGTTCGATCCTCAGCACCACATACAAAGATGTTGTGTCCGCTAAAAACTTAAAAAAAAAAAAAAAAAAAGAAAGAAAAGAAAAAATGCTCTCAAGAAAGAGTTATAAGCAGCACAGGGGTTATATTTTGTGAGATCCCAAATCAGTACCTAGAATAGTAACCTGAAACAAACACCACTTAGAAAGTTTATCTGCAAAGTAAAGATGAAAGGCCCTAACAAAATATACTATACCACAAAATAAGTTAATTAATTTAATTAAACATTTAATAAAGAGAAGGCAAACTCTGCTAACTATGAAGATACACTGAAAACTGCTTTCCCATTAACACTGTAACACAAAGTCCTAGGTCCATCTAAAAATTGTCCTTCAGGATTTCCCCCATCAAAAGAGGCTTAAGCACAACTAAAATTATAAATCTCTTTCCTAATGGCTAATACTTCTGAGAAAACAACTTAGATTCTGTTAAATCTATAGCCACCAACTTCCCCAACAGCACACTGGAATCACTAATCATATTTTCTGATAACAAGTTAGCATTCATTGTTCAAAAGTAATTAGGAGATTAGATTCATTTAATGAAACAAATGTGTCCCTTTACGCTGAGGGTAAAAAGATGTGAGTAATTCAAGCCTTAAGTAATTTAAAACAAAGAGGCAAGCTCACCATTTAAGAAATTCACAGTAAAATTTTAAAAGTAAGTCTTTTATAAAGGTATAATTATCCTCTAACTTGTGTGATATATTTTAATTAACAAAAATAAAGCAAGAGCGTTATTTTAACTGACATAGTGTACTTGCCTAGAATGTGTAAGGCCTTGGGGTTCAATTCCCAGAACAACAAAAAAAAAAAAAATGAAAAGAAAAAAAAAAAAAGAAAATAAATGCCAGACAAGGTGGCACATGCCTGTAATCCTAGAGGCTCAGGAGGCTGAGGCGGGAGGATCCTGAATTCAAAGTCAGCCTCAGCAACTAAGCAAGGGCCTAAGCAACTCAGTGAGACTCTGTGTCTAAGTGAAATATAAAAATGGGCTGGAGATGTGGCTCAGTGGTTAAGCTTCTCTGGTTTAGATCCCGGTACCAAAAAAAGAAAATGGCATGTATGGGCTAGGGTCATGGCTCAGCAGTAGAGCACTTGCCTGGTATGCTTGAGGCACTGAGTTCGATCCTCAGCACCACATAAATATAAAATGAAGATATTGTATCCACTTAAAACTAAAAACTAAATATTAAAAAAGAAAATGGCGGGGCTGGGGATGTGGCTCAAGCGGTAGCGCACTTGCCTGGCATGCGTGCGGCCCAGGTTCGATCCTCAGCACCACATACAAAGATGCTGTGTCCGCCGAAAACTAAAAAATAAATATTAAAAAATTCTCTCTCTCTCTCTCTTAAAAAAGAAAAAAAGAAAAAAAAGAAAATGGCATGTATTTTTTTTCCTTTATCTTTTCCTTTCTGGTTTGCACAAAACTAATCAGATATCTATTATTACAAAAAATTCATAGCCAATAATGGAGGCAAAAGTATATACAAATTTATGGAAAGAAATATTTCACTAATTGAAGGCTTTTGTATGCCTAGGCTAATTTACTTTCTTGATCATCTTCTAATTTCAAAAAGCTTAGGTACTAGTGTACTTGAACTTATTTGCATTTCCTTTCAAAACAGATCCCCATAGCTAGCTAATAGTGATTCCCACAGAAACTAAGAAGACCAATACCTGCATTCAAAGACCAACCAAGATCCATAATTCCTTGTTTTCTCATATCCAAGCTGTTGCCATTTGCCACATCAATATTTGCATAATTTTTTTCCTTTTTCTTTCTTCATACTAGGGACTGAACCCAGGAACACTCTACCACTGAGCTATACCTCCAGCCCTTTTATTTTTATTCTGAGACAAGGTATCAATAAGTTACTCAGGTAGGCCTCCTTGTGATTCTCCTGCCTCAGCCTTCTGAGTAGTTAAGATTACAGGGGTGCACCATTGCACCCTGCATATTTGTACATTTTGTACATTTTATTTTTACATACAATTTGTACATTTGTACATTTAATTTTTTTTTAAATACAGTATTTTAAAACAATGTTTCTCAAAAATGCAATTGGAGCCAGGCACAGTGGCACACACCTATAATCCCAGCGGCTCAGGAGGCTGAGGCAGGATCTTGAGTTCAAACCCAGCCTCAGCAAAAGCGAGTACTAAGCAACTCAGTGAAACCCTGTCTTTAAATAAAATACAAAATAGGGCTGGGGGTGTGGCTCAGTGGGTGAGTGCCCCTGAGCTCAATCCCTGGTACCCCCTCCCAAAAAAGCAATTGGCCTTCAGACCACTTACAGCGAAATCACCTGGGAAGGATACAGCAACCCTACAGAATCTTGGTCACCATCCCATGCTATTCTTTTGGAGGCTACACATGGAAAACCTACATTCTAAACTAAACACCCCAGATGAATTCCTTAAATACTACTACACTAGAGCATCATTGTGCCTCAGGGGAGCAGGTAAAAGCCCTGGTTAGTAGAGGTCTAATCTGTCATTTATGTTTAATATACTGGCACTCCCCCAACCTGCCACCCCAAATAAGATTCTGCTGCTAAATAAGATTGGAGATCAGTGCCCAGAGTAACACAACACCTTTTATATTCACTACTCAAAAAAATAAGATAAGAGCTAGAGATGTAACTCAGTGGCAGAGTGCTTGCCAAGCAAGTGTGAGGCCCTGGATTCAAGCCCCAGTACCCATAAAGAGTTAAATGTCCACCCCCTTCTGTTTAGCTGGACATGGTGGTGCAAACCTGTAACCCTAGCTATTTGGGAGGCTGAAGCAGAAGGATTGCAAGTTCCAGTCCAGTCTTGGCAACTTAGTGACACCCTATCTCAAAATTTAAAAAGGGCTGGGGACATAGCTCAGCAGTAGAGTACCTCTGAATAAATTTCAGTAGCCACTGCCCCAACAAAGTGACAAGAGACAGTGGAATCAAAGAGAAAATGATTGTTTATCAAGAAAGGAATCCTTGTGGAAGTAAGAGTTAATGGTTCTTCAATTGCTACACATTTACTGTTCCTGGAATAACAAGAATACAAAGAAATCTAAAACCTTCATAAGCTCATATACTCATAAGCTTAACACTGCAAAAGACAAACACATTAAATGCTCTTTGCATAAAGCACAAAAAGAAAAGTACTTAAGGGAATGATACTAATAATTAGAAACTCAAAAGGAACATAATCATATAGAACAGTATCAGAGAAGAGAGATCACTAGGAACTGTTCTAGGGATGGAGGAAAGACCTCACCTCAAACTGGGACATGAAGGTTTGAGTCATGTGATTCTCAAAAAATACAACAGATGTTGGACATACAGGGGCAGGCCAGTAATCTCTGTGACTCAGGAGCCAGAGGCAGAGTTATAAATTTGAGGCCAGCTGAGCAGCTAATCAAGACCCAGACTCAAAATGAAAACTAAATGGGGTGGGGGTGGGGCAGCTGGGGATGTAGCTCAGTAATAGAGAGCTTGCCTAGCACTTGTGAAGCTCTGGGTTCGATCCCCAGTACCATAAAAAAAATAAAAATAAAAATAAACACTAAAACAACATAACAGATACAGCAGGAAGTATGACGTTCAATCTAAAGTCTCAGGGAAACATTTTCTAAATACATTTTTAAAGAAACTAAATAAGTGCTAGAGTGTTGCTCATTTATTTACACAATAAATAAATAAAACTGAGCTAAGTATTTGGGGAAGAAACTAAAACACAAAAATTTAACTGCCTCAAAGTTAAAGTTTAAAAAAATATATTGACTTCCAGTCCAAAATTCTAGCAAACTTGGAACTCCATTTCTGAAAGAGATGGAATAAAGGATACTGGACATTATCTTCCTTACAGAGATCGATTTGATTGTAAACTTTTAGTGAAAGCTACTGGGAGGTCAGGAGTAATAGTTTCTACAATTCAGTCCTTTTGGAGAAAGCTAAGATAGTTGAGCTACTCTAATGAGACAGTTCTTTTGAGAAACTCGGTTGTATTCCACATGGAGATAATAAATAAAAGCAGCCACTGCCCATCTAACTCCACAGATGGGATACACCTCTTGTGTAAAGTGAGATTCAAGATTAGCAGAAAGAGCTTTTCAAACTGCAGTCCTGTGTATACTTTTAAGCATACCTACACCACTCAAGATTTTTACAAAGATATTAACTGAAGAACACAAGCAAACACAAAAATGTCAATATTTAAACTGACAACCTCAAACGACATTCCCCAAACTCTTGAGTAAAAGTATTCTTCCATTTTGACTATTGCCAAGTCATTTTCACACACACAATGACTTTGCTACAAGAACAACATACTTCATAGTCACCTCAAATACTCCCCTGAAAAAGATTCACATTTGGAGAAACAGGAGCTCAAAAGGATAATGTGACCTGTCTGAGGTCAACTGCAAATCAGGAGGCACCAGGAATAGAATGAAAATTTTCTTAGTCCAGACCTCTAGGTATTTCAAACAGAATGGCTGCTCAGTATAATCCCAACTGCTATGAACAAGCCCCCCAGTGCTAAAAGAAAAATCACTCTAATACAAATCATGAGCAGAGAATTGCCTAGAAACCCAAGTGTCAAAGTCTATCTTGAGGATATTTGGTAGGTTCCTCAGCACAACAATGCTGGCAAATCAAAACTTTTGTTCCCCTGTTTTCTCATTAAAAGAACATGCCTTATCCTACAGTAGCTAAACTTTGTGCAGGCTCCACAATAACAGTGAAGCAGACCTAGAAAAGGAAGGCACAGAAGACCAGGCGGCCAATCAATATAACGGCTGTCAGGAAAGAGCAGGAGGGAAATCCAAACTGGTCCTCACAAGGATCATACCTCGCCCTGGGGAAACTCCAAAGAAAATCTCACTTCCAGCTGGGTGAGAAGGGAAGACAGTGATGTTGGAGAATACTGGCAATGTGTGTAATAAATGTTTACGTGTTCTTCTGGGTGTTTAGGATACAGTGGTGAAGGAGACAAAAAAAGTAGGGAAAACTGCTGGCACAGGCAACAAGAAGTGACAGGGAGGAGGGTGGTGGGGAGAATGAAGACACTTCTTCAAGCAGTAACGTGGACGATGTGGTCTGGTTACAGCTTTGGAGTCGGAGAGCCTCCAGTTTTATCACGGGACTATTTATGAATTGGACTTCTGAGTCATCTGCATAATATACAGCGCCTCTCCGGGCTGTGGGAATTGGATGAGATGACGCTGACAAAGCGCTTCGCCATGGGATGGCGCTAGTAAGCATCTTCCAGGGAGTGCTGTCTTTTCAGCAATTCATCTTCTCTCCCCTAAAGCCTAACACAGTGCCTGGAATCTCTCAGCGGATGGGGGCCTGTCGGCTAACTAAACCAATGCATGAAAAAAAATGAACAGAAGCGCGGAGAAAGAGAGCCCTCGGGGGAGAACCTGGGGCGCGGGCAAGGCCTACCCGGTGCCGGGGCAGGACGCGGGGAGGCTGCAGCCGGGACGGGTGGCGGACCCTCCAGGCGACCGCGAAGCGCTCCGTCGCGCCTCGAGGGAGCTTCACCGCCGGACGAGGAAGCGTGGGTGGGGCGCCACGAGACGCGCCGGTGGGGAGAAGGGAGGAAGCAAAAGGGACCCGGGTGAGCAGACGGAGGCCCGGCGCCGAGCGAAGGGGGCAGCAGCTGGCCCGTTCTCTCACAAGTGCCCTCCGGTCCCCGCGCGCAGCGACCGTTTGGACGTAACCGCCTCCCGTCTCAGCGCCTGTCCACCCGGCCCGGGCTCGTCCCGCCGCCACCAACTCATCCCGCTCCCAACTCCCGCCCCGCTCCCGTTCAGCTTCCACCCGGAGCCTCACAGCCGCCCCCGCAGACTTGGCCCGCTCCGCACCTCACACACGGTCCATCGGCGGCGGCCGCCATCTTCGCGCGCGCGTGCCCAGCCCCGCCCCCAGACGCCGCTCCCACGTGACCGCTCGCCCCGGGACCGGGCGCGTAGGCGGGATCTTTAGTCACGTGACAGCGGGGCGGGGCCAAGATGGCGATGCCCAGGGACGTGAGGAACCCGTGGTGGGGGCGGTGGAGCCCGTAAAAAGAGCCGAAGAGCAACGACGTCTGCACCATAGGTTGGAGGCAGTGAAGGGTCATCGGGCGCTAGCTTCTAGCCGCAGACCGTGACCTGCTGGTGGAGCTCCCTCCTCAAAGCTGGAAAAGATTGTTGGCAGAGTGAAGCTGCTGCCCTCTTCGTGGCTGGGTGAGGGGCCCAGAGGCCAAGGCATCCCTACTCACCCCGACTTCCCCAGAGCCCTAGGCGTATAGACATGACCCGAAAGTGCCCTCCGGCAGCCCCGGAGTCCGGGGCTCCCCTGAGCGGTACAGTGCTGGCAGAGGCGGCAGTGGTGTTCGCAGTAGTGGTGAGCATCCACGCGACCGTCTGGGACCGATACTCGTGGTGCGCAGTAGCCCTCGCAGTGCAGGCCTTCTACGTCCAGTACAAGTGGGATCGGCTGCTACAGCAAGGAAATGCCGTCTTCCAGTTCCGAATGTCTGCAAACAGTGGCCTACTGCCCGCCTCCATGGTCATGCCTCTGCTGGGACTGGTCATGAAGGAGCGCTGCCAGGCTTCTGGGAACCCGCACTTCGAGCGCTTCGGCATTGTGGTGGCAGCCACTGGCATGGCAGTGGCCCTCTTCTCCTCGGTGTTGGCTCTGGGCATCACTCGCCCGGTGCCCACCAATACTTGTGCCATCTCGGGTTTGGCAGGAGGCGTCATCATTTATATCATGAAGCACTCGCTTAGCGTGGGCGAGGTGATCGAAGTCCTAGAAGTGCTGCTGATCTTTGTTTATCTCAACATGATCCTGCTATATCTGATGCCCCGCTGCTTCACTCCTGGGGAGGCACTGCTGGTACTGGGTGGCATCAGCTTTGTCCTCAACCAGCTCATCAAGCGTTCTCTGACTGTTGTAGAAAGCCAGGGGGACCCAGTGGACTTCTTCCTGCTGGTGGTTGTGGTAGGGATGGTGCTCATGGGCATCTTCTTCAGCACTCTCTTTGTCTTCATGGATTCAGGCACTTGGGCTTCCTCCATCTTCTTCCACCTCATGACTTGTGTGCTGGGACTTGGGGTAGTCCTACCCTGGCTGCACTGGCTCATCCATAGGAACCCACTGCTTTGGCTTCTTCAGTTCCTCTTCCAGACAGAAACCCGCATCTACCTCCTAGCCTATTGGTCCCTGCTGGCCACCTTGGCCTGCCTGGTGGTGCTCTACCAGAATGCCAAGCGATCATCTTCTGAGTCCAAGAAACACCAGGCCCCCACCATTACCCGAAAATATTTCCACTTCATTGTGGTAGCCACTTACATCCCAGGTATCATCTTTGACCGGCCACTGTTGTACGTGGCTGCCACTGTATGTCTGGCAGTCTTCATCTTCTTAGAGTATGTGCGCTACTTCCGCATCAAGCCCTTGGGTCACACTCTGCGGGGTCTCCTGTCCCTCTTCCTGGATGAAAGAGACAGTGGACCGCTCATCCTGACACACATCTACCTGCTTCTGGGCATGTCTCTTCCCATTTGGCTGATCCCCAGACCCTGCACACAGAAGGGTAGCTTGGGGGGAGCCAGGGCCCTAGTCCCCTATGCAGGTGTCCTGGCTGTGGGAGTGGGTGATACCGTGGCCTCCATCTTTGGCAGCACCATGGGGGAGATCCATTGGCCTGGAACCAAGAAGACTTTTGAGGGGACCATGACATCTATATTTGCACAGATCATTTCAGTAGCTCTGATCTTAATTTTTGACAGTGGAGTGGACCTAAACTATAGTTATGTTTGGATTTTGGGATCCATCAGCATGGTATCCCTCTTAGAAGCATATACTACACAGATAGACAATCTCCTTTTGCCTCTCTACCTCCTGATATTGCTGATGGCCTAGTGTTGCACAGAGACATGAGGAGAATGAATGGTCCCCACAGCAGTTAGCCACTTGGGCATGAAGAGCCAAGGGTAAAAAGCAGATTTGGTTTTTCAGTTAATCAGACTTAAAATAAAACATAAAAAATAAAAACCTCTCCTGGTTTTAGTTTTGCCAATATTTAAAAAAGAAAAATGTCTGACAGTACAACAATTCAGAGAACTTGAGTTGTAGAGCCCCCTCTGTTTTTGTGGTGGTGGGGGGGGGGCAAAATGGACACTGAGGCATTAGAGCATAATGATTAAAGCTTCAGGTTCTAGGGTTAATCTGATCAGAATTCTTGGCTGCATGACCTGTTAACTGTATGACCTTGGGTGAGTCATTTAACCAGTCTGAACCTAAGTGGATGTTAAGAGGATCCAATTTGAGATAATGTATGTGAAGTATCAGCTGATGGCCCACCCAGGACTAGCAATCAGTAAGGGAAGATGTTTTGGGCAAGGGCTGGGGCTCAGTGGTAGAGTGTTTACCTAACATGTGTGAGGCACTGGGTTTGATTATCAGCACCGCATATAAATAAATTAATAAAATAAAGGTCTATCAACAACTGAAAATTAAGAAAAAAAAAAAAAAAAGGAAGATATCCTTATTACCCAAGACCAGTCTTCAGCTCATTGAAAAGCCAGGTGAGGGGGAAAAAAAAAAAAAAGGGCCAGGTGAGATAAGAGGTTTTATGAGTTGTACTTGGAAACCAGAGTGACCTTTGTTCTGACTTCACTTGGAGGAGAACCCAAGAGAGAAAGAGTCAAATGCATATGTTTTCTCCTACTTAGGCTAGGAAGAGCTGAAGGGAGAAATGGGTTAGCTTCTAGGTCACTTGGAAGGGCTGGAGGGAAAGGATCAGATCCTGGACTCAAGTCCTATTCCAGCCAGCCTCGCTCCAAACTCTCCGTAGCTGGGCAGTGTTAATAGAGAAGGATTGGTCATACATTTCTGACTCCTTGTCCTAGGGTCTCTCCTGAAACCCTTTCACATTCCAGTGGAAGGGTCACATTTCCAAGCCTTGTCTCTAATGGTATATGAATCTAGGAGAGATTCACAGGGGCTGGGGAGTTTTCTGAGAGTTAAAATGGGTCCACTGGGGGTGCATACTCCAGTCAGGTCCCAAACTCCAGACCACATGCCACAGGGGTAATAGCCTAGCCAGTAGCAAGAAGTCAGCAGGCATTCACTGAATGGAAAGAGCACAGCAGGATTCCTAGGCTGGTTAACCCAGCCTGGCAAGAAGAGTAAGAACTTAGGCCCACCATGGCCAGACATGAACTTCAGAGCTGGAACTCTTCTGCTTAGGAATTACTGCCAAGTCATTTCCCTCAGAGAGGAGTACTAAAACATTCTCCTGGATCTCAGCAAACTTAACAAACTCATTCCTTCTCCCACGCTCCCTTCTGTGTTGGCAAATGTGGGTGAGAGAGCATCAACTTCACTAACCAGTTCCCTAAGTGGCCTTGGGAAAGAGCTCTCCTCTGAGCCTTACAGTAGGGGAAGAACTAAGCCAAGGTTATAGATGTGGCTGCCAAAGCTAGTCAAGTGATGCCCAGAATGAGGACAGAGAACTATGGTGGGCCTTTCTCAAGGAGGCTGCTCTAGCTTGTAGTGACTTTGCTACAGTGTGGGCCCAGTGTTATCAATCACTCACTCATTGAATGAAGTTAATGAAACCTGGATTATTATGTGGAATTTCCCAATTTTTAAAAGCTATATTTTCTGGTGCTGTGGATGAAACTGGGGTCCTGCACATACTAGGCAAGTGCTGTACCACTGAACTACATCCCCAGCTCAAAAGTCTGATTTTAAATGCTGAGGCTCAGACAAAACACATCTGCAGTCTGGAATCAGCCAGTGATTTCCATTTTGCAATCTCTGGACCAGACCTCCACTAAGCAGGTTTTTGGATTTAGAAGTTGTTTCAGAAATTCTGGGTGTCTTCCAAGCATGCCAAAGCAGGAGGGGCCACTGGAGGCCTGGTCTGGCCTCCTTGTTGTCCAGGTAGGGAAATGTCCCTGAGAGAGGAAGGGCCTGGCTTGAGACCAGAGACTGATAATGGATTCCTGGTCCTGGGCTTTTTTCCCCTCTCCATCAGAGGATTGGACAGCATAAAGAACAAGAACCCAATTTCTGTACATCAGTGACAAATCCTCTGAAGGGGACTTGAGGCATTTACAATAGCCTCCAAAAAAAAAAAAAAGAAAACTTGGGAATTAACCTAACAAAAGAGGTGAAAGACCTCTACAATAAAAACTATAGAACACTAACGAAATTAAAGAAGTCCTTAGATGATGGAAAGCTCTACCTTGTTCTTGGATAGGTAGAATTAATATTGTCAAAATGACCATACTACCAAAAGTACTATATAGATTTAATGCAATTCCAATCAAAATCCCAATGACATTCCTCATAGAAATAGAAAAGCAAACATGAAATTCATCTGGAAAAATAAGAGACCCAGAATAGTTAAAGCAATCCTTAGCAAGAAGAGTGAAGCAGGTGGCATCACTATACCAAGACCTTAGACTATACTACAGAGCAATAGTAACAAAAACAGCATACCAAAACAGACTGGTAGACCAATGGTACAGAATAGAGGACACACAGACTAACCCACATAATTACAATTATCTTATATTAGACAAAGGTGCCAAAAACATACATTGGAGAAAAGATAGCTCTTAAACTAATGGTGCTGAGAGAACTGGAAATCCATATGCAACAAAATGAGATTAAACCCCTATCTCTCACCACGCACAAAACTCAACTCAAAAGTGGATCAAGGACCTAGTAATTAAACTAGAGACCCTAATAGAAGAAAAAGTAGGCCCAAATCTCCATCATATCAGATTAGGCCCCTACTTCCTTAACAAGACTCCTATAGTTCAGGAATTAAAATCAAGAATTAATAAATGGGATGGATTCAAACTAAAAAGCTTCTTAGCAAAAGGAACAATCAGTGAAGTGAATAGAGAGTCCACAGCTTGGGAGCAAATTTTTACCACTTGTACATCAGATAGAGCACTAATCTTTAGTGTATATAAACAACTCAAAAAGTTAAACTCAAAAAAAAGATATCCTAATCAATAAATGGGCCAAGGACCTGAACAGACACTTCTCAGAAGGTGATATACAATCAAAACAAATATTTGAAAAAATGTTCAACATTTCTAGCAATTAGAGAAATGCAAATCAAAACTGCTCTAAGGTTTCACCTCACTCCAGTCAAAATGGCAGATATTAAGAATACAAACAACAATAAGTGTTGGCAAAGATGTGGGGGAAAAGGCACACTCATACATTACTGGTGGGACTGCAAGTTGGTGCAGCTAATCTGGAAAGCAGTGTGGAGTTTCCTTGGAAAACTTGGAATGGAAACACCTTTTGACCCAGCTGTCCCACTCCTTGGTCTATACATAAAGGACTTAAAAACATAATACTATATGGACACAGCCACATCAATGTTTATTGCAGCACAACTCACAATAGCTAAACTGTGGAACCAACCTAGATGCCCTTCAGTAGATGAATGGATAAAGAAACTGTGGTATACATACACAATGGAATATTACTCAGCAATAAAAGAAAATAAAATCATGGCATTTGCAGGTAAATGGATGGAGTTGGAGAATATAATGCTAATTAAAGTTAGCCAATCCAAAAAAAAAACAAATGCTGAATGTTTTCTCTGATATAAGGAGGCTGATTCATAGTGGGATAGGGAGGGGAACATGGGAGGATTAGACAAACTTTAGATAGGGCAAAGGGGAGGGAGGGGAAGGGAGGGGGCAAGGAGTGTCAAAAAGATGGTGGAATGAGATGGACATCATTACCTTAAGTACATGTATGAAGACACGAATGGTGTGAATATACTTTGTGTACAACCAGAGATATGAAAAATTGTACTCTGTGTGTGTAATGTGAATTGTAATGCATTCTGCTGTCATACATAATAAATTGGAATAAAAAATAAAATTAAAAAAAAGATGAACAGTCCACAATAAGAAAGAAAGCATGATGCTTTAAAATGCAAAAAAAAAAAAAAAAAAAAAACAGGACAGGAGCCCAATCCTGGACCAGGGTGACACAGCTGAACAACTGAGCAACTGTGTGACTTAGCAGGCAGGTCACTTGCCTTTTCCTTGGCTCAGCTCCTTCACTTACAAACACAGATCATCACAGCACCTTCCTCTCTGTGTGAGGAGTCGTGTAACACAAAACGCAAAGTGTGCAGGGCGGCATGCGGCCAACGCCCACTAAGTGTTGTGAGTGAAGTCACGCACACTGCGCAGCAGGGATTGGGGACCGGAATGGTTTTCGGCAGGAGTCTCATCTGGAAAGCAAGAATGCTTGGGAAGAAGGACAAATGGAGAAGCTGCATTCAGAAGTCATTTTTATTGAGGCTTACAGCGTAATTATTAGAGTTGCTCCTGAGAGAGGACTTGAAAATGGACCAGACCTCTTTCATGGCTGAGAGGCCACCTCAAGAGGAAGTTTGTGTGGGGGAGTAAGGTGCAGAGAGAACAAGATCTTGGGGAAGGCCTTCATCCAGCCTGGGCCCTGCCCTGCCATGTCAGCCTCCCCCAGCTTCTGCAGGGCTGAAAGCACAGACCCTGAAGGAGGAGAGCTCTGCAGGTTCACAGCTTCCCCACTGCAGCCGGCACGGGAGGCAGCGTGCTGCACTGGTAGTCCACAGCTGCACTGGGAGGTGATGGTCCCAACCCTTCAAGGGCTTTAGGTGTACAAGGCAGGAAACGGCAGCTCAGCTGTCGGCTGAAGCCTGTTGAAAATGAAGGCAGGACCACTCTTCCCCGTCCCCAGGGCCCCCTCAGGGGACTTGAACACAGACACACACACCCTGCCACGTACCAGTTCTCTGGGCTCCAGACGGTGCCAGTGGCTTCCATGAGGTGGAAAGTGTAGGCCTGGCGTGAGTGGTCTGAAAGGTTCTGCTCACTCTTGTGTACCACCTCTCCATGGATCAAGACCAGGGCCCCTAGTAGAGACATGAGCAGGTCGGGGGCACCGTAGGCCCAGTGCCACCCTTCCCAGGTCAGGAAGGGGTGCGGTGGTCCTCCCTGGAGTGGTTTAGTGACCTCACCTATCCCCATGCCTTTCCAAGTCTGCTTGCTCCAGGGTCCAAGCCATGTTGTTTAGACAGGGGCTCCCTGCGATCAAGTGTCCTCTGCTGTGGACTGTGACTTGGCAAGCCTTACAAAGGGCCTCTCCACCCCAGATGTGGCCAGAAGCCCTCTGCACTGTGCCAGTCAACAGGGACCTCCTGATGATGCTGGGGTGTACCTCAGTGTCCCTTTCCATAAGGAAGAGGGGTCACGATTAACCAACATCTGTGAAGCCCTTGCTGTGTGTCACATAAATTCTTTATAAACATTCTAGATGCATCTCACTTTACATTTGGGGAAACTGAGGCTCAGAGTGAATCCGTCATTTACCCAAAGAAACAGACTGAGAAGCGGAGTCTGGACTCTAGCCTGGCCTGTTTGAACTTGCTGTGATCGTGCTGCTTCCTGACTTCCAAGTAACCTGTCAGCCTACCTCCTCCCATTCTGTGACTTCCCAGTCCTCAGGTGACACCAAAAGAGCCTCCCAGATGCTGGGTGGTGGAGCACGCACAGACCCTGGGCGTCCCGCCTACCTTTCTGCACTGGTGTGGGCACAAAGAGGCTGTTATCCCAGTCTGGCTCTGCCCCGAGGAAGCTGGTAGCAGGCCATGAGCCAGCAGGGGCCCGGATCATCCTTCTTGACACTCCACCTGCAGGCCAAGATGGAGCCTCTAGACCCTCTGTTCACCCGATCCCTCTCCCTGGGGGTTGGGGTGGGGAGCCAGGGGTCCTCACTGGTGTGGGAGCCAGGGATAAACCAAAGGCAGCCATTCTCCAGCGTGGCATCCTCCAGTGCCATCCACATGCCCAGCACCCGGCCCAGAGGCTCCGTGTACAGGAACGAGGCATCCTGGTGAGGGGAGGCTGCGGCAGACCCGCCAGGGGGCTGAGGAGCCTAACCCTTCGCTCTATCCCACCTCATCTTGACCCTCTTCCCACTCCACCATCCTCCCAGACTTCCTGTTCTGAGAATCTTCCACTTCTTGACCCAGGGACTCTGAGCAGAGATTTTACCTCTTAAAGCTTTCATTTCTTCAACTGTAAAGTGGCCCCAACAATAACCTCCCTGAAAGGGCTGCTGGAGGGTTCCATAGGACAGTGTATGAAAAGTGCTTAGGACAGGGCTGCACACACTAATTGCTAAAAAGTAGCTGCTACCATTGAATTCCAGCCAGGTGACTAAATCCACCCGTGTCTGTCTGTCTGTCTTTTTTTTTTTTTTTTCTGTGCTGGGGATGGAATTCAGGGTCTTGCCTCGGCTAGGCAAGTGGTAAAGACCACTGAGCTACACCCTGGCCCTAAAGCCACCATTCTTTACCAGAGATGAGCAGACTCCAGCCACCAGATAGCCCACCCAGTGGTGTAAGTTTGGAAAGTTGGGGTTGGAGAGGGGATACCTATGACCAAGCATCCTGTTGTTGTTGTTTAAAGAGACAGTTTTGCTGTGTTGCCCAGGGCATCCCTGAGTTTCTGGGCTCAAGCAATCCTTCCACCTCAGCCTCCAGAGTCACTGGGATTACAAGCAAGTGCCACCATGCCTGACAGTAGTGAGTGTGTGCATGTGTGTGTGCGTGTGTGTGTGTGTGTGTGTGTGTATTTGATTTCCTTTATTTCACACTGTCTGAAAACCATCTGTGTTAGTAATCTATATTTTTAACCTGCTAAGGGTTGCTGTCAGATTGAGAAATCTGTGTGCCAGGGGCTCCAGGGTTCCCCACCAATCCCCTGTTCTGGGAAGGAAAGGAAGGTGGCTCCTCCTCCCCTGGCCTGAGCTTCGTGCCCACAGGTAATGCAGTAAGTACTTTCCCTTCCTGCAAAGACCTGACCACCATGATATTCCAGACTTCCTGCCCATGGTCGCTGCTGGGCCCCACAGCTTCTCACAGCTTACCTTCACCACCAAAGTGAGGTTGCTGCAAGATAGGGGAAGAGTCTGGTGAGAACGGATGAGAACAGGGAGGAGCAGGGCTTGATCTGAGTCTTATAGGGTGCTCCCACCCTGGGTACCAGCTAGTGAGCCCCTACTGTGAGCCAGGCCCAGGAGGGAAGCAGAAGGAAAGCCACCTGCCCAGCAGGGGGTGCACAGTCTGCCTGGGAGACAGCAAGCACTAGCCTAACAACGAGGTCATGAAGCAGAACCAGGAAAGGGCAGCATTTGGCCAGGGGTTGGCTCAGAGGTTAGCCCCCAAGTCAGAGCTGGGTCCCTCTTTTCCTCAGGGAGCTAGAAGGCTTTTTAGAGGAGGTGGCACTGTACTTGGGAGCTGAGAGCAGAGCATCTCAGTAGTCAAAGAGGGCAGGAGGGACTCTTGGGGATCCCTTTTCTTCATACCACCTAATTCTAATAGAGCACAAACTCAGTACCAGGTACCCACTTCACATGTGCTCTGGCCAACTCAACACTGATAACCCAGCAGCTTTGGCCCACTATGGGGAGGGGCTTCCTATGAGCAGCCTGCCACTTTTACAAAGGGTCAAGTAAACTGAGGCCTGGGAAGGACACATCGCTCACCTTAAAGATGTACATGCTCTGCACCACCACAGGCATTTGGAGGCCCAGACTTCTGGCCAAGGCCTGGAAGGGGGCAGAGTCACACTGCAGCCTGCCCACATACACCCCTATCTGTCCCCACTTGCCCGTCCCCACCTCTGCTCACCTGCACCTTGGGGGAATGTGTGACACTCCTGAAGACAGGGTCATGGGCGTGCAGAGCTGTGGGACAGAGGCCTGCTGATGGGCCAGTCTCAGCCCCCATGTGTCCCTCCCACCCTGAGAACTGGACTCAGGCTTCACTTTGACACTTTCAACTATTTTAGGTGCTTTAAACTTTATGCTTTTTATAACCAAGTAATGGGCCCCAAAGACACCTTCATCCCACCCAGCCCCATCCCACCATGACCTTATCTTGGACCACCTGGCTATCTGGGAACCTCACTCAAGCCCTAACTCCCACTCCTCAGGGAGGACGAAGGATTTCAAGGGGACTCTTAGTTGGCAGCAACTTCAATACTTCCACTTCCTCTATGTGATCTCAGGTGACTACTATTTCCCTCTGTAAGTCTTGGTCTCCTCCACTGTAGAGTGAGGAGGAGAAGAGCTGCCCACCTCCCAGGGCTTCTAGGGGAGCTAATGAACACGGGCAGCAGGCACAGTCGTCAGCGGTCTTTGTGGTTTTTGTTGTTTTATCTGCAGTACTAGGGATAGAACTTGGGGGTGCTTTACCACTGAGCTACATGCCCAGCCTTTTTTTATTTCTGAAATAAGGTCTTACTGAATTGCTCACATTGGCCTCAACTTGCAATTCTCCTGCCTCAGCCTCCCAAATCACAAGGATTACAGGTGTATGCCACCGTGCCAGGGATTATTTGCTATTTGGGTGGGGGGGTACCAGGGATTGAACTCAGGCACTCGACCACTGAGCAACAACCTCAGCCCTATTTTATATTTTATTTAGAGACATGGCCTCACTGAGTTGCTTAGCACCTCACTTTTGGTGAGGCTGGCTTTGAACTCGTGATCCTCCTCTCTTAGTTTCTCAAGCCACTAGGATTACAGGTATGTTCCATTGTGCCCAACTGCTGTTATTACAAAAAAGTAAGTTTTGAATGCACTGAATGGCACTGAATGAAATACTTTAAAATAGTTATGGTGATTGGAGCCTGGGTTTGTGGCTTAGTGGTAGAGCACTCTCCTAGCATGTGTGAGGCATAGGTTCAATCCTCAGTACCACTAAAAAATAAAAAAATAAAATAAAGGTATCATGTCTACCTACATCTAAAAATATATTTTAAATAGTTATGGTGACAAATTTTATGTCACATGAATTTTATCACAACTTGTTTACAAAGCCACCATGCTATAATTTCAGGTTTAAAAACAAGGAGTCCACAAAAATAATTACAACGTGATCCTGGGGGAAAAAGTGAAAATTTCTACCCTTGGTTCTGGGGTCTCAGAGTAGGAGTAATTTCAATATATCAGCTGCCCCTCAAGAGGGCTCCAGGAATCAACAGGTCCCAGGAATCCCCCATGCCTGGGACAGTAGGTTGTGGAGAAGCCTGCACATGCCCTCTGTTGGGGTCTCAAGTGGACCCCTCTTCCCTGTGTGGTGGCAGAAGTGCCATGTGATCAGCATTACACAACGTCAAAGACCACGACCGAAGGGGAGCCTGCAGCCAGAAAGGCGACTTGCCCAACCCTTAACTCAGTACGGATTTGACCACGGCTTCTCAGCTCTTCAGGCCATGTCCCGTCTCTGTCCTGCACTCCTAGGTTTCTGCTCACCATGACCGATTTTGTTGACTGATTGCTCTGGAGGCACCAAGAAATTTCCTGTGGCACAGAGAACAGGTAAACGCAAAAGAACTGTAGTGCAGCCTCCCTCAGGCAGCGGCCTAAGCGCCCTGCCCTCCCAGCCCTGTAGGGCAGACACCTGTATCCAGCAACCTCCCGGGGGCTCCCACATCTCTGGGGACCCAGCTCCAAACCTTTATTGTCCAAAACACCTTTCTCAAAGAAGAATCGAATCTTGTCACCACTGCTCAAGAAATAGTCTGTGCTGCCCTGTGGAGAGGGACATGGGAGAGAAAGAGAGAGCATCCCAGGGTCAGAGCAGGGGCTTCCCATGCCCATGGGCTACAGATCCCCAGTGACATCTTGGACATGTCCACTGAGGCTCAGACAGCGCCTAGGAGCCTCAGTGCCTGTAAGCAGAATTCAAAGCTACAAGCATCTGATTTTTCAGAAACCTCTTATTAGATTCCACTTAACTTATTACAGTGATGCTACATCCAGATACACTCACTATAAATTGAAAACATTAGAAGTGCACTTAATACACCTAGCCCACAGAACATCCTAGCTTTCTCCAGTCCCCTCATGGGACACATACATTAGTTCACAGTGGGGCAGACCCATCCAGTCCAAAACCTACTTTACAAGCGTAAGTGTTCAACATCTTGTTAATTTATCAAGTACTGTGCTGAAAGTGAAAAACAGAATGGTTGTCTGGCATGGGAGACAGATGGTGAACACAGTATCTTTGCCTCCCATGATCAGGTGGCAGACTGGGAGCTGTGACTCCCTGCAACCACCCAGCATCATGAGAGATTATGATATCGTGTGGTATCAGTCCTAGAAAAGATCAAAATTAAAAACTCAAAGTATTGTTCCTACTGAATGAATGTATATCTAAAATCCTAAGTCGAACCATTGTAAGTTAAGGATCATCTGGGCCCTTTCTTCTTGCATTCCTCCTGCCACAATAATCTACGGGCCTCTGGAGCATTCTCACAAGGCAGATTTGGGGTACCAGTTTCAGCCCTCTTTCTCCTCAGGACCCTTGAGTGGCGGGTCTCTGGCGGCTTTGCTTTCCTGGGATGCAAGGCTTCTAGCTGCTGTAGTTTTCTCTGTTGCCACTAGATGGCAGGAGCTCCTTGGTATGAGTGTGAGTGGCCTGGACCAGAGCTCAGCTGCCCTGCAGGAAGGCTCTGACTGTCAAACTGTGTAGGGTTGAGATAACTGGATGGGAGAACCACTTGTCTGTCTCAGACTGTGCTGAGTCTTGGGAAACAGCATGTTCTGAGTTTGGGTGCAGGGATAAGACACACAGGCAGCCTTTTAAAATCTCAAGGCTCTCTCTGGGATGCTGGCCACAAGGAAGCCCTTTGTGGCAGGAGAATCTGAGGAAGTACAATAGAGCAGTGCACAGCACCAGTTGGTATCAGACTGCTGACTTCAAATCCTGGCTCTACCAGTTATTAACTATGGTTTGGACAAATGATGGAAGCCTCACTTTCCCTCCCTTCCAGTGGAAACAATAACCATATCCACCTTGTAAATTCATGGTGACAGGTGTAAGGAGTGGAGCCTGGCATGTGGGAGCCTGCACCTGATCTGTTATCAGAAGGAGCCATGGAGGCTGGGGTTGTGGCTCAGTGGTGGAGCACTTGCGTAGCAAGTGTGAGGCACTAGGTTCAATTCTCAGCACCACATAAAAATAAATGAATAAAATAAAGGTCCATCAACAACTAAAAATACATATTATATAAAAATATTTTAAAAGGAGGAGTCATGGCTTTAGGTCCTTCCATCCAGGAAGCTCCTTTGGCTGGGGACTGATCCCCCATCAAAGACCACATTCCATCCCCACCTACCCCATGCACCCACCTGGGCTCGAAGCTGTTCCTCATGTTGGGTGGAAAATTCTGTGCGGCAGTGGGGAGGGACATCCATCTCGGCCACGATCTCACCAATCCTTTGTTTCATAGCCTCACACTCATCCACAGACAAGAATCCTTCCAGCACCAGGAATCCATCCTCCTGGAACTGCAGGCAGGAATGAGGCTAAGGCTTCCCTCTGCACGCTTCCCCTTATGAACTGTATTTAATCTCCCCACCAAACCCCAAATGTCCGAAGTTGAGACCAATGTCCTATTCATTGCTCTGTCCCCTGCCCCTGCCGTGGTGTCTGGTGCCCTGTGAAGAACAATTGGCTACTTGGATGTTAGGAACGGAAGGGGAAGGGGAGGTTGTCCTGTACTTGCCCTCCAGTGGGCTGAGCCACATACAGCTGCATCCGTGTATCCTGCCAATGTCGATTCCACATCTACTGTGTAGGAGACACAGCTTTAGGAGCTGTTATGAGCAAGCCAGCTGAGGTACCCGCCCTCACAGAGTTTATAGCCTAGTAAAGGAGGCCAGGCATGGTGGTGCATTCCTATAATCGCAGAGAGTTGAGAGGCTGATGCAAGAGGATCTCAAGTCCAAGGTCAGCCTCAGCAATTTAGTGAGAATCTAAGCAACTTAGTGAGACCCTATCTGTAAATAAAAATTAAAATGGTTGGGATGTGGCTCAGTGGTTAAGCATCCCTGGGTTCAATCCCTGGTGCTAAAAAAAAAAAAAAAATGGAGAACAACATTACACCAACCATCACGTGGGGAAGCACACGATCATAAATGCTGAGTGCAGGGAAAGAGGGGGCAGGCTTTGAGAGCTAAGAGCAGAAGTATGTACTGGAAATGAGATGGGGGGCTGGGGATGTAGCTCAGTTGGTAAAGTGTTTGGCTTGCATGCACAAGGCCCTGGGTCCAATCCCCAGCACCTCAAAAAAAGAAAAGTAATGAGATGGGAGTCTTTGGCAGCAGCTCTGAGGGAATGGCATTTAAAGGGGCCTAAAGGATATTGGGAGGGGAAGAGATGACAAAGAACACTCCAGATAGAGGAAGCAGGATGTGCGAAGACTCTGAGCACATGAGGACAGGCAGAATCAGGAAGGGATGCAGCACAGAGTGAGGGCAGAATGGAAGGGAACAGGATGGTGGCAGTGGCGGGCCAGACTGGGAGCGGGCTTTCTCCTGAGTGCGGGTGGAAGTTAAGGCAAATAGCCTACTCTGACTTGCCTTGGGTCCTTCTTAGGAGGTTTTGTAACAGGCACCTAAGTCTTCTTTGGAACCCACCACAGTGTCAATTTCCAATTACTGACAGCCCCCCACCCCCACACTAGCCCTGATGGATATCCAGTGTGGGTTGTCATATACCAGGTACTGCAATATTCATGACACCCACTACAAGCCCTTCTGTCTCTGGGAAAGTCTGTACTTTAGAAATTGGTGTTAGGCTGGAAATTGCCTCCCTGGGAAATGGGACATCCATGGCAAACTGTGCACATGCTTGATCTAGTAACCACTCCTCATGAGATCAGGCAATGGAGCCTGGTGCACTGGTACATGTCTATAACCCCTGTGATTTGGGAGGTTAAGGCAGGAGAATTTCAATTTAAAGCCAGCCTTAGCAAGGCCCTAAGTAATGTGGAAAGATCTTGTCTCAAAAAATACAAAGGGCCAGAGATGTGGCTCAGTGGTAGAGTGCTCCTGGGTTCAATTCTCAGTACCTACCCCTGGCAAAAAATATTAGGGAATAGAGGAGCAAAGACATATGTGTGTAGGTATTCACTAAGTCTTGTCTGATGAAAACTTACATTGGAATAGTTAATGATTACCTTAGTATCAAGGGATTAGTTTAACAAAGTATGGTTTCCCTGTCTGGAACACAAAACAGCTGATAAAGAAGCCCTGTGGTCACCTGGATGCTTGACTGGCCCGCATGAGGTCCTCCCTTCAATCCCCAGAACCATAAAAATCATGTAGAAAAATAGTTAGTGACTTGGGAATATGTTCCTGATATACTCTAAGAAAAGGGAAAAGTTGGCCAGGGATGAGTATTTGGTGGCCATGACAACTTGGACCAATGGTTTTCTCTCTGACCCTGAAAGTACTAAATGGGGCTAAGGGCTTTTTTTTTTCTTTTTCTTTTTCTTTTTGTGGTGCTGGGGATTGAACCCAGGGCCTTGTGCATACAAGGAAAGCACACTCCACCAACTGAGCTGTATCTCCAGCCCCATGTGGGCCTCTTTAGAAAACAGGCTAGAGCTCCATCCCAGGCTGGGATGGACTTTTTTTTCTTGCAGTGCTGGGGATGGAAGCCAGGGCCTCACATATGCTCAGCTAGCTCTTACCATTGAGTACAGCTCTGCCCCAGGACAGAGTTTGAAACAAGGCCTCTAGGGCTGGATACCAATACGAACAGCCTCCATCTGGAATTCCTGGATGATTATCTTAAAAGTCTGTGTGCTCTAATTCCCGCAAGTTAGCCTTTTGAATTTGGACTGAGAACTGGGAGGACAACCTCCTGCCTGGCTACTTGCTGGCCAGTCCCCATCCCTCTGGGCCTTGCCTCCACACCACAGGCAGCCAGGCCAGCTGAACTGGCTGATCAGAATGCTTTATCGGTTTTGAGCCACCCCCCCCCCAAAAAAAAAAAAAAACATGCCCACGCACAGTGCACACAGCCCCACCTTATCCCAGGTCCTGTAATCTGGATACCCCAGGGCTGTGTGTACAGAAGTTAGGTCTTGTGGTTGGGAACTGAAACCCCACTGTGGACTTCAGTGTCCCTTTCTGTGAAATGACAGGGAGTGTTGAGTTCCCAAGGGGCTACTGGAGATCTGGACCACCCCCACACACTTTTGTAGGACCCTGCCAGTACCCAGCCCAGTAGACCCCTACCTACCTTCTGGAGCTGCAAGGGGCTCAGGCAGGCCATGAAAGGGGCTCAGGCAGGCCAAGAAAATGGCTCAGGGAACCAGAGGCTCTGGGTGTGGCTCCAGGGCTGGGGAGGAGAAAGTTCAGGAAGGGAGGGTGGCCACAGCAGAAGGCCCAGGAGGACTTAACCCTTCCCTACCCAGAGAGTAGCAATCCTACCACTCAGCCCTCCCTGCAAACATAGGCAGCCTGCATCCTCCACCCTAGGCCCCAGCCCTTTCTCCCTGCTCCCTTCTTCCCTCTTCACAACTAATCCAGGATTAGCCCTTTCCTGTCTCCTTCAGGGTATTTCAGGGCTCCCTGGGAGTGTTCTGGGAGTGTCAGGCAGAGAGTGGGCTGGGAGGACAACACTGTCTAGGTCCACCACTAGCTGTGACTCTGACAAAGGCCTGTCCCTCTCTGAATCTGAAGTGAAGAAAGTGAGACCCTTGGCATTAACATCTCTGTTGCAAGGTGTGTCTGGGGTGGCTTTGCATTCAAGGTGGAAGAGGTCCTGGGGGGACAGTCTGGGCCCCTCCCAGCTCTGGTGTGAACTGCTCCCAGTCTTGGGAAGACTATGGAAGGGAGTTGAGGGATGTGAAGCTCAGAGGAAGGCAGAGAGAAGGACAACCTAAGAGGAAGGGGGCTGGAGAGTGGGGCCTGGGTCTTCAGAATGAGGGAGATCAGGGCTCCTGTTTCCCATCCTCAGACCCAAGATGTTTACCATCTCAAGTTAGGCTTGGCAGGGAGGTCAGAACTTGCCCGCCAGCCTGGTAGCTGACAAGGCCACTCTGGAAAACAAGCCCCTGGCCTTCCCAGAAATGATGCTTTGAATGACGAAGGGACAGAGTGTTTCAGGAGGGAGTGAGTGCAGGGATACTGTTCAGCCCTCAAGAGCCTTGGCCTCAGGTCAAGACTTGTTTTCTGGGCCACTGTGCTGGGAATGGCTGCTTTGTCCAAGCGGGGCAGGCTTCTGGAAGGTCAGGGGAGGTGAGCCTGTTGGGCTTCTGGGGCTGGTGGGAGAAGCTCAGGGGGTCTAGGTGGGGGAGGAGAGAGGCCAGAGACATAACCATGAGGGTCATGGGGGCAGGGCTGTTCCCAGCTGTCCTAACCCCTTCTGATGCAGGCACCTGCCAACAGAGGAACCGCGAGGCCCCTCATGCTGAGTCAGCAACCTCCCCAAGGACCTCCCTGCAGGCTGGAGGCAGAGGCTCAGGGAGGCAGCTCAGCTTTCAGGCCCACTCTCACTTTACCCATCCGCAATGGGACTAACAGAAGGGCCTCCTGTGAGCAGTAAGTGGAACACTGCTGATAAAGAGGTTGGCGTGAGCATGGCACCTAGGGAGTACCTGCAGCTGCTTTACCCAGTGCTAGTGGGGGCCCTTTGGGGCAGAACGCGAAGGTTGATGGTTTTTAAATTTTTTGAGTTTCCCCAAGTTTTTCAAGTTGCTGTTGGAACCAGAGAAAAGTCTACCACTTCGGTTTTAGGCAGAGTGGAAAGGCCTGGGTGGGGGTGGGTAGGGGAAGAACAGTTTGGCCTCCACCCTTTGTTCATTCTGCTGGACTCTGGGAGGCGGGTGGATGGTTTTCCCACATTGTTGTTCTTTCCAGAAGTAACCAGTTCCAGATCAAACTCTAGTTCCAAGCACTGGCTACAAGGCCCCATGGCTGGGGTAGGGGAGGCAGTGGGGATGGGAGGGTTACCAGACCAGACAAAGACTCTACTGTGGAGGTACAAGAGGCTCTTCTAGGGGGTGGACACTCAGCTGCTCAGTCTCCCTGTCAGCAGTCCAGGACAGGGGCAGAAGGGGGGTCTTTGCTGAGACCTGAGGTTGCCTCCCTAAGGAATCAGAGACCTGTGGAGGGAAGAAGGCAAGGCCCTGGCTTATTCCAGAGAAGGGCCCACGCAACTCAGGTCTCTGGCCGGCCGAGGCCTCTCTTCTGCCACAGGTTCCCTGCTGGTCTAGGAGGACAGGTGGTAGGAGCCTTCCTCACACTCAATAGCTTCCTCACCTGCGTGCTGTGGTTTCTGCATGTCCCCCAAGTCCATCTGTTGGAACCTCCCTTTCTTAATGTGGGGGAGGCAGGGCCTAGCAGGAGGTGATTGGGGCTGCCCATGAATGGCAGGCTTAGCTACTACGCCTTCTCCTCTCCCAGGGAGCCTTCTCCTTCTCAACTTCCGCTACCTTATGAAGCAGCACAAGGCCCTCACTAGATGTAGCTGCCAGGTCTTGGACTTGCCAGCCTCTGTACCATGAACCTAAATTACCCAAACTTAGGTATTGTGTTCTAGCAACAGAAAAAAGACCAAGACACTACAGTCATCATTGTTCCTCACAACCAGCTTACTGATGCCATTCTGATTTTACAAACAGGGAAAAATGAAGTCTCATGTCAAATGAATTGCAAAACTGGGATCTGAAGGCAGCTCTGTCCATCCCTCTGAGCCTCTGCCCTTGACCCCTAGCACCTTCAGCAGGCCCCCCAAGGGACTGAAACCTGAACGGGGCCTACCCACAGCGACTGTCAGCAGGGTTCAGTGGTGCATATCTGTAACATCAGCTGCTTGGGAGGCTGAGGCAGGAGGATGGCAAATTTGAGGTCAGTCTAGGCAACATAGTGAGATCTCCTCTTAAAATAGAAAATAAAAAGGGTTAGGGATGTAGCTCAGTGGTAGAGCACCACTGAGTTCAATCCCTAGCATCACAGAACAAACCAACCAACAGTAACAACAACAAATAAACCCAGTTGGGCATAGTGGTACATGCCTGCAATCCCAGTGACTCAGGAGGCTGAAGCAGGAGGATTACAAGTACAGGGACAGCCTCAACAAGCTGGGAAAACCTTGTCTCAGAATAAACAAATAAAATAAAAAGGGATGTGGCTCAGTGGTGAAGCATCCCTGGTACCAAAAAAAAAAAAAAAAAAAAAAATAGAAAGAAAGAAAGAAAAAGAACCCTGGGGATTTGCTGTTGGGACCACAAGGGACCTTGGAGAGCACAGAATGGAAATGCCCATCACACAGATGGAGACACAGAGGCCACAGGAAGGGACTCTCCACCACTATGCATGGGATGATTGAGCTGTGAGAAGGACCCTGGACTACTGGCCCCCATTCTGGTGGCCTCTCCTACTCCACAACTATCAACGCTCATAAGGGCTTACACCACAGGCAACTGGGAGGGCAGAGAACATGCTGGCAGGGGGACCCTTGCCAGGGCCACACCTGGCACCTACGGGAGCCCCATTCAGCTCAGAACCTCCAGAAACTGCCCTGAAGGAGCTCCCGACTTCATGGAGCAGTAAGATGAGCGAAGCTGACCATTATGTGGGTACCCAAGAAATGGTCCCTCGAGCCCAGCAGGCTTCACACATGAGGGAAGGGCCCCCATTACATGGAGACCTCCAGAGGCTACTTCGTGTTATAGATTTATTTGATATTTGATCTGAGTCTACAATCAGACCCACAGGTAACGGACTGCTTCATGGTTGTCAGAGGCTAGTGTGCATTATTTGTGAGGATTACATCCAATGACACGACGCAGAAAACACAGACAGACAGACATAATCATTAAGACGAGAGACGCTAAAACGTGCCTTAGTGTCCACGTGATTGATCTAAGGCGGGGACCCTTCTAGAGGGGGGACCAAGTGATTGCTCTAAAGTGAGTGTCCCCCCACCAGGCAAGCCAGGCACCGGACGGAAACTGGTGTGCAGCCAGAACCTGGGCATTGCCCTCCCAGCAGTGACGCCCGTGCCTGCCCACCTCGATACGTCTGCTCTTCATGAAGGACCAGGTGGTGATGGGGCCAACGTAAGCAGCACAGGTGAGTGGTGGCACTGAGCAGACCATGACAGTGAGGGACAGATCGGGGCTAAGTAGCTCCCTGGGCGCCTAGTACTGTGCGTGGAGGGGTGGGCGGCGGACGGGGTGCAGCACCGTTCATTCGGGGACCGGCCAAGCCGAGTCTCCTCCCTTCCTGGCAGCCCCAGAATGTTCCTTTTGGCTGACAGCCACAGAAATGAGCGCTTGCCAAGACCCATGGAGGAGAAAGAAAACAAGACACCAAAAAAAACCCCCGAAAACAAACAGGAGGGGAGAGGGACAAACAGAACTCTTGGCCAAGGTCACAACAGACTCAGAAGACACCCTGCACCCCACACCCCGGAGGAAGGAAACACAGTTCAATGTCTTGCTGCCTTGCTCAAGGGAAACTGCCACCTACCTGAGACTCCAACTCACTGGCCCTTAGTGTTGTTGTTTTTTTTTTTTTTTTCAGTTTTTTTTTTCTTTTTAATACCCAAACCATCAATTTTCAAAGCTTAGAAAATAAAACTAAACAACAACAAAAACATTCATTTGACTTAAAAAAAAAAAAAAAAAAAAAGAATCTGAAACGCCACAGAAATGGATGAGGAGAACCCAGGCCTGGCCTTCTGCCGCGGCCCGCTCTCCACAGGCCCTGCTGCCAGAGCTCAGTCGGCACCCTGGGCACTGTTCCGCAGCTGTTCATCCTGGACCGCTCTGCTCAAGTCTGGATGGGCATCCGATGCTGGTGGCATCACCCAGAAAAAAAAAGGGAAAACACCACCCAGCGTTCCTTAGACACCTCCCGTGGAGCTGAACTTTCTCGGGAATGTCTAAGTTATCTAGAGGAAGAAGATGGGAGGTGGAGAAAAATAAATACCAAGAGCTAGGTTGGTGTCCCTGACCTCTGGTGTCTACCAGACTCTGAGGCAGAGGTGGCCTCAAAGGAGGAGACCCTGTTGTCCAATACTGCACTCTGAGACCAACTCGGTCTCTGGCCTCCCCGACAGGCGCCTGCCCTGGCGGGGCATGAGGCTCAGGGAGAAGAGGGGCCAGCCCCTCGGATACTGTCCTCTCGCCCTGGCCCAGCTCACACCGGCCCCAGGCTCCGCCTGGTTAGGGCTGGGCTGGCTGTCCAGAAGTCTTGGGAGGGACATGGTGGCCCGCCCGGCCTGAGGACTCGCGAGGGTCCCACTGTTGACTGCTCCTCTGGCCACTCAGGCCTGCTCCTTGTCGGCCCTCCAGAGCCGCTCCTTGAC